ACGTATGTAGCAAGGAAACGTATCATCGCATTATCTCCAATCTCACTCGGCCTCCAACTAATCACACAATACAACGAATCGGAGAACTTGTTTGATCAGATGTCTTTTTGACTCATGCGATGCTCATATGCGATGCCCTCGAGTTCATCAATGAAATTCACCAAGAAAGCAAACCACTCCAGAAAGCAGCAGCGGTGATGTGATGGTCAGGAATGGAATGCACAACCACAATCCACTCTCACGGTCTTCTCATCACACGTGATGTTGGTGTAAAACAAAGGATTTTGAAACAAACAACAGCCAGCTGCGTATTTTTACCAACAGCTACTCGATCGAAAGTCAATCGTCCTTTGTTGACTGCACAATTTATGAATCATTATTATACAATCAAGTCTCATGTAAACTAAGGAAGGGAGCTTCACAACTTGTCAACCGATTTTGATGCCCTTTCTATGACTGTAATAGAAGCCCTGAGTGCTTTTATTCCATGATTTTATTTGAGCCCGCCACACCCACTCAAAGGGGCAAAAAACATTGAAATTTTGATTTTTCGAAGACACACTGGCAGGAAATTTCTGAAAATACTCAAAAAATTCAGTTTGACGTCGGATATTTTGTATAAAACAACTATATCTACGAAGCCATTATGGGAGGCACATTTTCAAAATCTGATCAAATGTCGGGCGTAAACGTGACCATGGAATAAAAAAAACTCTGGTTTTAACACACTCATGGAACACTACATGATATCCAAAGGGCATCGAAATCTGTTATTGGTAAGTAGTGAAGCATTCCTCCTATATCAGATACGTAACGACTTTGTATATGTTGTTTTATTTCCATTGTACATATTCCATTGCCACTTTATTCCATTGTTCTCCTATCCAAGATTTCTTCAGAGTCAAAAAGACGTTGCATATTATGCATTAAGCAAAGCTGAGCTAATCAAATTAAATAAGTTGAAGTGCATAAGTGGATGGCCGATAATAGTATTAAGAGATCATCATGCTGGAATTGTTCCAATAAACTTTATTATTAAATAAAGTTGTGTCGAGGTAATTTACGCAGCGAAGTGAGTAATGAAAGCACGGGAAGATAATACGACGAAGGAAAATAAACGTGGGAAAATGCAACAGGTGTGAATGGTAAGAAGCAGCAAACAAGATAGTCAGGCACCAAATCACCAAATAACAATATATCAATGATCTAATAGCTACGTACCAGTCAAACATTGTGATACGAACTCTTCACTCAACCAGATTCTTTTCTCTATATTTTCCTAACCATCTTTCCTTGAAGAACTTTTTTGCTCAAGTCCAACTTGGCCTAAGAATTGGGCTACTTGGAAATCGCTGTAATCAGATCAGAGATGATCTAGGAAGAAGAAAACTGGTGGCGTAACGCATAAGCTAAATTAGCTTAATGAGATAAATTTCAACTCGGGGAGATTGCGATTGATTGTGCTGACCAGGCTTAGGAACTTACAATTAGACCAACAGTTGCAAAAATTATCCGGTATATAATTAAAATACTACTCACACTTGTAGCATTATTTATCGGTATGACAAGGCCAATTAGCTCCCCCAAAGCGTTCAAGAAACCTTTTTAACAGATGCTATGCCACATATTTACCTGTATTAGCAGAATTAATAACTGATTCTAATTTCCCATGCCCCTCGGCAATTACTTAACGCAGAAACAATTTGAAGCCGGTGTTTCGGCAAGCATTTATAACGTACAAAATGCTGATAAACAAGTTGAGGAATCTTAAATTACATAGCAATCCGAGTCTCTTCCATCCAGTTCAGCCCATGATTAGTGTTCATTGTCAGATTATGCTCGTATTGCTTTTATACGTAGGGAATTCAATTTAGTAAATTAGCTTAGTTATACCAATGCTTATGGGAGATATGAAATTTTGTTAAAATTAATAATTTTTCATTTTATTAATTGTAATAGAAATAAATCTGATATACAATTTTGTCAACCAATTAAGTGCAAAAACACAGAGCTTCTTGTTCACAACACCAAATAACATAACTTGAGCTGTACACTTGACTCTCAACTCCAGCAAATCATTTAAATGGATCAGGTTCAGGATAGATAAATGGATGCAATCATTTCGTATATCCTAATAATTGATCCAAGGTTAATTAGGTAGACAATTGATTTCGTAGACGCAAAAACCTGGACATCGTAAATAAGTCAGAGGAGATAGATTGCCAATTTCCAATCCAGTTTTGCAAATTAATGGTTTCGAACGTGGGAATGAAGATGAAGCTTATTACATATAAATCATAGCAAAAACTGCAGTGACCAGCATTGACATAAAATGTTTCATGCATGCGTGTTTCTTAACCAGGTTGAGTGTTTTTTATAAATATTCCACTGTAAACGAAGGAGTCAAGAGAATATGTACATAAGTGTATAAATATGTAGGTCTCTCAGCATGTCTGTCGCGACTTGTCTCAAGCTTAGATATAATTTAAAATACTTCTTTTGCGGCAGATAAAATTCAACGCAGTAAAGTGTTATAAGCTGATAAAGCAATTTCGAATTTTATTTATAGATTTATTTCGTGGTGTTAATGAGAATTTTACCCACCTCAGAAACTTAATTATGCGGCTTTGGTTTTGAAGTCAGATTAGACCAGCAAGTAAGTAGCTTAATCAACCCCTTTTTTGTTGGAATTGGGAGACAGCACTTGTTAAAACTGAGTGACGGACAAGTGACGAGCTACATCAAACAAAGCGTAAATATCAGGCTCAATTTATTTATGGACAAAACAGTGGGAAGCTACTCATACATACATGCATAAAATATTTTAAGGAGTTTGGTCAGTACATGACCAAACTCAGGTCAACTAACGGACACGTACCTTCGTTTGGTGGAGGGAAGAACCTTTTTCGTTGTATTTGAAACACTTGGCGTTTATCAACCAACGACACGTTATGACGAGCTTGTGGTAACCGCATGCGTATATTTGGCCAGTGCTGGCATTGTCATGCAAAAATGTCCCTCAATCACGTAGACGGCACTTATTGTCCGTCGTTAAATCAAAAGTGCGTATGGCTTGTGGCTTAGCATTCCTTGGGGAATTAGTGTCCCAGACAATGAAGAAGAAGGAGACGGTCGGGTTAGGGTCCCTTTCATAAGAAATAATAAGGTGCGTATTGTTCAATAAATGTGACCATTAGTAAGAAAAGAAAATATGTAGTAGCAGGAGAAATCCTTGACATATTGTTCCCTGATGTACATACGATATATGTCCACGACAAAATTTTTTGAAGCCCATCAAGTTGCATTGTTGCAAGAAGTGATAGAATTTCACACAACTCTAATTATGCATGCATACATTCGAACAGCTTTTCTCCTGGATTAGTAATTATATTGCAGAAATTGTAGACTGGTTATAAATAATTTGCAACGAACTAAAAATAAAATGAGACAACCTTGCAATAAATGTTACATGCCAATAATTAGCAAAAAAATCATCTGAATTGTTTTAAAGGCAATAAGTGGTAAGTGTAGCAAGGAGGCAGTGGTTCAACAGGGTCATTAAAACAAGGTGTTGTTGTGGAGCATGTCGAGGTGTAATGTTTCTTGATCGGATTCCTGAGGAGAGAGGAAAGTGTGGGAACAGAGGCAAGGTGGTAGATACGATTTCTACTACGACGACCGCACCGACTCCACGCCAGGAATGCAAGCCCTGCTTCGTCATATTTCGACGATGAGTAAAAGCCAGAGAGTTGATGTTGATACCTTTTCCATCGCTTTGTGAGATGACAATGTAACAAGAGTCCACATTTACAATGTGTGTACGCCAATTATTGTTGAGCCCAATAAAATGGGAAGAAAGAAGCAGAAGAACGAGACTACTTAGGAGGACAACCCTTCACCGACAGAATCACCGATCTTGATGCCCTTTGGATATGTTGTAGTCCTAGGTGAGTCTAGCAAAAGTGAAGAAGGATTTCATTCAATAGCCCCATTTGCGCCCGCCACACCCACTCAAAGGTGCGAAAATACCCTGTTTTGGTTCATTAAAAAAATCACCAAAAATCCAATTTTGGTCGGATTTTCACAATTTAAGCATTTTTGTGACCCTAGATAGTTGCTTTATCATATCCAATAGCAAACTCAACTTTTTTGAAATTTTGATTTTTTCGAAATCTACGAAATTTTCGAAAATATTCAAAAAATTCAAAAAATTGAAATTCATGTCGGATACGATAAAACAACCATCTGGGATCAAAAAGGTGCAAAAATTATCAAATTATCATTAAAAATGGATTTTTGGTGAATTTTTTAATGCGACCAGTTTGGCATAAGATTCCTCTTTGAGTGGGTGTGGCGGGCGCAAATGGGGCCATGGAATGAAATCCTCCTTCACTTTTACTAGACTCACCTAGGACTACAACATATCCAAAGGGCATCAAGATCGGTGATTCTGTCGGTGAAGGGTTGTCCTCCTTAGTGTGGCATCATATCTGCATGAGATTCTGTCTGTACCCACACGTACATAAGGAAGAAGAAGAAGATGATGAAGGAGTAAAGTAAGTGAAGGCAGGGTATGGACGGCATACAAATCAGAAGAGATGATATTGATGATGACTACTGCATGCTCACACGCTATACACACACATTTATATGTTATACTTCTTGTTATCTTCTTAAGAAGACTTCTTGTTTTGTATACGTGTGTTGGAAGCATGTGCATTAAATATCGTGGGAACGTGGGACGAGCGAACTTCTCAACGAACTCTTCGACGAGGAAAAAAAACACTTTTTTCCATTCGAGTAACTTGTAACCAGTGCTCCCTACATAACACCTGGCATCTGGATTCCCAGTCCCATGTGGGTAGAATTCCTCCACTTTCTACCCCACCAACCATGCAAAAGAGTTGCTGTCCCTCGTACGTTATATGGAAGGGTCGTTTTTTGGTGGTCGTCAGCCCAACACACGCTTAGCTGTCTTACCCAAACCTCACCCCATGTGCAAGTCGGGAGGGATAAAATGAGCTCGTGCGGTCGTCTCAACCACCAAACCTGACTTGGACCTCGGTTTGAACACATCTCTCTCTCTCTCTCTCGAGCTTATAAGACTTCAACGTGCTCAACCAATCTCACAAAATCTCACTTGCCACTCACACACATCTCAACAGTGAAAGTTTAAGTTGTCTCAACATTACAAGTTTTTGTTTCCTCCATCACAACTGAAATTATGGCTCCCTTAACTGAAATTTCTCGTTCCTTTGGACAACAATCTCCTGCGGAACCAATTTCTCGGACGATGCAATATCGCAAGGTAATTTGAAGTTATAATCACAATTATTACTTTTTTATCCGTTTTCTGAAAATAAGTTTCCAATCTGGTTATCGAGTAATACGGAACAGTTTCTAATCAGTTTTCTCTTATTTCAACAGATAACGAAGCCACTGTTAGAGCGACAACGCCGCGCCAGGATGAACCGCTGCCTGGATGAGCTGAAAGAAATTATGGTGTCCAGTGAAAATATGACTGATAAGTTTTCAAAGTCCATCGAAAAGGCTGACGTTCTCGAGCTTTCCCTCAAATACATTCAAACGCTTCAACAACAACACAATAAATTGATGAAGATCCAACAAAGTGGGGATGACGAAAGATTTCGCCAAGGATTCGCCCACTGCGCCCAGGAAGTGTCCAGAATTCTTGCCACGACCCGTGGCGTCGATATCCAACTGGGTTCCTCCATCATGGTCCACCTGGGTCACGCACTTAACCAAATCACATCACCTTCTTCATCTCCAGCCCCGTCGCCAAGACTTCCTCGACCTTCCTCCGTCTGCTCTTCGTCCTCTTCGTCCACTGGAGACTACAGACCTTACACGCCCCCTGCATCCCCCACAGAGTCTCACTTTCCCCAACTGTCTCCCCTCCCACTCAACATGTGCACCACAATCTCGTCCAATTCTTCAAACCCTTGGAGGCCTTGGTAATCCAATCTTTACTCAACTCAACCCGATGATCCTCCACAATAGTTATTTTTTTAAGTATTAATTGAAAAATATTTGTTTATATGTTTACGATTATTAGACTAGGTTGATAGATATTATTTACATTTAGTTTACTGGATAATTTAAAGCCAGAAAAAACTCTCACGTCCCATGTCTTTCACACATGTTAAACTTTGTTTAAAGGAGCTGTTTGTTGTTTTGTTAAACGCTTTGGCTGTTATTATTTAATAATATTATTATGTTCTCATTGTTGACAATCGATCTCTTGTAGAGTTATCTTGCCTTAATTATCTGTTAAGTGTTTGCCCAGTAGAGCTTAGATATAGTTAAATATGGCTTCTCGTAGCAATTAATCTGTTACGTAGGGAGTAGAGAATATGTCCAGACAATCATTAGACCAGGACAAGATTAGATGTTTTGTTTATGTGTTTCAATATCGTGTAGCTCACATCTTTTTGCTCCTGGTTGTTTGTATATTGTGAGTCAGTTTAGAATTTTTAGTGGTTAGGAGTTGTAGGTTAGTATTGTAGCATGTTGTGATATTCCGAGCCTTTATTTCACCAGGAGTTAGGCTATGCGATGACTGTGATATTTTTTTTATATTTATTATATTCCAATAATTAGGATAGCAAACTACGAGCTGAAAGACATAAAGTGAAGATGCTGAGTGCATGAAAATAATAAATACACTGAGTTTACTCAGTTGTTAAAACTAATTATTCTACTTGCTCTGATTGTGTAACATTGATTGGGACAGAATGTTGTGCATCTCATGTTTAACTTATTGCAAATTTATGAAGCATTGCATGGAGGCATTAAGCATGACATAATTCATCCATCAGTAATACTCAGAATTAAACACATCATTATTATATTGAGATAATCTACAATCTAAATACAAAAAGTGAGATGAGATGGGGAGTAAGGAAATTTGGGGAAAATGAGACGCTTGTCTTAATCCACGCTGTAGATTCATAGATTGAGGGTTCGTGCAGAATCTCTACATAAACCAAACGGTAGAATCACTCCGACTTGAAAACGACCCTGTTTTGCCATCTCTAGACGCTTTCACGTATATAAATCTTCAACAAGTCTTCACGCAGCTTCTCACATAAACGAAAAGATGACTCTTATTATGTCATGCATGGTGAGCAACGAAAATTTTCAGAGAATTTCGAATGACTAATTTATTTGGATTCAGAAATATGTACATACATACATATGTGTTTCACACACACAAGTGAAAGCAGTAAAATGTACATAGCAAAAAAATGACTGTTGGGTAACAACAGCTAAGATTCGTTCCCGTGATTTTGTTAAGATGCCGTAAATTACTTGACGAATTCAAATTACCCAATCGACAGGAGGAGGGGACCTTTACCTTTCACTCCAGTTTTGATCTCCTTTGGATATTTGTAGTACCCTATAATTCTACTTCCACCTACTGATTCCCCAGTACCACTGATTAACATTAAGTAGTTTTATTTCATGTCCCATTTTGCGCCTGCTACACTTCCAAAGAGCTAAGCAATTTTGACAAGATATGGGCATCCAAAAAGCTTAAATATGCTTCGCCCTTATTTGGATTCGTTTTTTTAGTGTCATTTCAGATGCATTAATTTATTCACACAATTACTTTGGAGCAGTTGATGTGTATGTAAGATTTACAAATTGTACCTACAAATCATATTAGCACTTGCAAGTTCTTACGTAACTTTCAATGGTCAATTTTATTATGGTTTTTATGGACATGGTAAGAGAGACAGACTTCAGTATTGTCAAATTACATGTCTATAAAATCTTCACATCAGCAGAAAACGTGCAAATTTAATACCGGCTTGTGCAATTTCATTTTTACGAGGGTAAAAACGAAGGGGAGCTGCTATATCTGCTGTGCTACCAGTAACGGTGAAGTTGTGGAGCGAATTCTTTATGCTAAAAGATGCATTCGTTGTACGGGGTGAATGCCTAGAAGCCTTTTCCTGTTTCATATCTGGTTGTCATCCCATCACCACATTCACCATTGGTTCCTACAAAAAGAAACTTCAGCTGAACTGGAACTCTTCCTATTTCACGTAACAGCTTATGAAAATAGACCACGCAATTTGCAAAATATTCAAATTTCCAGAAATTTAAATAATCATTAGTGCGTGTGACTCGTCAGTAAAAATCATGGTTCATCCAATGTGTGGCTTTCCTATCCAACGAGGTGCAACGTTCCTTGCAGTAACTGAAGTCGTAAGTTTCAACTACAACGGTGCACATTATTTGCAATACATTGTTGACGCAACATTCGGGCTATTTATATCTAGATTTTGGGAATTTTGTATCTAATACAAAATGCAGTTGCTCTCTCGATGTACGTCCCCCGTGCATATGAAGAATATGACATTAATACCAATGCTGAGAATTGGGTAGAGAAAGTCCCAAGAATTTGTAAGCATTATATACGCACTCAAATTGCAGAACAGCCAAAAATAATTTAATAGGCGATGCTACTGATTATTGACTGTTGTGAACTTTATGAATTGCTTCCAGATTCCACGAAAGCGACGATAACTCTGCTTAATTCTGCCTACTGGGCATCTACACTATTGTTGGGAGTATTGCTTTACCTTGCCAGTAAACAGGCAAGTATAGATACACATACAGTATTGTTGTGAGAGACTCGTATAGTCGTATCAAATAGACGACCAAATGCAGATTTAGGGTCCATGACATTAAAGCTTCTTTATCTTATGATTGCAGAGAGATTTACGGAAATGTCGAACGTGGTTCATTCTCACCTGCATTCTGACCGTCCTGTTCATAGTGGACATAATGATGCAGTCGTTCTCACTACGAGCATCCATGGCAGAAATTGCATCACCCGTTGTGGGCACCTTACTGTCAACTTACATGGCGTGGGTTGTTTTAGTGTTCATGGACGACATTCGTCAAGGAGGATGTGCTCCGATAAAATCTCATGGCGAAATCGCCTCATAGTTCATTTTTTAACAACAATGTAGGATAACAAATTCGTGTACAGTGCTACCAAAATTGATCGAGTGTTTTTTTCTTTCTATGATAATTGACTTGTTTGTTATTTTTATTTATATTTGTATGGAATACACTATTAGATGAAATATACAACTAATTTTCAGGCAGAACGCCTAAATGCAATAAAAGTATTATAACACTCATTATAAATCTCTAGTCCATTCCATTCAACAATTCTGAAAGGAAAATGGTGAGAACTTTGGCTATTGGAAATCCATGCTTGAAGCGTAAAGGCCTTGCACGGAGGTATTGATCTCGCATCCTGATTGAGCGCTGGAAACCGATAATGGGGATCCGTAAGAGTACGGACTTGGGCAACTGGAATATTCAGAAGAACTGCCAGATATTTGACGATCCCTGCTATGAAGCAATTAATAATATTTTAGTTAAAGCATAGTCTCTGATAAAAGTTGAGGGTGTAATAATATTCCTACGCAAGAATTGGAGGTTGAGCGACTTGACATTGTGTGTGCCAAATGTAGCCTTTCCGCATCATATCCCATTTGAAATCAATCAGTTCTGGTAAAATGAGAAATTATTCTATTTAGTAATTCCCAATTTTACTGTAATGCAACTCGTGATAATCTCACCTTTTGTGTCCCTCAATCTATGAAACGCGTTTTCCTTCGGAATATTGGGAAACAAGTATTTAAGATGGTCTGAAGATAAAATTCGTTCTTCGAGAGGATGATCTTTCAACTCTTTCACCTCATACGGTGCAAACTTTTCAACTTTCCTATCTGAAATTGTCGTCGTCTTATTAAGTTATCTGAACCTGAATATTAAGTAGGTCAGAGATATATGCTCAATTTTAGATACCTCTGTGATTATACCAGGCCACTGTAATGGCTCCCAAAATGGCCTCGGAAAAATAAAGAATAAATGTCCCTTCAGGTTTACTTTGCAACCGTTCGTAAAGATGTTCTCTGGTTATGAATCCTTCAATGACCTCCGTCGCCCAGTAGCAAGGAATGGTCGTGTTGTCTTTTGGAAGTTTCCTTTCCTTTTTAGTACTTGTCCTTCCCAATGGCTTGGGCTGATCGTCATTTGCACTTTCGGTGTCATCCTTGGAGGCTGACTCACAAAGACGTTTAATTGCATAGAGCCAAGAGTGAAAGGTAACTCTTTGTGTCTCTTCTTTCGATTTGCTTGTTTCCGGGGTTGGCCTCTTAGAGATGCAACAATCAACTTTGTTTTCAAAAAACATTTGCCATGTTACCTGTCCAACATGATTACTGGAAAGTTTAAAAAATGTTTTATATTCTAGAATTATAAAATTATCATTCTTGACAAATTTGTACATCTTGCTAATATCGTACCCCATCAACTTTTTCAGGAGAAATTGTTGGTGTAAAGGAGACAATTGTCGGCGAGTTTGCAACTTAAAGACAGAACTTAAAACTTTCATTAGACTTTCGGGGTTAACTTCTTTGGCGACCTCAAAAGAGGCCCGATTCGGAACAGCGAAAGCATTGTCCCACAGAATGCACGCCCATGCATCTGCATACTGACTCGGATGACAAGTCACGATAACTGGAAGTGACGTAGTCCATATCTATGAGGCCAAACACATATATTAGAATGACCATAATTTATTTATTTATAGATACTCAAATTGTTTTTTTTCAATTCTTAAACGATTACCGTGAATGACGACATTTCGGGTGCAGAGAAGGTGGTGGAGAAATAGAAACAGTATTTCTTCGTAGTAACAAATTGATCATCTGAATCTTTCTGTCCTTTCCCTTTCTGATCAGCATTTTTGCGTTTATCGGGCAAAGTAATTCCAGAAAACGTGGTTCCAAACTTCTCGTTCTCATTACACATTTCCATTTCGTTGTGCGTCAATTGTATTGATGGTTTCGGTATGTACATTTTATTAGCGTGCAGTTTTTCCACCTCCAGTTTGTCTATCAACATAGCTTTCACCGCTAACGTGCTACTCGGGATGATCGTGCTTCCAACTAAAAGCTGAAGCTTAATCCCTTGTTTAATCGTGCTCTTCAAGCGGAGAATTTGTGGGGGCTGTGTTTCCACGAGAAAGGTTTTGAATACTATTGCATACATTAGTTGGTCGAGCTGCAAGGATTGAATGTTCAATTATGAATAAAAAATGTGCAATGAAAATTTTGATGATAACTCCATATCGTTTTTTGTACTTCAGCTTTGAATCCATTCACAATTTGAGTTACTGCCTCACAATTTTCCCCATTTTCTGATAAACACGCTTCAATACGGGGTCTGCACTGAAGCTGTCGGTTGAGCTCGACCACTCCCGTGACGTACGTTTTAACCAGGGACGAAATTCTGTCCAAGCTGTGGCTCATGTCGCCCATCCCATTTGCTTCATGTCTTTGTTCGATTTTCCTGATGATAAAAGAGCACACTTTACCCTTTGCATTTTGTAAATTGGAATCAAAGGGAAAATCATGAGTGGGTACCATTCATCAATCAATTGAATCAACTCCACCGAAAATGTAGAAATCTGCGAAATTGCATTCTTGATGTGTGACGTGAAGTTGGTTACATCGCGTTTCAGAGAGGCGACCTTCAACAGGTTTAAGCTGTTTTATCAAATAGTTTATCAGCGACAAAATTTAGGATCTCACTTTTTCAATCAGTTGAGCTCGTTTCTGATTCCAAGTGGCTTGAAGTGCATGCACTTCTGTTTGAACTCCTCCATTTCGTGGGTTACATTCTGAAGCAATGTGGATATCGACTAACCCAGTTATTATTATTATTATAAAAAAATAACTCAAACGTATTTATTGCGCGTCACTAAATGCACTTTGATATGTAAAAATACCTTCGAGACCATTGAGATTTTCTCGTAGCTGGACCAACTCCACAATGGTATCCTGCATTTGCAAGCGAATTCGATTGATTTCTCCGATGTGGGTGGGTTGACCGGTTGAGGTGAGAACGACTTTGTGAAGGCGACTGCCTAAGCTATTATACCTGGACGTTACGGAGAGTGGATTTTGAGGTGTCATTGAGCCACTCGTCCCTTGGGTCGGTGGGGGTGGTGCACAACCGGTCTTTAGTTTAATCATTTCCAATTCATAATCCAGACAAGATTTGATAGCGCAGAATAAGCCGACAGGGTTTTCTTGGAACTTCATCTGCACAAATGAAATACAAATTATGCGTGGTGCCAAGTACGCTATGCATTGCGAATATATTATTACAGCCAGCTCTTCCGTTTCTTGTTGAAGCTCGAAACCCATTGCAATCGTAGAGTTGTCATTCTCAAGTCTCGCAGAGTCGAGAATATTATTTGCCGATATACGCAAATCATGCACAAAATTGAGCATAAACTTTTCAAAAAACGGTAAGTCGTCCGAGTTTCTTGGGTTTGCATTCAATCGGAGCTCACTAATTCAAAACACATATTACACATTTGTCTTTATATTCTAAATGCTTATAACTTTTAGCAATAGGCTTCGATACTTACTTTACATGAAATTCGAGCCATACAGAATTCAGCCTAAATCGAATGCTTATCGGAATTCCTTGACTTTTATAAAAACTCCAAACGTCTCCAAATAAATCCAAACTTAGGACTTGATCCCACTGGCTGTGACACTGTGACACCATGTTTTCGTTGCACCTTTCGTTCTCAACGCAATTACATAAATATTCTAGTGAATACAACACCAAATAATAGCTACTCCATTGGTAAAGTTGTGCTGTCGACTGAACCACAAGCGCTTTGCAAATTTATTTTCTATGCATCTATCCTACACATAAATACGTACCTAAAGATGAACGTGAAGTGCGAGGAGGAATACCATGATTTTCATAACCATGTATCGCCTGCATTTATCTCGTATATTGACGATAATAAACATCCTACTCTGCGGTAATGCACACCAGGCTCATCGTTATTCGTAATTATGTATGCACATGACAGCCATCGCATGGCAATGGGGCGAAGCCATCTAAGCGAAAAGTTTTTAGCGACATTGCTCCAGAGCTAGGGCAAATGTAGCGAGGTTGATAATTCTGTGAAGCAATGCCAAAAATCTATTTGTATTGCAACTGAAAACTAATTATGTCCTGACATGTTTCCTTTGAAACTTTAAACTGCTTAGATCAGAAATTTTGTATATGAGTTTAGTAGTTTTGTATTCCACCAATTGGGTTTCGCCACAATGAATCCAGCTTAATAGCATCTGACGAGCGAGCCAAAGTGGATAACATTTCTGCGAAAAGCTCTGCAAAATTATTTGCTCTGCGTGTAATATTTGTTTGAATCATAGGAGGAATTAGAACTAACGGCTTGTTGTTGTCATTGTATTTGCGTTGTTTTATTAAACATGATACAACAGTCGATAACATAGTACAGAAATATCATCATTTTAATTAAACTATCAATTTTCTCAATTTGTGATTCACGGAAGTTCTGGGTAAGAATTTGGAGATTAATTGGAAAGTGACAAGAACATGGAATTCAATGAAATCGCAGTAAAAACATTCGTCTGGAAAATGAATTGATTTGTCACTACTTATTTGTACACATATTTAACAGACAAGTGCAAAACCACAAAAATTTGAATAAATATAAATATCATATAAATATATTTTTAGGCAGCAAATCATTATGTATGGCAAATTCAGTTCGAGTATTTAAGTACATTCACTTGAAATTTGATACTTATATGGCTTATAGAGATAGTGTTCATACGTACGTACGTATACATTAAAGTTTAGATAAATTATATCCACAATATTTAAGCATGCTCAACGCTAAACACATTGGTAGTTATCATGCATTGTGTGCATATTATTTAAACACGATAAGTAAGAAGTAATAACACCAAGAGCGATCCCTTGCAATGTCACGGGCAAGTACAAATGTCATACATACAACGTTGTATGTTTTAATATTATAGAGACTTTATCCATAATTAAATATATGTACAGAAATAAATTGTCACCTGCGTTTACGTTGCTACATTAAAATATATCGTTCATATTTCTTACTCATATTTATATAGAAGCTGTTTTACGATACTATCTGTATGTAAGTATACGCAAATATATTTCATGATATCAACTTCTAATATTATTAGTACTAACACAGATAAGCAATAAGGCATCCACACTATGAAATTGAGTTCTATTCTATCATGTAACTTACTTGTCAAGCAACGGTAAATTCACGGTTTTCATGACCCAAATTGAGAAAATCAATTTGCGTCTCTACCCCAGTCCAACTTGGACTGAGACTTTCTTTAAATTCATAGCATCATTTGTCACTTCATCAATTTATTGAAGAAACCCAAGCGTTACCTAGATACATACGTCAAGGAATGGTCACCTCAGTCAATTAAAATTCAAATCGGCGAGCTGATGTGCGTCACAAATTCTGCGTAGGGTTCGTGTTTGATCATTAGATTACTGCTTGATAATAATCAGGTTAGATTCTTGGAAATCTGGGTTACCTAATAATCGTATCTTACCGCATTCCAGTATCAGCAAAATGTTGCAACCTGGAGGCACTAGAAAAATAGATGGGGATACAAAAGTTCGAAAAAAGACAAAGAACGGACAGCGCAGAAACAAAAGCGGAGGGATAAAAGTCAGAGTTAAGCTCCCACCCATAGAATCATATGAAAAAGACGTGGAGTTCCGGTACTATTTTCATGAAATAGATAAATGCGAATCATATAATGATAAAGGATTGTTATAACACAATCTAGGGCGGAGGGCCCTGGCCGCATCATCGTTCGTTTGGAGAGACTGATGGTAAGTTTGAGTAATAAAAACAGCTAATTATTTGAAAAATATAAAACTTATCCACATATGTCATACATTTTTTATGGCAGGGATCAGATCGAATTCGTTTGACGGATGCAACCTTCATGGCCCGATTACTGGAAAAGTTGGAGGAAGAAGAAAATAGTGCTTGGGTGAAACGAACAAAGGCTCGAAAAAAGGATGAGCAAGTGAGGTAAAGTCAAATGATAATTCTGAAGTAATGATACATGTCATTGAATGCAATTCTGTCACTGAAATAATCTTTGATGCCTGCAAAATAGGTCAAGAAAATTAGCAATCGATGGTCTCATGGATCCTGAAGAAGACATGCGCGACCTATTCAAGCACCCTGTGTTCAGGTCAGAAAGCCTCAACTAGTCTTGATGACCTCAAAATTATGTAGACACATATTTATACACGCACATTTTATACGCAGGGTAAATCGTGTTTTGAAACGATTGGCTTTATTCGACCAAAATATGAGCGTCGGCCAGCAAATCAACTTGCCTCCAATTATTCCAGTTGAACCTTTTGAAATTGATGGTTCTGGTGCTGTTTTCAAAACATATCCTCGACATGCAGAGCTGAAAAGTGAAGGTTGGTTGAAAATTACTTACTATTTATAATTGCAATGTTTCGTACTTAGCAAATATTACATGCATGTGCAACAAAAATTTACATGCTACAGCTCCTTCTGAGGATAATGAGTCGCGGGTGGACGTTTCTATTGCAAATACTGATGTAGCTCCTACAGAAATTACAACCCAATTAATTCCAACAATCATTGAAGATGGACCAGGTTTTTCTGAGGGAGAAGAAGAGGAAGAAGAGGTATAGCTTAAACGTGGGCTTTTATTATGTTCCAAGGATTGAATGTTTAAGGAACTTGCACAGCATCATAATAACAATTATCACACAAGTAACCTGTTTTACTCAGGAGGAAGATAACGAAATGGGCTCTACAATTGTCCCCTCGGGCATATCCATAAACGACGCCGCTGGTGCAAATCGTTCCGGATCAGTGAAATCAGTGAAATCTACCCGAAGTGCGACAACTACTCAGAAGGAATCTTTGTTGGTCATACCATCATCGCCAGGCATGTCACTGACAGCTCTGCAAAAAAATTACGGAATTCCTCCAGCTGAAGATATGAACAAATGGGAGGGATTCAGATCGGATTTAGTCGATACTATTTACACGGACAGCAACGTAGTTAACATTCTTATCCCTATATCATAAATCCGTGCAAGCATGCATACACTTCAAATACTATAATTGACATAGGGCGGAGTATTGCAGCTTTACCAAGAGGCTGAAGAAATTTTGGGCGTTTACGACCGAGAAAACCTTTCTGTTGACGAATTTGTTGTCAAACTAAATCGAATGATGGGAGCATCGGGTGGAGCATAATAGCACTTAGCAGATGCGCGATAAGTCATAAATGCTCAATACAGTTGCATCAGGTTTTTGTATTTATTGTTGCGATTTATTACTTATGAAAACTTAAGTACAAACATCTTGACTAGCATAACATATTATATATGGCAAAATTATAACTTTTTGTAGCAAGAAAATATCACAGAAACTGAGGTAAATAATAAACTAAAGCTGTCGAGTCTAAAGGTTGATCCATGGCTTTTGCTATCAGGAGATCTGTTCCCAAAGCACTCTCTTGAATTCAAGAATTTTTCAATGGAATGATAGAGGTGCCGTCTCATCCCAGGTCCATTTATGCCATGATTCTCCTCTGGGTAGCTCTGAAGTGATAAATTGCATGAGAAAAGGTGTTCCGAGAGAAAGTATGAGACAAGTCATGAGTCATGATGATTGAAATTAGCAAAAAATTTAACATACCAATTGATTAAACATAATATCTGCCTGCTCCATTGCTCTTGCGAGCATCATTGAATGTTGATAGTGGACATTATCGTCCGCATTTCCATGAATGAGAAGAAATTGCTTCGTTTTGATGTTGCCCAAATTGTTCATTACGGAGGAAGAGTTGTACCCTAGCCAGTTGTCGTCATCTGTAGGTAGTCCCATGTATCTTTCCGTGTATATCGTGTCTGAAATAAATTGAGTTAGGTATTCATGTAGGTTCCAGATTGTTGGTGAATAACTTGCATTTTTCTGCTAGTTAATTGTTTATGCAAATATGTACCGTAATACAACCAACTAGAAACTGGTGCCACTGAAACTCCACACTTGAAAATATTTTCATAGTCCTTTCCGAGGACCATCGCGGTGACATATCCTCCATAAGACCAACCTAAGCAGATAGATCGTCAAGCGGAAAATCAAACCATCAATTAAAATACTAATTCTGCAAAATGTAAGACCAACCCCAAATCGCAGTCTTGTTGGCATCAATGTAGGAAAGTGTGTTCACCAGGTGCCTAACATGACATAACAGGATTACTTATGAATAGTCTAATTTTTGGTAAAATATTTCTTGCATGTACATATATAAGTTTGTACTTTGTGACAAATATTTGGTCCTCAACCTCAACCGAGCCGAGATTTCTATAAACGGCGAATTTCAGGTCAGTAGACTGTCTTCCCGATCCACGTGCGTCAATTGAACCGTAAATAATTCCCTGTGAGCTCGCAAGATAAGTTCCCCAGTCTACCTTAAAATCCTCAGAAATTTTCTGGGAATCTGGGCCCGCATATCTAAATTTTAATATTTTTCTAACTATTAATGAAACTTGTGTGCTGTAGTTGAATAGTATCAACAAACGTTTTTTCTTACACGTCAATCAGGAGCGGATATTTTTTACTTTCGTCAAAATTTGGTGGCAAGTATAATCTAACTTTAGCCTTGAATAGCCCGTCAGCAATATCGACTTCCACGTCTTTTGTGGTGGGCAGCAATTTAGTCTCGAGTCGTTCACGAAGGGCAGAATTTGTCATCCAAATGTGAGCAACACTATCGTTCTATGCATAAAAACGTACATCTTGTCCGGTTTTCTTAACCCAATTAGCAATGATAATCTAAATTACGTACGGATCTCCACTTTGTCGTGATTTCTGGAACTCCGGGACCTCTACAAGAGTGCTGATATAGTTGATAATTTGCACTAAATGAAAACGAATGAGATCTGCAATTTTCATTTTCTTCGGTTTTCAAGGCACAGCTAATACAAACTGGAGAAGAGTTTGCCCCTTCAGCGTTAACCGAGTATACATGGCGCTCACTGGCGTTGGCGTGCATTCCGGAACCTACAAAGTAGCTGAAACAATAATAATTGTGAGATTACGAAACAAATAGGATTAAAATACCAGGAGCATTATAATTACATTTTATTATTTGCCTCATCCCATCCCAGAATCGAGTCGACATTGAATTCACCAGACGAAACAGTCCGAACATGGTTATTGCGATTGGACGTAGACACGGCCACAATGTGGTTGTAAGATTTACCGGTGGCACCACTGCCTTGAGCAACAGGTTGTATTGTAAGGAAAATGGAACCATTGGAACTTATTGTTGGAGTATGTGCATCAATCCATCCATTTTTTTGGGAGTAATTATAAATCTTAAGTGAATAGAAAATCCATTTTTTAAGTTAGGCGTGGTCCAATTTACATTACAACTGAAATTGATCATGACTTTGAGTCATTACCTCTACACATCTCGAGTCTTGGCAATTACAATAATTCCAAACAGACTGACTTTGGTGACGATTCATGGTTTGGAGAATTAAATTATTTGGAGTGGCAAATGTTACGGCAGCAATATAATATTGCAAACTAATCATTACAAAGTAACGTTATGAAGTGATTTCACGCAGACCATTTAACATTAAAATTTTACCTTTTGTCCTGATCAACAGGATACACAATTTGTGTGTGACTTGTTGGATTGTTCAATTTCACGATATGAAGTGACACGACAGGATTATCCCTGCCAGCCTAAATATTTTTTGTTATTCATTTCCATATTACTCAATCTTATTTCGTGTAGAATTGATACTAAATCAATATGTGCCCATACCTTCGGGTATCGCAAAGGCTCATATGCAGGATACGCCGTTTCTCTCACGCCTGGTTCGCCGTAAAGTGGCCACTGGTAAAATTCTACCTGGGAATCGTTAAATTTGACGAAGGCCAGGTTGCTGCTGTCTGTCGAGAACCAGAGGGCAACAGGACTTCCGAACATTTCCTCTGCAAAATGACGATTAGGTTTTAGGTTGATTTTTTGTAATCCATGTTTTAGAAGTCACCATCAAAAGTATTTTGCATATTTTTATAAGCACCTTCATAAACCCAGTCTGAAATTCCATTAAAAACAGCATCATTTCCATCGCTGGTAATTTGCTCGGAAGTATCAGATTGGCCGTGGCTGCTCTTATAGTAAATGTTATTCATGTAAATGAACACAAGCGAGTGTAATGTTGGAGACCATTTGACAAGCTGCAGTTCTTCTTGTGGTTTTGTCTCAAACCCTTTTGGCTGTAGAATTGTAAAATCCCTGCATACCGATTTATGCGAAATTATTGATGATATGTAATTGGCAGAGATAAATGTTTTGAATATTCAGGTAAATTTTCCTTACCCGCTGCTAATATGATAAATATCATACTTGGCTAGATATGAGTGACGCCAGAGCTATTTGGTACAAGGATTTATTAGTAAATTGAAGCGCAGTCAGTACTAAATCATATATTCTGTCATGCTTATTGACTTGTATGCATGCATGTAATGATAAATTCGCTAAACTTTTACTTACACTTCTCCGACTATGCTCCACTAAAATATACTCATTATCGGCAGAGAACGATAACCCCAGACCTTGATTGCCCTAATAAAGCAAGATGAAACGAGACATTAATATTAAACTTAAATATTAAACTTAGTCATTCATAGCCTTGTGAAATCACATGATTATCAACTCTGATATTAAATATTTACTGAATGCTTACAAATCTTTCTTCAAAAACTGTTCGTTCCACCACCGTTCTATTACTTTTTTGAGCTACATTGTATTCCCACACATCACTGCCGGAAATCACTCTTAGCGTGTCATCTAAATATTTGAAATGAACAAATCAAATATTACTATTAAACTACGAATATATATGCCTTTACTTGATCCAGGAATCCACAAGCCTCCAAACCCTGAAGCCCCAAGAGTGTTTCTCAAGACATCGTCAAGTCTCACGGGCGATTTTTCTTGTTTAAACGACTCTCTACTTTTTGGGGGCAGAGCTGATTCTGCCACCAATATCACAATGAGAAGGAGGGTGACAGAAATTGGCAGATTAAAAATGTACATGTTTTTCTTTCTTTCGTCGATAAGTACGTATGACACTTTTTTTTACAGAACGGGTGAGCAATGTGAATTGAACACTTATGACTTAACTAAATATGTGCACACACTAGGCAAATTGGTTACTCCGTCCTCCCACCATTAGATTGACTACGCGAGGGTTGAATACACAAACCAGAATGAAATTTGCAAATGATTCCTCCACACCAGTGCCAATTGTGCATCAATCATTGGAAACAGGTTATCCTGAAACCTAACCAAATGTTCGTACGATACAATGCATTCTGCACACGCACATTATTACCAGCACTCCTGCTGAATCTAAAGCTATTGGTTTAGTAGGAATCAGCGACAAGTTGGTTTGGTTTCATACCACATTGCCTCAGGGAGATTATTCTTCCCATATTCAAATTACTGCGATATGGTTGACTATATAACTTATTTAAACACAAGATGCAATTAAATGATGGTTTACATACTGCCAGCTGAACGAGAAACACCAACACCCACTTTTTTTTAACAACTAAATTCCATTATAGGAGTTGATTGCAAAAATTTTATGGATCGTGTGCTCAGCGTTTGTTTTATAACCAACAATAAAAGAATACATTCTTATTTTAGATGACAGAAACTTTGCATACAACACACAATCGCAATATCAATCAAACAGTGTGGTTGCAATAAAATTAATAATTATGAGTTGTCCAGCAGTCAGCAAACGGCATTGTTGGGGGTTTATTTTCGGGTATTCAGCATTTAGCATACAATGGGAAAAGTTTATTTGACTCCTAAATCAAACCAAGCAAAAGTATACGAGGAGAGTTTAGACAATTTTACATGAAAGCATTCAACATACTTCCATATGTACACACGTAAGTATGATATTTACTTGCGAATTAGGAACAATGTACTCATGTATCTTTCTAATTTGAATAAAAAAATATGTATGCATTTGAATTCAGCCCACTAAAATCCCATCTCATATAAAATTATTTTTCACGACATGAATTTTAGCGTGCAGTATAATGAAGTTTGCATGTGGTGAGGACTCCTCACTGAGGAGTCAAGTTCAAGCTCAAGCACGTAAAAGTATAGCCTCGCTCATATTATTTATTATCACAACTTACCTGCTAGTTTCTCTTTCATCAATTAAACAAGCAACATTTTCTTATCATTGTGGCAAATATATGAAAGTAAAATGACAATGAAGTCCAAATTAGGTTGTTATACTACAGTCGTCAAATTAGTAGTAGAGTGTCGACGTAAGCGGACAAATGTAAAAAAGACTCGTGAAATTTCATACATGGTATCGCTAGTTAGTTAGAAAGCGAATATTCTTCTAAAGGATATTGAGAAAGTGCAAAAATGTAAACATGTGAGACAAGAGGAAAAATGATTTTACATTGGTTTAGACAAATACCATTTTATTTTGTAATATAAAAACCAAAGTATGTGTAACTTGGCCACATATGCAGCAACTTGAAGGTTATATACCGGAATTGCATACCAACATCCAATGCATTCGCCTATTTACTCGCCGTAATTATATGTGCATCACGTTCATACAAAACGATACTGTGTTTCTATTGCAAAACGCCAAGTTAGATTTTTACATCGTAGCCAACTCCTCACATTTAAATAATGAAGATAAACTAACCGCAGATTTAAAGCGCTACGTTTTCCATTTAAGACATTTCCAAGTTATTTCTGCCCAGGGGAATTGAATACAATGGACATGGCTCGTCCGTATATTTTTTCATCAAGTTATTAAAGCTTGACTCTAGGCGCTACAGGATATTGATATTACTCTGCTGTATTCAAATTGAGGTCGCTAAAGCTGAGTTCATACGTAACATTCGTAATGTGCTAAACCGATGTGCGTGCTGCAAAGCATTCTCATATGTAAATACATACGTATGCACATGTGTACATACTACGTGGTGTTGATTGTGTGAGATGGACATTAACTAAGAGGCCAGTTTGACGGATACTCCTACATATTCCTTCTACTGCATGTTATTCCTACTCATGACAATAGTCAGTTCATAGTAACTTGAGCATTAAAATTGACAGTACTTAAAAGTTAGCTGCCTACGAACGAATGCATATCATCATGACACATGATTCAGCATGGATGTGTCACGTTAAACTAAAGTAACTGCTTATATAGACCTTAACAACGCAACAACAACGGCCTGTCAATATTAAGATTCAACCTCTCATTAGTCACCCTTTAGTTAAGCTAAACTAAGGTCGCACTTCCTTCCTTCTTCAACTTGTACGTGCATATGCGTCTTCAAGCAACCCTAGTTCTAAATATCTAATCGTGTAGTGTTGTCAGTTAGTTTTTTAACACGTTGGAGGAGGAAACTGTTGTCAGACTCCTCGAAGGATCAACTTTCAGTTTCAAACGTCGTCTACATTACCATTTGCTCTCGTAAGTCGAAGTAATCGATTTGAAAAATCAAAACTAAAATATACTTTATCAGTTCATCTGTTGTAGATTTGTCACTATTTGTGGGGGTAAACCTAAGACAGAAGTGAAGGGATTTCACATTTTTCATCCTTTTACGCTCACGTGAAAAAGGTGACTATCCATTTTCTAAATCGCGAGTCCTTCTTAAAATTAAAAAAATCAACTCTGTACTTTCATTTTCAGTTAGAGATAATGTGGCTTAATCGCTTATTATTCATTTTTTTAATTCATGCTAGCCATCACAATTTTGACCTATTCTGTCTGGTTGAATTCTCCCAAATCATTTTGTTGTACGAGGGTTGAAAATTAAATCAATTTCATGGTTATTATTCTGGCTTCTTCTAACTCAACCTTGTTATGTTGAATTAAGCAAACAAACAAACACTGCAAGCACAGTACATTTTTACAAATTTGAGGTGGTCTTTGCCAAGAGAAGATTAATTAACCCGCATTTTTATATTTTGTACTTATTTAATCTTGCATGTAAAAATATTAGATTTTAGCTATACACATACAACCATTGATCCCTAATTTCTTATTCCATTAAGCAAATTAACATTTTCATAGCTAATCTCACTCCTGTTAGCTCAGCTACTCGGAATTAAGTATAAATCGTTAAAAATTGAAGAGATAGGTGCACGCCGTGTAAACTTCTTATCATACATACATAATGCATAATATGTGTGTACACGAACATACATGCATAACGATTAGAGAGCTTCATCTTCATACATCGGTGAGTTGCATCTTAATAAATATCACCGCACAACACCTCTGATTTTATCTAGTTACGAGCTTCAGTTTCTATCGCTGTTGTAAATATGGGAAAGATTAGTTGGTGTAAAAAAGCTGAATGAAATTTTTACCACTCGACACGACGCATATTTCAATTAAATCTGTATCTCTCAGCTCGTAACCTTCCCACGCTGACTGATATCTTAAGTGGCCATTTCAAATCATTAAGATATTGTTAATACGGAGCTATCTTGCTTCGTTTTCATTATTTAATAAATTGTTCGTTCAACAGTGCGTGAAAATGGAGTGCAAAGCAATGTGCGGAAATAAACTGGGCTCAGACCTGAGTGAAATCTTGGAAAAGCGACAGGCTCGAAGTGAGCTATCTGAAGAACAAGCGGAAAGCATTCTACAGCAAACGCAAGACACGATTGATCACTCGAGAATGCTCTCGAGGAAGGAAGTCAAGGAGTACAAAAAGCTATTCTCGAGGTACGTCTTACTTTATGTGACAATTTCGGGTACCACTAAGATAGAAGTACTTGTCACTAAATTCCCAATTTGGGAGACACATTTCCGGCGAAAAATTAGCTCGGGGTTGGTCTTACCAAATAACATTACCACTGCTTCCAGACTTCCTGTCATCATAATGGCAAGAAGGCTGAAATGACTTTAGTGACAAGTATATTACTGGGATTGGCAGCTCTAAATGTAGAACATTAGCTTTATTTGTAGTCTTCTCACTTTACAAATTCAGAAAACAAACATTTGGTAAAGCAAATAAGTTGTAAATAAGACTAAAACCACCAATTTCGTTAACCAGGAACTGGGGATTCCTAACCTAACCTAAAACGTTTTTCTATAAACCATACTGTGACATTTTTACAGTAGAGTTTGATTATATATGGTTTAAGCTGTAAATATGTGGTAGAAATACAGAAACAACACATATAATTTTGCGTTGTTTGTTTTCTATATTAGATTTGACCACGATTTAGATGGCTTTTTGGACATCGAAGACATGAAAAGAATGATGGAAGACCTCGGTGCCCCTCAAACTCATTTGGCTTTGAAGAAGATGATAAAAGAAGTAGACACAGATAATGACGACAAAATTAGTTTTAATGAAGTGAGTTTCTTAACTTTCTAGTCCCGAGGAGATGATCCATTATTATTATTAAATTATGTTGAAACAAGTGATTAGTCTAACGATGATGGGGTGATGTTTGCCGTTTAGTTTCTCCTCATCTATCACAAAGCCAAGGCGGGTCAGCTAGAGGTTGACGGCGGACTTCATGCTTTGGCGAAGATAACAGAGGTGGATATCACTGAAGTGGGGGTTGTTGGAGCCAAAGGCTTCTTTGAATCAAAGGTAAACACGTGGCGGTTATGTACGTGCATGATTTACAGACCTTGCGTCGTACATATTGTACCAATGTTTTCGTTTTCTCTTGTAGATTGAACAATTAAAAGCACAAAACAAATTCGAACAGGAAGTAAAAAATGAACAAGAAGAAAAGCGCAAGGCTGAATCGGAAAAGAAACAAAAGCGTATGGAATTTGCACAAAAGTATGCATTTTTCGAACAAGTTACACTTACTCCAGGGCCCGCACAATAATTTCATGCAATGTGTAAATTATATAGTCAGTCAGGCACCGTAGTTCAACTCTCATTATTATTGCTTCAAACTATTTACTGTCGATTTTTAAAAATTGTATATTTCAATTATGGTTCCATATGGGATCATTTTATATGATTAATTTTACGAGGCAATAGAATAATATTTCTTGGATGTCTAATCTCAAAAGCGTATGCAAATAATTTTATAATACGTATTTTACTATTGTGTAGTCTAACATTCTCTGAAGTGCAATAAAAAACTTCATTTTTATCCAATTCTGTTATCCAAACCTTGTTTCTGCTTTCATCTTGGTGTTTTTGTTTGTCAGAAGATTAATACTCGGAAACAACACATTAATTATTTGCTCGAAATCAATATTATGTACGATAAAGTTGCCAATTTTGAGATAAACTAGTTTATCTCCGCACAAAGGAACCGATTCATCACAATTAATCAAGAGCATGCAATAGTGACACATTAGCCAACATCCTCCAAATCCGGCCAAATGATGGATAAACCAATTATCGCCGGAAAACAGTTGCCTAACGTCGCTCCCATCCATCTCATTCATTAACCTCACGTCAGATTACAGAAATTGAATAAAACTCTACCACATCCGATGAATTTCCCGTAATTCAATATCTGCATAATGGGTTTGTGACCGTGGATGAAGTGCCCCAAAGACATGCCCTCTGATTGAGATGAGACGCAGCCAGACGTACATTTGTGCATGTGTAGTATCGACCAAGTAGACCTGTAGAGTGGAGATTCATAATGCCTTGTTAGTTGTTGTGACTCGATAATAGACGATAACACCTACACGTTCTCGTAAGCACATCATGTCAAGCAATCAGCCTCCGATATAAACATACAATATAAATTAATTGCAAATGTTCGTGACTTGGCATGGTTTACGTGTTGTTGAATTGCCTTGAATTAAATGATGATACAAATAAATACCCAGAGCACAGGGTAAGCAGGAGAAAGAGAGCAGAACTTCGTCGTAAGAACCAGAAGAGGATTACATGAATGCATTAGAAAGCGTCCTCTCGGTGCATTTGTTTGTGGTCATAAAAGCTCTAACGCTTAATGGTAATAATAATACGAGAGATCAACCAGCACAAACGGTTGAATTAGGCCTAATGGCAAAAATGAGATACGACGCGCCCAGCAGTAATGAGATAGCCTGGAGAGAGTAATAATACTTGCACACACACCTGGAAACTTTCTCAGTTTCTGGCAAACCAAGTAGCTTTCTGCATAACCATCGCTGCATACATATGAAAATACACATGAACAAGGTTTCCTGGTTTTCGTTAAACACAAAAATCATAAAAAGCCATAAGTGCACTCCTTTTTTTGCCAGGTGCTACTGCTTTCCGCACAAAAGTCAAACAGTTTCAAAGTGAATCTCTCTCGTTTACTAGCTTGTTGCTTATTTTGGGGGACATACTGGCTTACATCATCTTCATGACGGGCAGTTTATGCAAAGTAATCATCCAAAACGAGTCCAGCAAGCAAGGTGTCAAACTTCACGTAACTTTACGTTCACATCAGCATCTTGTTCTATAATAAATCCGGAATGCTTTCTCACAAGTTTTGTATGACATGAAGCAGACTGGATTGCCATTCATCATACTAATTACATTATCAGACATTATCGTGAAGATATTTTAAGTTACACAAACTCGTGGAATTGCGATTGTGTTTGATTTGGTGAGTGAGTGTTGCCCAGTTATGTTTGCCGAGTGTAATATATACATGTAACCATTACAAATAATAATTCTGTTTTCCGTTTCATCCTGTGCAAATGTCAGATAAGAGTTGGTTTAGTTTGTAAAATTCATGACATGGGGTGAAATACAACCGCTTGCATTACTCACATATTCCAAAGAGCAAAGCAGTTTCGTGATTGCATGTCCTCGATATATTTTTAAAATTATTATATACAAATCCCGACGCAATAAATTGTGCTTTAAAGTTCGCTAGTGGTGAGTGGATCGTAAATTTAAATCTGAAAAATAACTGACCGTTTTCAGTCAAGTGAGTCACTCAGTGCGAGTTTGAGTGGGGAGTTATTTTGCGGGCGCTGATATTACTTTGCAGTTAATTTCCTGCAAGATTCGTGTGCTTCTCGTTAATTTCACCTTTAAGATTGTTTGAGACGAACGTTCTTCAATCGTTTATTTATCTATTTTTTTAGCCGAGACAATAATGAAATCCATTTCGTCCAAAATTTATTTTACTAAATAACAATGAACTATATTTTTTACATTTCATAAGATCCTATTAAAAATTATGGTGATGAGTGGATTTATGGGTTTTGTGGGTGTGGGGCTCCTATTATTTCTGGGGGGCAGTAACGGCCAAAATCTCGTCAATCTGACAGCACCACGAAATGAGTCGCTGACAACAGTAAATACTTGTTGTGCAATCGATCTTCAAAGCGATATTCCAGTGAAATGTGGGAATCAGGACGATCAAATGACCTCGTCGGCATCTCTGACAGTCCCAGCTCATTTGATGGCTGAGAATACAAGCTTCTCTTTTGGGTGAGATTTTTCATGCGTAACACTCTTAAAATGACACTCGTGTACACATATTACATAAATACAAAAATACATGCATAGTATTTATAAAATTTGAATCAATCAATGCTTGTTCATACTTAGGTTGGCTGTTCGTCCTATAAATTGTTTGGATGGTGAACATGATACTGTTGGAATGATTTGGAATATTTCTGCAGGACGAGGTGCGTCATTTTTCCTGAATAATGGCTACCTTAAACTTATAGATCACTACTTTCATCAAGACGAGTACTGTATTAACGGGTATGAAATATAATGAGCCTGCATGTGTGTATGCATAAAATTACAAAAAAATATCAAATTCAAGTTTTTCATTGTAACTGCAGGAAAAATGCAACGACTTTAGAAATCTCTGTTTGTCCTCAAAATTGCAAAGGGCCACGTCCATGCATTGTTAAATGCTGTGGATTGCATCAAGTATAATTTAATTTAATCGACTTTTTAGTATTACAAAGAAATTTATAAAAAAATTATCCGTAAAGGTCTACAATTTCGCCTTCACGCCAAACTCCCCTCAGAGAGGATGTCAAAATCCGAGTCCGGAGGGGAATTATTTTTCTCCAGTGCTGTACAAAGATTTTGAACACGAATCCCTAAATCCTGGACAGCTTGCCCCACACTACATTGAAAAATACCCTTCCACCTTCAAGTACCAGTGTCATGAAAATAAAACGACGCTATTTCTGTTTCCTCGCACAGCGCAAACTATTGCAAGTCACACTGGTTTTAATGTAACTGGTCACCCATTTAAAATTAGAGATGATGGAAAAATCTTGTATCGAGAGCAGGACGGAGTTTGCGCCGTTATTGATCCCTTATCCATGAATATTTGCGTAGATGCAATCACAAATTTCGCACCGGAATTTACATCCTTTAATAATCATCCTGAAGAGCTCGTGATTTTCTTGTGCTCACTCAAACCAAAAGATGTAAGAATTCATACAATATTTAATTGGTGAAAATATTAGTGATTAGTAGATAAGCACATCTTTTACTTCGTGATTTGCAGGGAGAAGCTGAAGAAGGAGGTGATTAGAGCGTTTTTTTAGGATGACACATACTTAGAAATGTTAAAAATGCTGATTTATCCTTTTGCTAGGATTCTTTTATGGTAGTTTAATGATTGGGAGCTCGGTTTTTCTGCTTTTAACTATCGCTGTCTATTTCATGCTATGGGAAAGACAAACGGTTCACGGGTTTCTACCAAATACATGATAAAAATGAAATAATGCTCAAAGTAACAATTATAATCATACATTACTTGATCCCATTTTAGGTGGACAATTCTATCGCACACGATCTCCCTCTTTCTCATGTACATCTTCCTGGGCACCTCACACATCCTGCGTGTAACGATCGGTCATTCCATTCTCAACACACAGTTTTGTTTTGCGATAGGTTGGCCAGACTTCAAAATTTCTAATCGTAAAAGTAACAATTTTAAGTTTATGTACATATTCTTAGGTTTGCTGTGTCACTTTTTCTTCTTATCCACTTTCTGCTGGCTCTCCATGATCAGTATTGGTATACTAATATATATTATATTAGATAATATATATATTATATATATATTATATATATATTATATTATATTATATTATTATATCTAATATTATAATATCTAATATATAATTAGATCTCTGGCTAACATTTAGGTAAGTTAGGTTTAGTAAGGTTTCCAGTGTTAAATTTGTCCTAATTGAGGTGTTTTAATCGTTACACTGCAAATTTAGGGCGATAACACCAAGAAGAGGAACCAAGTCAAAGGGATTCAAGCGTTACACCTTCTACTCCGTTGTGGGGTGGGGGGTTCCCGCCATAATTGTGGGGACGGGGTGGACGCTAACTAAAGAACATCCGTGGGTTACTCATGATTTTGCGCCTAGTGTAAAATAAAAAATAAACATTGAATGCATAAATTGCAGTGAAAGGACATGCGGCACGGTGATAACTCCGGGATATGGAATAACTTCCTGCTATTTGCAAGAGAAAGCATTGGGAGCTTATCTTTACTACCCGATCGCGATGATGATTGGAATCAATCTCCTCTTTTTTACAGTGACATCAGTAAAGTTGTACATGTATCAAAACAGCACTAAAATTGCAACTAAGGATGACACCCAGCAGCAATTGTGAGTACATATATCAGTAAAACTACATTATTGGCCAAGTGAATAAATCAATTAAATTTTAACTTTTTTGAATTTAGCTATCGACTGTTCTTCAAGCTATTTTTTGTGATGGGAATTCTGTACATTTTTGAACTGATTTCGTGGGTTATTTCTGGCTCTGGCGTCTTTTGGTACTGGGCAGCTTTTGATTGCTTGAATATTCTTCGAGCAGTTGCAGTTTTCATTATTTTTGTGTGCAAACCCGACATCCTTTGGGCTTTGGAGCAAAATTACCCTTGGATAAAGCGTAAGAGCATAATTTCTCTGACATAACCATATTTTTCTTACCGATCATGAAAACGAAAAGTGGCAAATACTAATATTTTTCGACTGTTTGAAATTGATAAACTAATTGTTTTTTTATAGCAATACTCATCCCGTTCGCATGCATCACACGCAAGCAGCGCACGTTTTCTCAGCGACGTGAATCAGAGTCAATTGGGCTTAACTCATCTCTCAGCACGAAACAAAGTACTCTTCGAAGCACGAGTCGAAATATCAGCAGCCGAATAATGGATTAATAATCTCTGGCCGAGCACAACTGACATTTCTGCACTAATTAATCTGCTATAAATTTGCTGGAAAATGCCAAAACAATTTTCTGAATAGATTATTACAACTATTGTAATTACACGTTATGCTTATGCAATCTCAGCTAGAAATTTTAATATCGTGCCATAGTTAATTAATATGCATACACAGAATATTTAGATTCTGCACGTTATCTCAAACTAAACTTGTACATAATATGAATCTGTTTAACTCTACGTTTGTGCTAGTATTCCCATGCAACCCTAGTCATGAGACATATTCCTAATGCTTGGTATTATTGTGCTTCCAATCCAAAGGATTTATCACAATGTACAATACATCGATATGTACGCTTAATAAAATGTTTAAAACTTGACACTTGTGTAACATATCCATTAAATGATTCGACGTACAAACACACACCTTTTCAATAAATGGGGTAAACAAATGATGCAATTCACCTCATCATTTTATTATGCGGCTCCAGTTAGTTGGACATTGGACGTTCCATTATGTTGCCAGCTCGGTATGGAAGTCTATGTACATATCCCAGCATCTCTTTCCAGTGCGTTGCCAGATGCTAATGCATTCTGTTTGAGTTTATGATTGTGAAGGTCATTTTATGAAAGTGTTTTGGTGTCTGCACAACAGCACATCATCCGAGGATTACAGTGCATTCAGTTTCATATCAGGAAAAATAAGATATCGTTGGTGCTCAAAGGTTGGCTGACAGTTCCTTCCTTTAACCATTCGTAATCACAAGTTCCAGTAATCATATAGCACAACTCGTTCAGCTCCAAAGTAATTTTTGGAATTTTGCATTTCATCATGAGTTGGGAAACGTAGGTGTATAGACATCATTTATGCAAATGCGCAGACATTTTTGAAAAATACAAAAATGCTGTTAACATTGGAACGCAGGCTTTGTAAAATAATTCCGAAACAATCTGTTAATTATTTCAGTCATACAGGAGCGAAAGTGGACCATCCATTCTTTCGCCACTGTGAACAACAAACTGAGACACCGGTTCGTGGGACTATCGTCAAAGGTGAGATTACTTTTTTCTTTGCAAAAATCTATCAGAGTATTAATTGAACGCCTCTAAACTGTGTGTAGGTCATCTTCCTCCATGGTTAACAGGTGTTTTGATACGCAATGGTCCAGGAGTTCAAAAATTCGGAAATACAAGTTATGCTCATCTCTTTGATGGCTGCAGCGTCCTGCACAAATTTAAAATTGCCAACGGAGAGGTATGTAATTAATTTATATGTAGACGCGTTCTTGACATTGCTCAATACTATTTTGTGTTTTCAGGCAACCTATCAAAGTAGAGCATTGGAAAGTGAAGCGTACCAGCGAAACACTGCAGCTAATCGAATTGTAGTCTCGGAATTCGGAACTCATTCGTTTCCTGACCCTTGCCTCTCTATTTTGGGGAGGTATGTACATATTCACACCTTTGCCTAAGTAGCATTTGTATGATAACGTTGGGTTATCTTTTGAATGATTTGAATCGTCTTTTCAGGCTGCAGGCCAAATTTGAGGCTGTACTTGGAAAGGGAAATCGTGAAATGGAGATGACTGATAATTGCAGCGTTAACGTCGGGTATGAAAATTATTCACTTGTTAAAAATTAATAGAAACAAAGATAAATCATACGACGAGCTCCTAAAGTAAAGCAAGTAAAGTGAGTTATTATTCATAAGTTCTGACGCGGCTTAAAAAAAACAGTTTATTACAAAGCGTGAAGTTGAAATTTTTACAATTTTGTTAATAATTCTGACAAATATGATTCTCTGCATGAAACAAAATGATTTGACCCCACCGACACATTTGTAACTAGTTTCTTAGTAAAAAAACGTATCAGAGCTTATGAATTATTTCATAAGTCTCAATCCAGGGAGAAATCTTTGTTGCATATATCCTCCATCAATTATTTGATTGTAAATAGTTTCTACTATTTATTTTAATTTGTTTTGATATTCGTACGAATTTTACAAATGGTATTATGTAGCTTGTATTGATTCTCCCTTGTGAATGCCTATGAATTAGGATTAATACAACTCATTTGAAATCTATTTATAATTAGCTACATTTGATTACAGATATTACGGAGATCAGCTATACGCAATGACAGAAACGGTCTTTATTCGTCGAGTCGATCCAGAAAGTCTCAAATGTATCGGAGACAAGACTAGAATTAGAGATCACTGTGCACTCAATACGGCCACGTAATACGTCATTAATTTTACAATTATACAGCAAGGCATATATGTTTCACATACAGTCAGGTGCAAATCTTTAGAGCCACCCTTATTTTCGTCATAAATTTTGATCGCGTCATCATAAAATTACCAAATTGGTTAATAATGTGTGCAACACTATCCTACACAAGAGTCAGGGGCCACGAAGTCGAAATACACCACATACAATTTTTTCCTTACTAAATGTAAAAAATAGGGGGTGCAAAACTTTAGAGCCACCCGAAAAATTTGGCTATTAAATACACTTGTTCAGTTCATGCTTTATTAGAACATGTAGTTTTGATATCTAGAACTCTGAGACACTTCCTTTCTTCGAATTTAAACCACAGCTTCTATTCAGGATGAAGTCAGCACATTTTTTCCCCTCTTCCTCTATAAACTAAAAAAATTCTTGTTTCAAGTTGTTATCAGCGTCGGTTCAGCTTAACCTTTGTTTATATTTTGTTAGCAATACCCTGCAATGCATTTGGATAGAATTGAGGTCAGCCGACGATCTGAGACTGCCCCGTAGATGGGTCTCATTGTCATCGAAACTTTTTTTCGTTGCTCTTAGATACAGAATATTGGCCCAAATTCTTGAAAAACGAGCTTCCTCCGCCCATTCTGGCTTGATTCTTCACAGTCTGATCTTGGCATAATTCGTGACCACATTCCGGGTCCATTGTACCACGAGAAAGCTCCACCTTCCTTGTAGTATGTATCGCTGGCGACACTCAAATCATTACATAATCCTCCACCGATTTATTTTATGAGAAACTAGTTGGATCTCACCAAAATCGTGAGAAAATGGAAGAAGACTGTTGAAGGCATCCATTCAGAATGATTTCATATTTTTGTAAAGTACTGGGTGTACGGAACCCTATACCCATTAGCGCATTCCAAATCGTTGGCTCGTCCATGTCAGTTATCGAGGTTTGTCTCCTTGATTTCGTTAATTCGAGGGAAGGGGTTGGTTCTAAAACTTCTCTAGCAATCCCCTTAGAGTGAGCAAGTTGAAATTTGCACGCGCGAGACGATCTTCTTGATTGCTGCTACTCAAATTTAATAATTATCCGCGTGGTTCAAGCTTAGACCTCATCCATCCTTTACTGTTTTACCAGTATCTTGAATCAATGTCAACGAATTTTGCCTAAACTAACAATTCTGGCCTATTTTCTATCAAATCTGGTGTTAGAGAGTGCCAGACAACTTCAAACCCGATATCCCGATAGCTTCATATTGAAATGGTCATAATTACCTTCCAATGCTCCCATGAATGCGGACAAAAATTTAGTTATCGCAAAATGCTCGCCGATCGGCTTAGAAACTCGTGCTATACTAGTTAAAAATGTAAAATCATTAAGTTCTTTCTCAGACCAAAAAACAGAGGATAAATTCGAAATAGAAACTAGGTGGCTCTAAAGTTTTGCACCTCCTATTTTTTGCATTTAGGAAGAAAAAAATTTTATGCGGTGTATTTCGACTTCGTGGCTCCTGTCACTTGTGTAGGATAGTGTTGCACACATCATTGCTCATTGGTAATTTTATGATGACACGTTCAAAATTTATGACGAAAATAAGGGTGGCTCTAAAGATTTGCACCTGACTGTATTTCCAACTACGATCTAACGTAGGAATTACTTTTTGTTTCAGGGCACACCCTCATTGCTTCGAAGATGGGACAATGCTTAACGTTGGCAACAACTTCAAACATAAGGGAGGCCCACACTACTGCTTCGTTAAAGTTCCTCCAAAATTTAACAGTGAAGGTATTCATCATATTTAGAAATTAGTTTAAAGGATATTTACGATATATTTTCATACACGCCGAATTAATCATTCCGTATAGAAACTGCATACAAAGAGGCGACAATTATTGGATCGATTCCGAGTAGGTGGAAGTTCAATCCGTCCTACTTTCATAGGTTCGAAAAAATGAATCCAATAATTATTTTGTGGCCCATTTGTACAAAGGGAGTCCACACCATGTAGCACATATTATTGTGAGATTGTGACCCACTCAGTTTGACAGACCAATTCTCCATAAACAACATTAGGTGTGGTTCGTGAATTTGCGGCCTCGACAAGTCGCTGAATTTGTCAAATTTCCGCAAGTGCCGCACTAAAAGTTAATTTTGAGAGTTGGTCTATCGAACTGCGTGGGTCACAACTATTTATCTGGGTATTACATGACTTGCGCTCCCATTGTTAGTTTTGGAATGACACTGGACAAGATCATTTTCGTCGAGGCTCCGTTGTGCTTAAATATCGTTTCTATGCTATCATCGCCATTATGGAACAAGTCATATGAAGAATGCATGACATGGTATCCGAACGAGAAGGTATGAACCTATATTTTGAGTAATTTTGTGATCATCATGCACCAAGAAAATATATTTCAGGCAAGGTTCCACGTTTTATCAATGGATGATGGGAAACCAGTCCCAATAACTTACGAAACCGATGCATTCTTCACGTTTCACCATATCAATTCGTACGTGAGTGATGATGGAGCTGAAATTATTTGTGATGTTGCCGGATACAATGATGGAGAAGTAAATAAATGACGCAAATTAAAACAAATTTACTTCCAGCGAAATTCTCTAATGAGTTACTTTTATCTAGTTCGTGAAAAAGGCGAATGTCAACCAGTTGAAAACTGATCTTGATGCCATGAACGGGGCTACTGCTCGTCGATTTATTTTACCTCTCAGCATCGAGGTGATGTACATGAATAGTATGTTTCTTTTAGTATTTTCCTGTCAGTAATTTTTCGAATTATTTAGGGTGCAAAAATCGATGAGAATTTAGTGAAAATGAAAAACACAACGGCAACCGCAGTTTTGAGACCTGGAAATGTTGTGCATTTGACCCCTCATCATATAAATAAGGAATGGGCGGAGCTACCAAGAATTGTACATTTTTTGTGCTATTTAAAGTATTTATTTTAAGGAATACTAAATATAAATTCTAAAATCTCAGAACTACAGTTACAATGGGAAGAAGTACAAGTACACTTATGCAATTGCGTCCAGCGAAGATGTAAGTGCTTGTGTATATTTCAAAAATATCAATGATTATAAGTGATATCGAAGTTATATCACGTAGTTATCTGCTTATATTTTTTAAGGTCATGAACTACACAATTCCTAGCGCAACAAAGGTGTGTGGACTATCTTACGGCTTGTCATTACTAATTCGGAAATAATAATGCATTATATTTCTGATATATATTTTATGTTGATATTAGATAAGCAAGATAAATGTCGATGATGGAACCACCAAGTCGTGGTTATCTAAGGGGGTTATGGTGTCTGAACCGATCTTTGTCCAAGGTAAAACCTGGGACAACTTACTTACGTTTAATTTCTCTTTAGACATTGGAGTTAAATTACAAAGTCTTCTCGCTAAAAATCCTTTCATTTTTCGCTTTAGATCCCACAAAACCAAGTGGTGCTGAAGACGATGGAGTGGTCCTCACAACTGTCTTCCACACGAATCCAAAGGAAGTGAGTCTTGTGGTCTTAAATGCACCTGACATGACAGAGCTCTGCGAAATAAAATTCGAAGCATCTGGCACTGTCACCTCTACGTTCCACGGCATATGGAACTCAAACTGAAGATAACTTTGCTATATGCAACTTATCAATAAAAATGAAGTGAGTATTCGTCGAAAATAATTGTAAAATCCATACATAAGAAATTTTATTAAGAAGAGTTTGGTGAGTAAAAGCGATTAGTAGTTAGTCCTTTCACCGTGAAAAATAAAATCTTTAAAAGTTACTTCTTGTACCCAGACCCAGGAAAATGAACTAACAAGCTACATACGGATGAATATGTACATTATACATCAGACAACCAAGTCATACAACCTTTCTTTATGATATAAAAGGGATATCTTCTTACTTCCACGATTGAAATTAAACTAACAAAATAAATAAAAAAACACGAATTGTTATAAAATTTGCGTTAATACATTCTCCTTTTCATTTCTGCATTCGGATCAATCAAACTTTGACTCATATTTCCGGAGAAATCCGTGAATCGAATAAGACCCTTGTATGCGAAGGGATCCTGAAATAAATGAATTCAATTTATGTCAAATCGTACTTCATTTTAATGAACCTAATCAATCTGCATGTAAATACATATGTGTAGCTATGATTAACATACTTTAATTTAGAATTACTTACGGTGTCACGTCTGGCACTTTTCTTCAAAAAATAGACGACGATGAATTGACAAGAGGGAAAGTCAATCGTGTTGTCAACTAGTAGTGGATAATTTTTAATTATTGCAAATGAACCCAATAAATCAATAAGTTAAGCAGGTTTACTCACTATGTTGCACATCAAATTGTGCGGTTTCTTTGTTAAGAACTGTGTACGTTGCCGTTTTCAAATGCTTCTCCATAATGTCATCCAACTCTTCAAACTGGTCGAATCCAGGAAACATTTTCTGCATTACTTTAATTACTCCTTCACGAGTAAGTGCGGCTGTGTTCTTCTCTTCATATTGTTTGAATAGTTTATCCAAATCTTTACATATCACAAAATCATGAGTAAATTTTCAGCATAAAGTTGCAACGTTTGCTGTGTGTTAATAATATTGTTAATAAATGATTGTTACATTGCTTGGATTCTCGGCGAAGTTTCTCCTCCTAAAAATTCCGATGTAATAATAATAATTTAATAAATAATTAATTCCGAAATAAAAACATGATAAAATGATTCATAACAATTGATTCGTACCATTTCGGTGGGGCTGGTTGTGTGTCTAGTGTAAAAATGACGAAAGAAAAGACTGATTGCCGGAAGGCAAAGTGAGACTTTTGGGATTGCACAAGTCAAGATGAGATTTACTCACTCACGAAACGAGGAGCGGATTATAATTGAGCTTGATGCAACAAAATGAGACGGGTTTTTGTTTTGTTGCTCAACCCGACTTTTTGCTAAGAAGGCAATCCCAGCAAAGATAAGACAAGACAAGAGCTGAAATTAATCACAAGCTGAAAGAATGCAGATTGAGCTTGGGTGAAATTGGGTGGTCCAAATTCTCCTAATGGCACAGAAAAGAAAGTTGATGCAGAGACAACCACCAACACAATCAGCAATGCCCGAGGTCTGAGCAGCCCCTTTTTATACCCCGGTATTTTTATTCCATCATCTCTCACTATAAATACCAAATCCAATCCTACAAATGGCCAAAGACAAGGTATACAGATTAAAAATACATATGCGGAATTGAAATTGCGACATTTTTCTCAGGGTTTGTACATAAAGCACATGATCGACTTAACAGGGCGTCAGGCGTCGATGCCTCGATCAACTCCACCTAAGCCCATCTTAAACTTAATAATCTATTATCCTACGAGTGTAAAAATCGATCAAAAATCAATCTCATCCTGTTTTCACGGAAGAAGCTCAATTTTAATGCATTTGGGTATAGCATGAAATTAGTAAACTTTGAAAACTATACGTATGTGCATCTAAGAGTTAAGTTTAACTCCCTAATTAGCGAAACATGTGCATAAGCGTGCGTCAATAAACTGACCAAACTGCGACTTTAGTCAATATATTCCAACTCGTCCCATTAACCACCCCACGCCAGAACTCGTCGCCACTAAATTATGAATGACTCCAGAAGACTGACATTGTAAATATTTGTCATTGAATAAAATTTCCTCTAGAATAAATCAGCACGTGTCTTTGATTCAGTTGTAATTTGCATGTGCATCATATAAGCTTGACATTTAAAAGTCATTCATTCTCGGTAAGTAAACATTCTCATAGTCTTAAAGGCTCCCTTGAGATGCAACCCTTATATAAGCAGTCAACTTATCACGAATTACCATAAAATGTCGCCAACCACATGAGCATCATATATTTTTCGAACATGTGAGTTGGATATTGTATAAATATTAGAGAGCGAACATATTTCTTATATGTACATATTACTGATTATTCAACGCTTTCCAAGGTCCAAACTCAACGACGCGTAAAAAAGACTAGAAATCAATCGATTTTGTATCACTTATCTATTTACAACTTTCATATACGCATTAGTCAGTTCATTGGTTATCCAAAAATAGACCACATATCTATATGTAGTTATCATTTGATTATAAATAAACATTCAAAACAACCCATAATAAATTCAACCTACGTAGAAAACAGTATTATGTATACCATTGCAAGATTAGACATTGATACAACGGTACATACATAATTATGTATATATGTTACACATGACTGCGTTTGCTGGTGAGGATCTCATTTGTTGCCAGCCTTTATTAGATAATACGGTCTTAAAGAGATTTAGGACTTTTGACTCCTTGCAGTCCTGAATTGAAACTAGAGACGACGACTGAATGGCGGAGGACATAAATTATTCAGCATACTTTCCTCTTCCTACACTATACTCCAAACTGCCTTCTGTAATTTCCTATCCAATTAATTAGGAAATTTATGGCTAGACATTAGTCCAGGGAAGGCAAGCATTTTTACTTGTGACTGCCCATAATGTAACATGATACCATTTGTAATATCGCTATTTATACTTTTGTACATACATATGTGCACACATATTGCAAGGCCTAGGTTAAATAGCAATGCAATCCTAAATATTGTGAACCAGATCTCACCTTAGACGAGGAATGAGATCGACACTTGGTTATTTTAGGCCATCCAGTGTCAGTCTTATCGTATGATCTTAATGATACAGCAATTTCATGAGAGAACAGCGGTTAGATAACATTACAAGAGAGACTATTATGTACAACTGTCGTGTTTTTGCTCACAGATTGTTCTGCCAATGTAAAATTGTATCAATGACTGAGCAGAAACCGTCACCCAGCACACACAAAATTAATTTTGGACGGAATTTTTATTGCATTCGTCCTAATGCGAGTACATTTCAAAAGAATCCTCCTTTCAAAAGTAGTCGTTATACAACTTGCTGGTTGGGCTGTGAGGTTGTTCTGTGGCTGGGCGAGTGTGATAATAGCGTCAAATTGACGACACATGCAGAGGTAGCGGGTGACTAATTGCCAGAGTGTGCAATGATGATGGGGGTTCAATGGGGTGAAGATGAGTTTCTGGCTCCGTTGGTGAGAGACGCTGCATCTCGTGAAGGTCATCATATAACCACAAAAGCGTCGTTCTTCTTTCGGCGGAATGCCATTGTGCCTGACGAGAGATGGAAGGTTGCTGGATTATGACTCACTCGAAAGCAATGCAAAGAAAGGAAGGTTGTCACTCGTATATATTTTACACTTGCGAGATCTAAAATATAAAATTTTCACCCAAATATAAAATAACACGCATCACAGAAAAAATATTGTGCGGTGAGAGTTTGACTCAATTTAAATTCGAATATTTAGGTAAATTGTGGTTAATCGCGTACAATGACCCACTATCTATGCTCAAACTATTTTTTGCATGTTTGGACTATGTCTCCAACAACAAAAGTTTCAAAACAAAAGTCGAACAAGTAGATATTTAAAAGTATGCAGGCGACTGAGGGAAACCTCATTTTCTCATCGATGCCACACCACGGAACACGACAAGTGCTAAATACAACAAGCAATCATCAATTAAGTTTGCGACACAGTTTATGTATTATGCGAGTGCAAGTTGTTTTGGATAGATCAGGATGATCCAACACCACGTTGGAGAAAACGGGATCAAAGACATAATGAATCATGGTGATGTAGCCAGCAAACAGCAGAAAATAATAGGCCAACTTCCGACTTGATCGAGTGTGTCTCTTCCCTCTGTTTAATTCAGTTTTTTTCACTAAAAACTATCAACATTTCCTTGAATATTTTGAAACCCACACACTGATGAAAGCATCAAATAAAGGACAATAGCACGAGAATGTTCAAGACGTGGGAGACCGAGTTCTTAATAGTTGTGGCGCCTTGCTTGTATTCTAATGCTAAGTTTCAACAGATTTAATACGCAGTTGACACTTTACGTGAAACTGCAAACCTGTAAACTTGTAAATCAGCAAAACTGCAAATTGATACCATGATTCGATGATTGAGGAGTAAACGGGTGACAAGTTGGGATGGAAAAAGTTAAATGACGCATGTCAAAGAGGTGGCGGAGAATGATTTGTTGAGTATGGCTTCGAAAAAGCATCCCACACTTGTAAATTTGTCCCAAAAGGTTTGTGGACACAAAGTCTAAAATTAATTATTCAACTCTCACCCATTGAACGAATAGTTTAATCCACACGAATTTAACGTGTGTGTGTGTGTGGCTTATCATCACTTTTCAGTGTATCTGTATACATATCATATGATGGGATGTTACTGCTGGGGATTGGTGGTGTTCATGTTAGACATCTTCCTCGACACCACTTGAGCTCAAGAATGCCAACAATGGGTCGATTGCCAAATATTTTTTGTCGAATTCTTCTTACCTCCCAATATTGATCTTTGTCAGCTTTTATTGCTCATGGGAGGAGACAAATAATCATTTGATATTCACTTGGAAAGAGTTTCCGAATTTTGGCTCCAACCTGTCATTAAACCAAGCTCCGTGACCACAAACCTACCAACCTAGTAGTCAAAATAATGATTAACTCTCAGACGTGTGACATCAGCTTATTTATAGTGGCTTGTTTTTACTTATGTCGGAAATGAGATTATTTTAGTCATGGAGTGTGTAATGTAGCGTGTCACACGTTAAGATTATTCCACCCATTTATTAGTCGATTGGATAAATCCTTATTAGACACATAATTTCTCTGGCTATAACCAGAATAACCACAAAGATTCTTCAATATAAATAACATTTAACTGACTATACCTTGAAGTACAAGGTTATTGGGTTCACAATACGAATGAACTTGTTCACACTTAAAGACTATGTTGACAGGTTACGTAACCATAAAATGACGAGTAGTGCAAGTATGTATGTATATCTGCGTAGAGTGACAAGTACTTCCTATTTTTACTCATATCGGTTGGGGCTGTCCAACAAAAATATTTGTCTAATTCTACACCACGACCATAACCTTGTGAAACAAATCCAGTTGTCTGGAGCCAGACACACACATCGCGAGCAGTAGCGACCAGGGGGGTTATCAACCGTTGCTGGCGGAGTACAGCTCCCTGAAGTGTCTTGCAGAAAACATAAAAAAATGTTTAAGTATTTATGTATGATTAATGCTAGTTGTAAATATTTTAATAACGACTTACGAACAACGTATGCATCTGCACTACAAAAAAATATTATTACAAATATTGTAATTAATAACCACGGATGAAATGCAACAAAAGAGTTCATGTCGAGCGAGTAGAAAATATTTTAAAGTTCTTTTATTGGTGTTAGAAAGTTTGGTTGCACACCGTCAGTTCTTAATCTAGATTAAGTTTGCAACTGACTACCAGTTAAAAAACCGTTACCACTTAGACTCGAATTATTTATACTTGAATAATATTGTAGACATCGGCAATAATAATCACCTTCTCAGGTGTCATTTTCTTGTTGTTGACCATCCATTGACGGTTTTTCAGCCTCTGAGTTTGGCAGAAGATTCGAGTCGTCGTTAGTAATCTGTGCTGCAGGAGTAGCAGTGTCTAGTGTTGCAGAGATGTCAATTTCTTCGACGGATGACATTTGGGGTAAAGACTCCAATGCGATTTGATCCACAGCCTCGTCAATCTGAGGCTGTATTTGAGTGGAGGTGACCTGGTCGGTGGGTAGCATGTCGTCGACCTTCTCAGCAGTATTAATGGTTTCTGTCTCATCATTTAACGAGATTTGTTGAGGGGAAGACGGAATCTCAGGTGAACCAAGAGTGGCCACTTGTTCAGTGATGATATCGTTTACCGGAGGTGGAGGTTCTTCGACAGGTAATATTTCTGGAGGAGCCACAGTTTCTACTTGGCTTGTATCTCCTTGAATCTCGGCGATATGCTTAGCATCCATTTCTTTGAATAAAGTCTCGGTAGAACTAATGCGCTGGATATCTTCAGTAGTTTGGCCAGGGCCACTGATTGGCACAGGTTCAGGAGGTTTGGTGGTTAAGATTGCTGCGTTCTGTGGATTTTGTTCTACTTGATACATCCAACTGTTGTCCCTTGGTTTAGAGAGAGAATTCTTCTTGAGATCGTGTGTCTCCAAATATTTAAAGACTTGTGTTGGCAGTTTGTGGCTCAACTGATGTATGAAGACTTCCGTCTTCCAAAAATTTTTATGATCATTTGTCTTCTTGAATAAAAATGGATTCCTAATTTCCTTCGAATTTATAACAAACACTTGACCACTGGCAATGATTTCTTTGACCGATTTCCGTACTGAATGTACTGGGCGACAGAAAACAGTATTTGAAAGTGCTTACATATTCGCACAACTATCAGGAAGCAACGTATGTATGCATATGTACAAAGACGAACCTGGACCTATCCATTGAATTGACAACCCTGATTCAATATTTTCCATTTTCATCTCCACCTTAAACCGTTTGGCCTCTTCGTCACTTGCACACACCTGACACCACACCCACGTTCCGTGAATTGTCGACACACACATGTGGAGGAACACGCAGTCGTAGCACGTAAGAAAAAATGGTGGGTACCGAGCTATGGAGTTACATATTTACACATGACAAGGGATTTATCAACAATGATGCACTTCTAGGATTTGGCATGAGATTGACCTGTAGCATTAACGTCGCCTTCAATCCAAAATTCTACAATCGCCGTATTCAAATCCTCGATTCCATTTACTTTCTCAGCATGAGCTTGCAAAAGGTGCTTGAAGAGTTGAGTAAATGGGACGATCTCATTGCACTTTGCCATTACGCAGGCTATCGGCCGGTACGTACAGTTGCTTAAATGCTCGTTTACGTTTTCCGCCTAATAAAGCAGAACAATATGCTGTCATAAATCTTCATAATAAGTAAATAGAATCTTGAGAATCTTGAATACCCGGATTATTTCATGACATCCTTCAAATTTGTACTTGCATGGAATTATAAAATTTGAAATGCAGGTTTCGACTGCAAAGCTTTTTTCAGAGCTAATTGTATCCTGACAAGCAGGGCAAATTCGGGATTCTGGCAAACATGCTTCACAAATCATGTGACGATTTAATTTACAGGAGTAAATGTTTTGTCCTGTTTTGGGGAATTGGTGGCATACAGGGCATTCTAAGCTCGTGTAAATCTTTTGAAGATCGGCATCTGATTCTGCTTTTATGGCTTCAATGGGAAACCCCCATGTGGCACAGTTTGGACCGTATCCAATATCTTCGGACTGCATATTGAGGATTTTTTGATCGATGTGGATGAATTTATAAATAGTTCCACTAAACACGTGAGGTAAATGTAATAAACCTTCTAAATAGTAGCATAGCAACTAGGACTGTCTGTAGTATTGCAACATGCATGACACTTAGCGATCATTATAATGATCGCTAAGTGTCAATGCATGTTGGTAGTATTGCATTTAGTAGCAATTTTGTTCCAGGAGTAATCATTAAATGGTAAATTATTAAATAATTGTGCAATTGAATAATATGAAACATAAAGGATGTTGGGTTTTGGTTCGGGTTTGAGTGCATAAATATATTTCTACAATTGAAAATTGTGCATAGAAATATAGCACATATAGTACCTGCTTTAAAATTTTCATGTATAGAAAAAGTGACTCATTTGTTAATCAATCGCTTTTATTTCCAGTTTTATATATGAAATCCCACACGAATTTTCATATTTTCAATCAACACATGACAAATGGATTGCTTTAAGAGAAATGGTCAGAATAACTTCTCTTATTAAAAGTTAGTTTTTATTGGATCGTCGGATCCAATAAAATCTATCAGGTTAGTTCATTACTGGAATTAGCTTTTCATTTGAAGCATATTTTTCATCACATACACCCATTTGGCTGGACTTGAGTGGCAAAGTTTTCAGGGTGGGGGAGGTAAACATACTAAGGTGTAACATTGTAACATTGTTGTTGTAACATAGGTTTTTTACCTCACCGTAGAATAATAAAATTAAAATAAGATTTATTCAAGTAATTCTGTTTAAATATACAGTCAAGAGTAGTAGAATACGTATTATACATAAGCTAAAAGATGTAATAATAATGCACGTTATTGTCAGGTCATAAAATCAAAGTTGTACGTACTATCATAGATAATGAAACGCAGTGATTCATAAATTTCACATGTAAAATGCAAGAAATATTAAAATTGAGAACACCAATTTATGGACGGTTTATAACATGTTTTGTCTTATCAAGGGCGTCATTCACATATGTACGTATTTAGTCAAGTACATGTAAAAGGCACAAATACTATTTTTTAAATAAAGTTGATCATTAATACCTATAAATTTCTTGAAGCACCATCAACCAATATGCCATCAAGTTAGTTTGACGAATAAAATATCAAATACTGAATAAACCAAGTGAAACTAAGAATGTAATAAATTTACTGTGGTTTTCTCCTGACTCGTTTGAATTCGTCTACTTTGAAATCTTTCATAAGTTTTTTCAACTTTTCTCCGCGATGCATTTTAACATGAAGCCCAACATCCTCTCGATGCAATCTCCTGTAACAATTATTAGCAAATTTTAATCACTGGATTCAATATCCGTAATATTTTGAATGATATTGATTTACTGTTCTTACACTTCTCGTTTGCTCTCCAAAAATCTCAAAAGGCGTTGATACATAGAATAGCCAATGCAAACCAAAATGCAGGCAACTAATACAACCACACCTCCAATCCCGATGTAAATCCACATTTTAACGAGGTCCGCTGTCCAACCAAATACTTTGAGCAATGAATGTATTTATAATTGTATAATTTGTGCATAATCAAATCTCAATCCTTGTGACACCTACAATCTGCATATACAATAATGTTTTGAATAATCAAAAATATATGCAAAAACCCAATTTGTAATTTTATAAAATTTACCTAGAATAAAATTTCACATTTTGTCGATCTTGTTAATATGCAGCAGGGTAAAGTATTGTTATTCTGTATATCGCTACTATTACTGCCCAGTGTCATCATAAGTTATGCTCATAGGCATTCATATAACATACACAATAGCATAATGCATATTACTTGTGTTAAACTGGTCTGCCTGGAATGGAATGATGCATATCGTGTATGTACACAAGGTCACGCTTGAATCAATGTTGCCCTTTTTCCATTCACTCTTTATTACAACGGCTTGCGGCTTTGCGCGTGGGTTTGCGTGTACATAATTTTATACGTTCAATTCAGTCACAAATTCAGTACACCGAGCGTAATGATTCCACTTCAAAAGTCTCGCAAAAGAGATATCGACTTCAGTTTGGTGTTAATGGGATGTTATCGGTCGATCCAAGCCGCACATTTTTGAATAAATGGCAGCAGTAATTAGCAGGCATAATATGTACATACATATGTGCATAACAATACTAGAAATGAGCATGTATGAATTGCGAGGAGTAATTTAATGGAAAATAAATAATTCGTATGCAATTTACTTCTTAATTAAATGGTTTCGTTTCATTTTCCTGTTTCCGTATTCAGAATAGTAATAAAACCGATGTTCTACTATAGTATGCGAGAACGTATGTATGTGATCCTAATTACAGATTGCAGCTAAATTAGTTTTAAGATGATTGAAAAACTTGATAAACTTGAAAGTATGGAACTTGATTGACATGCATTGCGAAATCTGGAATTACACAGGGAATTCCGCTCCATTAGTAGTGCACTATTATTTGCCCCTCAATATTATACAACATAATAATGACGCAAATCGCACCTTCATACTCCTTAAGCCAAAGCTCATCTATCATTTATCGTTATTATCATAAAAAAATAAGCAAATCAGTCCGAAACATGTTAAAGCTTAATGTTGCCCGACAGCATCTTTTCATGCACATCTTTAACAAGTGTAAAGCTGTATCCATAGTCCGTGATTTGTTCATGATTTCGTCATGATTTGATGGTTTATCGCATCCATACTCCATAACTTTCCAAAAATTATTTTATTCCGATTTTCTGATTGGTCGATATTTTAATTGTTATGGTGATTAACATGCTGTAATTATGGACCCGTGAAATCATGAACAAATCACCGACTATGGATGCAGCTTAATATAGTTTCTAGCTTCATTCATTATTTAACCAAAAGTGAATTCCATTATTTTCATACTTGATGCAGAGTCCCACTTTTTACCAATTCATTTTATCATTGTATTTACTTCAGGTATGTTGATTTTAAAATCAACTATAATATTTCTCATGTACAATTTCATTCCAGCCAATTATGTGTAATAATCATTTAATTTTTTTTCATTATCCGTAAAAAATATGGAATTGAATATGTGGTGGCAACTTTTTTAAATTGTTGAGTGTAGGTCTTGAATATTTAAACCGGATACTTATGCCATAACAAACTCTTGCGTTAACAGCATCCATGTGATGTTTTTCACAGGAAATAATAACGTCAACTAGTTAAATTTGCTAATTGCATACTCAATCTCGGTGGTTGACACCACTCCTCTGAACTGACGTAGGTTGTATGTACATGATTATAACAAGACGACATTGTATATAAAATTATGATAGGTAGGTATTCTACAGTCAGTTTTATATGTAATCTTTCGATTCAATGCTTTAAATTAAACCAACTTCCTAGTAACTTACTGCAAAAACCCATGACCCACCTCTTCCCATCAATCGGTGTCTCCCACGAAAAGGTCTTGTGATTTTCGCTGTGATTATACGTTCGACATGATACCGTGGGAAAATGTTGTGTTTATTAACAATGAATTAATTGAATGATCTATCTTCATAACGTAGCGTCCGCTTTATGAAGCATAGATAAATTTTTCTTAGAGTTAGTCTTATCCCTTGCGTATCTGGAAAAGAGGGTACAGTACCATCCTCTGTGACTTTAAATGAATAAGCAACGTGTGCATATAACTAATGATGACTTGTGTTAATTCATTTTCAAAATAATTTCCTACCCTTTCAAATCATGGGAAGGGGAATTCTTCCAAGTTTTACTACTGTTTTGTTTTACCGTATGTATACATATTTTTAAACTCAAGGTTTGAATTGCAAGTACAAGTCCATGGTTGTGCGCTTTAAATCTGGATGACAACTTTGAGCATGAAATTCATAAACACAATTTTATTATCATAATTAAAGGAGAACATCAAGCTTAATATTATATTGCATAATCAATATATAGATAAGAAATCATTATATAACTGTCTAACATTTCCTACAGGTAATTGTAAATTTCTGAACACTAGTCATTTAATTATTCAAAGAACTTCTTCTCTGTAAAATAATTTATCAAATCTTATTAAGCATTTGCTAACTGTTTATGTTGAGTAATTTTTACCTTATGTCGAATCGTATAATTCTGAAACTGTATGATGATAAATTGAGACCATGTTCTTGTCAACTCCTAAGAATAATACAAATCCCACGAACCTTCTCCGTTGCTATTAAAATAGTAGCAACGGAGTTGTTGTAGTTGTTTTAATCGATATCCAAAAATTGGAGTAGGTTATCGCGGTAAGAACTTAGTGCAAAATTTAAAGAAGAAATCAAATTCATACCTTATAGTCACATAATACATGTTTGTATGTAGTTATATGTATGTATATAGATATGTAAAAGTTAGTACTCTCAGAAGACATAAATTCTTGCGTATACTTCTTATTGATTTATTCAGAAACGCATAAAAGTAAACGCATAAAAGAAATCTTATATCTTTTAACATTCATTTCAGGAATTTATCGATATGATCTGCAACTTTATGAAAAAATCGAAGAAGAGATCTCTTACTTGCAACTTGATATGTACAATCTGTCTGGATTTTAGAATGTTAAATTGATGTATAATGAAGGTTCGCTCAATATCAATTATCAATACGAATAAACCAATCAAAAATTACTTGCACTGTAAGTCTACCTACACAATTAACGATAAGGAAGACTTTACAGATAACAAGATATCGGATGACAGTGAATTAATACATTATAGTACAAATACGCAGTTTGGCTATGGTTATAGCTCCACTCTATTTCAACTTGCAATAAATATGTAACTTAACTAAACACCATATTCATAAAACCAATTTAATAAGTTTTCTAGTAATGAGAAATAATTTGAGAGCAAGACGGTGTCATAATTATTCTGAAAAAGTAAAACTCATAATTTATAAATTGTCGCTTTTCATCGAACTCCAATCAAGTTCAACAAAGTGTTGAAGATGCAATATTACTTATTTGATTTCGGACATACATTTTGCTACATTTAGTTGCTTCAAGTTATAAACTTATGTAATAAGTTACAAATTAGTTGATCCCTGTTGAAGATTAGACAAAACGTACCAAGATTATAATTAGAAAGTCAAATATAGTTGGAAAGGTCAAAAATGAAAATGCCAACCGTTGCGTCTAAAACAAATAAATAATTTACACCTTTTGCAATTATGTGACCCGTTATATCAGGTTTTGATCAGTTTAAGATTTGTTGACAGTCTATTGTGCATAGTCTCGTGCTTGTTAAAAAATAGTAAGTTGTCGTATTTCCGGGCTGTAAATGCGTGTAAATATATTTATCAAGGTTGGTTTTTTACTATAAATTATTTTTTCAAGAATGCTGACCATAATAATATAGAATTTAATTTTTAATGGACAATTTCCAGTAGAATTTTATATTGATTCAATTAACTAGAGATGTATAACACAATAGAAATTGCAGTGATGACGCTACAGCAATTAATGCACTTACATTTTCCACCACAAGCTGCTCACGCACTTTTGATATTATTATTTCATATGACATCAACAACGTCATGTATTGGTGCCTTGAAATAGTAGACATGTGCAGAAAATGCGCAGATTATTTGTAAAAAAATGTCTATCGCATCACAAGTAAAAACTTGTTTCTGAGCATGAAACCAGCACGTTTGGACAAAATACTCATCCAAGTTGTTAAGTAAAAGTGGAATTAACGCTTGACCAGCGAAACTTGTTGCTTTGGATGGCAATGATGAGTACTAGGATTTACATTGGCAGCAAATTTGTGAGGTATTCGTGAGGTGTAACAATGCACCCCCTTCCGATTGACGTTGTTACCTTTGGATTTACCACAGCCAAGCAAACATCAAATTGTTGGCAGGTCACAAATCCTAAGAAGGAACTCGTGTTGCCTCACAGAACAAAAACTGGGATTGTGATCACAAGTTGTTATGTTGATGCAGTATATGGAAACGCCTCTGAGGTGGTTTGCCTGGTTGATTAATCATATTCGGAGAAGTACGTATGTATGATCCAACAAGTCAAGTTCAGGTTCAAGATTTCACACACGTACATAGGAACGTATGCATGTTGCGTTTTACAAACTTTAATTGACTACAAGAAACATAATTGTCCATACCTGAGGGTTGTAGTCTTATAAAAGCTAATAAATCTGGTCAACTCATCAATATTTGCTTTATTGAACTCGTGAGAGCGTCTTATCAGACTCGTACCCATAATAAAAGTATTATTTCATACAAAATACAGCATTTATTGTGAGTGATTGTGCCAGCATAAAAAGCATACAAGATATTTATAAGGTCGACGGTGTTGGTTTTAAAATAGTTGATTACTTTTAACGAAATATATAAATCGTTATGCAGAATTTACCTACTAAATTATTTACGGGCGGGTTGATATTGCTCTTTGGAACAATTTGTATCTTTTGGGTAGTGGTACCCGGAGCCATCAAATGGAAGGTTACACAGGTACATGAATATATTTTTTTGGTCCAGATCTGTAGGCTTTATTATACAATATAGAATAATATGACAAAATCACAGTGCAAGTTTCAGGGATCAAGTGTAATAAGCCATGATACACGAAATATTTATTACTTACATTGTTGCACAATGATTTTCATTCTATAAATACCTCAATTATTCTTGTCTCAAGATCCCAAACTCGAAATCTCAATTTATGATTATCTGATATGTTTGTAAAGTAAATTTGAGATTAACAAATATTTTCATGAATGCCAATAGACGCTCCGATTCGAAGATGGAAATGAAATTTTCGAAGAGTTTACCAACATCAAAGTCGAGATTCTATTTAAAGTGTTCATTTTCAACGTTACTAATCCCGATGACGTCGCCAGTGGGAAAAGCTTGCCGAAACTGGATGAAATCGGCCCTTATGTTTATGAGTAAGCTGGAGAGAACCTTAATTTTTGCGAATAAATATCCACTAACCTTTGGCTAATTACAGAGAGAAGCGAACAAATATTCCTGTCCACCTCGACCCGGAAAATGATACTTTCACATATCAGTCCACCGTCGTGTTCCACTTTCGTCCAGATCTTTCTGCTGGATCCGACGAAGACGTGATTACAGTTTTAAACGTTCCGATTGTGGTGAGTACAAAACTCGGAAGCTGCTTTGAAAAATTAGTGAAATTACATCCAACTCAGGAGCTAAAAGTCTTTCCCTCTCATTAATATGCACTTCAGGCTGTCGCTAATGAGCTCAACAACTGGTCTCGAATGATTCGTTACATGGCGAAAGCATACATCACCTCGTTCCAAGAACCTCTGTTTGTGGAAAGGAAGGTGAGAACGGTACTGTTTGACGGCGTACATCTCGAACTCATCGAGTCAGTGTCAGATATTTTGGGAATGAACTACCTCCCAAATAATACGTTTGGTTACTTTTATGAGGTGAGTGCACTTGTATGTTTAAACATATTCTGGACATCACAGTTATATTAATCTCAAAAATTTTGATACGCAGAAAAATGCGACAATCACGCCAAATTACGTGGTTCATGCTGGGGTGCAGGATAATTCAAAATTTGGGAAAATTATTACATGGAAAGGACAGGAAAAGTTGGACATTTGGAACGGAGAACATTGCAATATGATTAACGGTTCGGATACCAGTCTTTACCCCCCATTCATAACGAAGGATAGCATACTCAGGGGTTACGAAGCCGACATCTGTCGCTCAGTGTACATGGTGTTCAAAAAGGAGGACCAGGTGAACGGCATTAACGGCCTGCGCTTTGGTTTACCTGAAGGTAAGCAACGTGTATTAAACACTGCAAAATATTATGCAAATGCAATTCCCATTAACTCCCCGTTGTCAAAAATCTTACAATTATCGTCAAGCCTGGTACATGCACCAAAATTAATTTTTCTTCTAATTTATTTGACTCCCTAAGACTTCTTTGACGGCAATAGTTCCTACAACGAATGCTTTTGCTCGGAAAGTGATAAATCCAAGTGTCCTAAAAATGGAGCCTTGTCGATATCAGCATGCCGTTGGGGAGCCCCTCTATTCATTAGCCACCCTCATTTTCTTTACGGAGACCCTTCGTACAACGAGCTCACTGGGCTGAGTCCAGGGATACCTGAAATTCACGAATCGTATGCCATTCTGGAACCGGTAAGTGGAATATATTTATATATTTGTACAATACTGATCACTTTGCATTTATTTCTCATCCGCTTATCACGATTGTTTATCATATTTAGACGACTGGTGCCGTACTTAAAGGATCACGAAGAATGCAGCTCAATATTCAAATGAGAAAATCTAAAGATATTCCAGAGTTGAATAATGTTCAGGATGCTTTGGTGCCCTTGTTTTGGGTTGACGATGTAAGCTGTGAAAATTTATAAACTATTTCCAACTGCTGAGAGTAGCAGACAATTTTAATGCATCCTTTTGTGAACATTGCAGGCTGCTGTCCAACCAGATCGAACTCTTGACGATTTGAGGTGGCGAATGGTAATACCGCTGAAGGTGGTAGAAGTTTCAAAGTGGTTCATGCTATGCTCAAGTTCAATTCTCATACTTGTCGCCATTTCAATTTTCATGCTGCGATCAAAGAACAAAAAGCCCGTCGAATACTACTGATTACGTACTTCACCTCAACTAACTAAATAATTCCTATGTAAAATACTCATATTTACAGACAAGTAGTGTCTCAAAAGATTACCAGAAAATACTTGTCAGACTGCCAACTGTGATATTAATGTACAATAATTTTACCTCGTTGACTAGTTTAATATTTTGTTTCGATTAAAAATACGTTTTCTCACGTCCGCTCATATACTTGATTTATTGATAAATTGTTCTACGCATAAAACGCAGCACACATTGCCACGCATTGTCAATAATACTGATAATACGTGGAAGCACATTGGCACAATTCGAGCGATAGAAAAAAGTCTCACAACACATCACGTAGAATATTCTCCCAGACGGAGGAAGAAAGGCAGATAACATTCCACTTTTTCACCTTGAAACTAATTACTGTAATCTTTCTTGTCAATGGACAAATCTTGAAATATTTGCAGATATCTTACTTCATTATCTTTTACCTTCCTATGTCTGAAACCCAAAAGGGAAATGGTTCTCTCCCTTCTTTTTTTGCATTTTTCTCATAAATTAAGCATCAATTATTAGTGGCTGTGATTACTGTGTCTGGAATGGCATACATCGTTGATAGATAACAATATGTTTGATTTTTTATGTATATACTTTGTGATTTAGATAGTTTGCATATTCATTGAGAGGTTGTTCCTGACTCGAGTTTTCCTAGTTTCCTAGTTTTCATGGGGCACCGTACTGCTTCAATATGGCACATTCTAAAGTCCATTCTGCTGACTCCAAAACTCTGCACACTCAAGTTTTCCATGCTCCGTTCTGAAAACGAAGCCGTTATAAAGTGACGGCGGGGCAGTTTTGTGACAACATTTACTGAGAACTTAGTTTAGCGAATGATTGCAGCACATTGGATCAAATCTATATTTATATAAAAGAAATAATACATTCAAAGTTGCTGCCTCCACATAGTCGGATAGACAAACATGTCGCAACTCTGGCGGAGCGAAGTATCAGCAATACATACGAGTTCTTTTTCGGGGCATCCTCTGAGGGTACAGATTTTGCTTTCTCCAGAGTAGAAACAGCTAGAGGATTCGTATGTTTGATGTGCTGGCAGGATTTTGTGGTGAAACTCATATATTGGCTAGCCTCCAAGTTCTTCCGGCATCATTCAAGAGGGGAGCGGAATGAATGAGCTATTTCGATAAATTTATAAGGTTTCCACGACCAAGGAGGAGAGAATCTGCAGAGGAAAGTCTACGACCAAAATCGAAAGAACTCTTGGGAATGTGGATCCTGGTGTAGGACAGGACGAGACGATGCGACGCTTCCAGGAGCACATTAGTTTTTGTGTTTTTTGCTTGTGCCATTACTTTGAGTAAAGCTTGAGCATTTCGCTGGTATGTACGTAACGCGTGCATAGTGACGAAATCGATGGAGAAAAACTTTGTTCATTAAACCACAATTTGTGGATTGGCGTGACTTGGCAATTGTAATTTCCGTCTTACAACTTATTAGCTTTGTCCCACAATTTTCCTCCACAATTTGGTGAAATTGTTAGAAACATAAAATTAAAAGATTACAGTTTGAAAATACGTTTTTATTAATCACCAAGAAGAGGGGCAAACATGACAAATGGATTTGTGATGATACATAATAATTTGGTTTCATTACTGTCGTAAATTCAGTGGCTACATATGTACGTACGTATTTAGTAATGTATATGTAAGAGATGATCAATGAGAAAAAGTTGGCGAAATCCTAATGTTCCAAATAGAACCATACGTACATACACACATATGTAACTCAAACCGTAATTTAATCATGTTGAGAGATCATCACGGGGCTGTTTTTGTTGCTGGGTCGTGAAATTAATACATATTTTTCAAGTGAGCTGAGCACGATAGATATAAAATTTGGGGTATCTGCGAGAAGTACTGGTTCGTCAGGGAGTCTATTAACTAAGAATAATGCAGCATTGCTCACAGAGTATGAGGAATGGACATCCAACTGTCGTATAGTTTATCACTCATCGTGGGGTAGTTGTGTCACCAGCGGACTTTGAATGATTGACGAGACAGAATCCAAGGATCGCACCAATGAAGAAATCCTCTGAGCTGCTACACTGCTCCAATCTAAGCAACTGCTGCTACTCTTTGAAATCGCAGTGCTATTATTACTTTCACCAGCCAGTGAGACGCCCGGTTGACTGCTGGTAGCAAAAAGGTAGGAGTCTGTGCAAGCATCTCCGCTGTTGAGCCCAGCATCACAATTTCGCCCACATTCAAGCACGGCTCTCACTTTGGGAAAGAAACGAGGAACGCTGGGAAAATGCTCTGTGGAGAAGACTCTGCGGGAGTGAAAGTTGTTCTTCCCACTGGTCGTGGTACGGGCAGGAGCAGGATGGACAGCAACCGTGGTGTTAGATTTGTCGACCATGTGGGACTTTTGTTGTTGGAGTTTCGATTCTACATCGGTCACAGTTTTCACATACAAGGGAATCTCTGGAGCCATATTACTACTCGCATGTCCAATGATTTGATGTTTGTAGCCATCGTTAACATCCGAATTGCGGGTGAGACAAGCTTTCTCCACAGATATCAACTTATCGTTAAGGATCCTGTTCTGCATTTCTCGCCTGAGAGTCACAAAAGGGTAATGAGACACTAATGTGAAAGATGGTCTAAAATGCCATGTGGGTACTGATAATAAGGATAAGTGGGTGTTTGTACCTCAGTTTTCGATGGTGTGACCCAAGAGTGCTGTCACTTGTATGGTTTTTCGACTGCAAGCGAAAATTGTCAGCAGTAACTTCCAATCGCATGACTGCGGCTTGCAACTGAGCTGAAAGTATGAGGAAAATCGAGAGGATCAATCACAAAGACTGTTGCTGTGTTTGCATTTGATATATTCTTACAGATTTGAATGGATCCTCTGTGGAAATCCTCGTTGTACTCTGCCATAAAGTGATCAAATTCCTTACGGATTTCCTTGATGTAATCATGCAATGTTATGTCCATTAAGGATTTGTCAGCCAGGAGCAGAATAATTTCTGCAATTATTCGACCTAGAAGAACACGATACAAAAATATGCATACACTTACAAATTGTTAGTATCATAAACGAATGAGTCCCATGTATATTTCCAGTATTTATGTAAGAACACACTATTCCTAAGTTTGTTAGTCGTGTATTTCTCACACACGCAGAGATGCCATGTTTTCAAAGTTTCAGGCAGACTCATGACTAAGAAAGGGGAAAGGAAAGCAATAATAATATTACCCAAAGTTTCCGATCCTCTGAAATCGGGATCAACAAGGTTTGCAAAGTTATCGAACGTATCGAACCCGGTGTGGAACAATGGGTAGTCGTAGTCCTGCAAATATTAAATGATATCTTTATAAGTGCACATGCCAAGTTAACACAATGATCAAAATATATCTCATAGCATTTGCAATACTCCTGCATCCAAGCAGGAACTGAGAAAGGAATGAAACAGGGAGAACAGTTGCAATTTCAGTAGATTTGCCAATCCTTAACAGAATTGGACATGCTCTGAACATGTGAACACGTCTTATCTTTTACCTGTTATCGAACATGGCGTGCGTGTCCTTAGAACTGATAGTTGGCATTCTTTTCACTCTGTCAGAGACCACAACTCGTGACTTATCAAATCTCTTAAGATGGACGAACCTAATAATTTTTATAATCCGTCTGATTACAAGGAGAGTAATTGGATTAAGGGAGTGGCTAAGGAATTCTGGCTGCCAAAAAAACCTAATAATATTTGTATCAACATCTTTCAGCTCTGAACAATATGTAGACATTGTTCCATTTCACATAAAAGACCAAAATGTAGAGCTGCATCGGGTGAAAAGGTAATAAAGACGATTACAGAGTGAGGAATAAAGCGTATGAAATATTTCCTGGGTGCGATTATTATATTTCTAAAAAACATTACTGAAACTCTACATAATGAAAAGTGGGATATTTTGAAACAAACGTAGGACGTGGTGGAGAAAGGCACGGTGATTCAACAAAGCTTATTGTCGTTGTGCAACCCACACAGGGCTGATATAAATACAAACACATGGATGTAACATTACCTTGGGGGCATTGGAAAAAGCGAGACGGATAAAAGGTACACCGAGATTCAAGAAGGCGAACGACGGCTCATCAGAAGTGACCACAGCCTTCCATTGCACGTTTTCCAGCCCCTGTGGCAGTTTTTCCGTCGGTTGCAGAGGAGTTGGTGAGGCGGATGCGCGTTTGATTTTGTTAATTGCTTTGTGAGCCACTTCCTTTAACAACGGGGAAGAGAAGACTTCCAGAGTCTGATTGCCTTTTAGTGTTCTTGTCAATACAGAAGAGACAATGGGTTAACGCTCTCTATTTATGTTTGTAATGGAGTGGATCACTCAAGTGGATGGGATAAGTGAAAATAAATAAACGGTGATATTTTCAATATAAAAACATGTAATTCTCAAGTACAAAAAACATTAAAATTGAATTATTATGTAATTCGTAGAAGTGTGATTTGTTAAAGTTGATGATGATACAAAAACAGTGAAAAGGTCAATATTAATTATTACCTTGTCATGTCAATGTAGGCCACTGCCCTGGTCGCAATCTCAAAGTGATGTTCCTGAATTGAGCAATAATTCATATGTAACAAACCGAAACCTCATGTATCAGATACAAAGGTATCTCTTTGAACCTTTCGAAATCGAATTTATTGACCCCTCACCTGAAGCCAATGCAGTGCCCCGGATGCAGCAAATAAATTGGCATCCCAAGAAATAAATAAAATAGATCGTCGAGGTCTCCATCCGGCTGTCAAAGAATTCGAGAATGCTTTCAGTAACTCGGTCGTTATTGCCAATCCAATTCCAGGGTCACCAGCGCCTGGTCCATCGTGAGACGAACCAATGATCACGTATCTAGGAACATTTTTCATAAGCCCCTGTTAATTGGCCGGATCAACTCTTTACTTTTTTTGCTACAACTGAAGTGGGAGAATTCGTACTTTTGTGATGTTTTTATATGTATGAGAGAAAGTAGGAAAACCACTTATGCACAAATTAATGTAACGTGCATACTTTGCTAGAGACGTCCATGACGTATATTAAGTGTCCCGACCGAATTTCATTTAAAAACTGTCATTACACAAACCACAGACATTGAAAGTGTAAAGCCTCGTTTCGGGTACAACCGCTTTTAGGACACAGCAGAGTTTGTTGGATTAAAAGTTTGCACATTAGTTGTAACAAAGTGCAAAGTTTGCCAGGGAACCATAAGCATTAACAGCATAGGCTAATGCAATTACGGTGGAAATTAGATCACCTACCTGTCCGACTCTATGGACCCAGGTATCGCAGCCACGACATTGTAAATGGTGCTCGTCTTTGCTTCATTAAAATTAACGATCTTGAGCCGAACCAAACCCCCTCCATCCGGTTTCCTTCCTCCGCCAATGTAATAAGTCGCATTCAGACCGCCTATCCACTCTTTCGGTGCTTTCTCCGTCCCCTCCATTGCCCTGAACAGATCAAATACTAATTTGAGATCATGAGGATAGAAACTTATGCTAATGACCATGTTACACGCTGCATTTGCACTCGCCGTAACCATTGTGCACCGAAAGAAAGTACAATAGTATCATCTAATTATTGACATTGCTCATGACATTTGGCCAGAACAGGTCACATGAGGTGCATATCATTTCATTTGTTTGCTATTGCAATTTTGTAAGGTCTTACGCGAACAATTTTTCCGCATCTTTGCCACTGATGGTAAGGCTGGGAATGCTCCAGTTGCCCTTATGTTTCTGTTAAAGTTTCAATTTTATTTGTGGAAATTCGTCAATTTGCCCAACTAATTTCACGCTTAACTGAGATACGTGTAATTTTAATCTTTTATTACCTGATAGTCATGTACTTGCCCAACCGTAAGGAGGGACGTACTTCGGATTGCTTGAATGGGGAGCTTAGGCCCAAAATCTTGTGGGTCGGGATAGAACACCAATCCTCTGCATCCAAACGCAATCGCGTTAGAAGCCTAAACAAAAACACATCACAATCCTGTATAAAAATATCTGCAATAACTGTTCACAGCGTGTTGTGCTAATTTATTAGCTTCGTGACCAGCGTTCAAAGAGATATGCACAAAAAAAGGAAACAATCTTACCACTGCTGAAGGATGAATTGTGCCAAATCGTATTAATGCAATCGATCCTTTGAGAGCTAGCTGGGATTTTCGAAGCCTTTGAAAATCTTCCAAACGACCATAATTCCCAAAAACCAGTTGCCCAGTACCTTTGAGAGCAATAAAATAAATTTCTTTAATCATTTTAATGTTCACCTTAAAGCCCTCCTGTACAGAATAATGGCATAGCCTAAGCTAGGATTTGAGCATCATATTTAAATTAACTACCCGATTGTTATTTTTTTCATCAAATTTTAACTGCATATATTCAAAACGGGTGATCCGCCACTCTTAGGATTAGTGGTGCACAAACACGTGTGCATTTTGACATGTTAATATCATATTTTCCATTAACGATAGATTAACCCGTTCCTTCGAGTAATGTGCTCATGGATCCATGCATATTTTCGAGTATCATAGAACACTGACCGTAGGTTTTAGGATGAAAATTACATGATAGAATAAGTATGCATGTACATGTTTGAGAAGTTTTTACAGTACCATTAGAATCGGAAGGAGGAGAAAAGGCCACAATTGGGCGAGAATTCGGCAGGTTAACATCATCTCCAATCTTTGACGTCGTAAACAAAACAGTTCCGTTTTCGCCAATGACCTCCGCGTAATTGGAAGTTTCCGATCTGTACATCAATAATAAATGGTATCAATTAATTACGGATTACCATTGCCTTTCTTATTTTTCATACTTTTCTCTATTGTATTTCTATATCTATCCGTTCGATCCATATTCATAATACGAATATCATTATAAGCTTTTCATAGAATATAGATTCAGTATTAAATAGAGCAGTAATAATCCATAATAAAAGCGATTCTCAAAGAGCTCAAATAACGTTCACAAGTTATTTTTCTTTCCATTACGCCGCACCACATTTTTTAGAAATATGTCAGGACACGAGTTGTAAGACCTAAATCTCTTTTGAAGTGGAGGAAGAATTGAATTTATCACACAAGCTCCACTTCAACTTCCAATTTCGAATGTGGTGAAGAGGAAGACTGTAAATCTCCGCATCGAAAATCACATTATAAAGAGCAAAGCTCCTTATCCAGTTGACAAGCTAATTTGTATGCAAGGAATTTCCCAAGAAGCTGGTCAGGCTTTGCTTTCTGCTTTCTTTCCTCCTCCTCGAGGCTTCTGAAAACTAAGGATAAGGTCGTGTTGGGGAAAAATATCTGTGTAGACTCGGTTTTGCGGGAGACAAATTCAGTCACAGATGCGACGGTTTTGTGCATAAAACTCTAAATTTCCACATTCTTTGGTGATTGTAAATTTTTAACTCGTGATATACTAAGTATATTATACTTGTATGAAATGCTGGTGGTTGGTGGGTGGAACTATGGAGCTGTTATTTCTCTCCATTTCAATTATTCTGCCCATCTTACTTTCACTCTCCTAGCTCTTCATTCAATGGGCCACGAGTGTACTTAACCCACTCACTCACTCTATTTTCTGCTTTTCAGACAACTCTGAAACTTTCTCCATTTCTTCACCAGAAAGGTTTTCGTTTTTGCCCTTTTACTTCAAAGTCCGACTGACTTCAGCAAAAACTCTGCTCGTTCTGCTCAACTTTGATTTACTTCTACCACCACCAGTACTACTGTTTTCATCCGTGAGGGCTGAACAAGATGGGTGTATGCATGAAAATGGCTGGCAATGTAATCCACAGCCTCCTGCACGTCTAAAGACACAAATACAGACAGTGGAGGAGTCGTTGAATGAATGGCTTCTTCCGTTGCAGTGTGTTCTTTCTCGCACCATGTTTTCCCATTGGAGGGATTCTCTGAGCTGGTTTTCTCTAATCCTTCTTCTCGACCTTTCACTGCATGATGATGAAAGAGTCAGATTTTAAACCTCTTCTTCCCTGCAGCATTTTCGCACTCAGTTGACCTATCTGCTGCTGCCACGAACATAAGAATATCCTTGAACTGAGGAGAGCTAAATATTACATACACAACATTTCGATGAATTGTGGGCTCTGTTCTCGTCAACATTATGGAGCGAGTTTTCTACAGCCATCAGAAAACGTGTACAACAATAAAGTTTAATTTGCATCACAAAACTTGGCTGAAGAAGGGAGCGTAATTTGGTATGCTTTCCTCTCACCAATCTCCGCACACAAATGACAATAGTTTTCATCAGCATTTTAAATTGTTACTTGAGCCAAAGCTGAATTTTGTATCAGCAAGTGATGATTAGTATGCCAAACTGCATACCTAAAGGCAAAAACTTGTCAAGCACTAGTGCTTCAAACTAATTCAACTTTTCAAGTTGTTCCTGTAATACTAAATGTGTTTGAGTGTGACATTAATTCAAATGTCTTTACTCCTCCTCTCTCTCTTCCTTGACATATCCACATTTGCCTGCAAAAGATGATGGTGATGACGAAGACGCCCAGTATATACATACATAAATATGGATAAAAATGGCAAGAACGCATATAACGTGAGATGACAGCAGTATATACAAAAGTAACGAGTGAAAAGAGTGAAGAAAGTCGGAAATGGAGATGGTTGAATTAGAAATGAGTGAGCCAAGCCAAGCAAGCACTCGTCCAACTCGAGCTAGATTTACATTTTCGCAGATACCATCGTTCCATTCCTTTGTTCTGTTTTCATTTTAATTAAACTGGAGCTTGGCTGTTCAGTGTCAACTTTAATTTTCTTTCATCATGCCACAGTGAGCAGCAAGCGATCTCTGATCTGGTTACAAATTTTATTGTACATGAATCCTTCTGCAAACGAACGGAATCGATGGAGCTGGGACAAAGAACAAAGGATGGACACATACTAAACCCAAGTTTCAAATCCCCACTCTTTCACATTTCAGTTTTTGACAATAATGCTCTTTGAAATTCTCATTCGTCTAATTATTTGCTCCAGCACTCTAGAAGAGTAGTTCATCGTTGAGTCTTGTATCATGTCCTTTGTTTAACAGCTCATTAAAGGATTTGATTATGGTTAGTACCGATAATGTTGGGAATTTTGATAAGGCATGCAAAAGATATGTATTGTAAAGATAGGGAGAGGTTGGTGTTTGAGTGAAAATGTGACGAGAGGAGAGTGAAAGGAAAAAATTTGAGAAATTGGTGAGAGGATAGGAGAGGTTGAAAAAAATTGCAACTTTGGTGGACATTTCCCAATCTCCATCATCTACATATGCATTGATGAAAAACGTGTCAAATTAAATTAACATTTCGTGATAATCCCATTAAAAATTCTGGTCGCTGCTGTAGGTAGACATTAATTTATACGTATGTAATAATCGTAGTCGTATAAAATGTTCAAATGCAGATTTTGAAGAAAGTTTGTGTTAAGCTCAGCGTTGTACGTTGTCAGCGTTACGTATGTAGCATTGTGCTCAGCACAATGCTACATACGTATCAAGAAGAACAATCGGTAACGTTTTCCGTTCCCTTAATCGAAAATAAAACGACTCTGGAAAATGCTTACTGCAATGGGCATATTAGCTGGACGTACATATACGCGTGTATGCATTGTACTGTGATTTTGGCGCAGGAAATTATTCAAGCGTTGAGGGAAGATAACAAACAATACAACTACAATCACCATCGACCTTAAAATCCGGCTTAGAAAGTAAAGTAAAGTAAAGCACAGTTTATTTACTTTGTGAGAAGGGTTTTGTGTTGTTCCAACCGCACGGAAATACCAAAGCTTCTCCACAAGTCCCGTATAACCGTAGCCATTTGATGTCCTTCCTTGGTTCCAGCTCGGTGCTCATCCTTTGTCACTGTCCTATAAAATAAGGATAATATCGTAAAGTCAACCAAGTTTCATTTCTCTGTAGCTGTTCACGTATCTTCATTTGTGTACTCGCAGCAGTAAACGTTAAAACAGGGATCAAGCAAGCGACCAAGTCTGGCCAGCCTGAAATTACAGGGCAAGAAAGTTCATTTGCTTTTGGCTTACTTGAGATTGTCACGAATGTTGTGGGCACTGATTTGTTGTAGCAGTTCATGAAAGATAAGGTCGTGTTCATGGGACGAAACTGACAGTGGGTCGCTGATTGAGGATAAATGTTTGGAATGCCGGGAAACTGCCGGAGTTTCTCTATCTCTAACTCCAAACCCGAACCCAGCCAGAAACCCAACGAACAAGACACCAGCCGATAGAACAAATAGTTGAGCCTGTAAATACAAACAGAAATTTCAGCTCTCATTTATCCACCATTTGATACAACAAACTAAACCGAATGCAGCCTCTCATGCCAAAATATATGTGTCTACATTTCACCAGACCAGCCAGCGGTGGATCAGTGTGGATAATTCATTAGAACATATAATTCACTCCAAGAGGACATTACACAAAAGTCTCTTCAAATGTTTGCTCATGTACTTTGTGCGAAATTCGGGATTGACGTTGCGACTACCACAAATCCTCTATAATTTAATCTGTAAAATGAATTTTACTCTTTCCCAAATTATTTTGACGAACGAACAATGCACTGCATTATAGTAGTTTCAGACTAGAGTCTGCTCATCATCAGCTTGAGTCCGAGGGGACTACACAAAACCATAATATATGCTTTCCTAAATACTTTTTAACTGCTGGCATTAAAAATTAAAGATAGTATAAATTTTTCTGTACATATTTGTATGTACTGAAAATTATACATAAATATTTAGATGGTGAGCGAATATTATACATATGCATAAGGTATTTTGTCTGCATATTGTATCTTCAATTGTGGAATATTTAATTATGCAAATAAGTGTAGCACTCTTTAAGTCTGGGGCTTCTTTGTAAACCTGCTGTCTCGTGGTGATTAATTTGCTTTCCTACGAGACCACACAATAAAACATGCTTTGCGGCTTGCAATAATTCTTCCAAGTAATTTCCGAGTGCAGATTAGAACTACATGCATACATTGTACTTATTCTACTCGTATTCATTTCCAAATGTCTGGAAGTTGTTTTTAGCCGAAGAAGTATGTATAGCACATCCGGTTTGTTAAGAATACGGCTGAGGCTGCTGAAATCGATTGAAATACTTGACTATGGATTGTTATAAAATATCAGAATAAACAGGGAGAAGTGTTAATACGGCTCTTGGTGAAAGTGAACGGGAGGAAGAGCAGTAGCAAAAACACAAGGGTGATGGGATACTTGTTCATTTTTTATCATCTTACTTTCTCTTTTATTGACGTTTTCCTGGACCGTTTACAGCCATCGCGGAGTCGACTTCGTATGGGTGAGTTGCTGGTGAGTACATGGCTGGTTGGGGGGAAAGTAGCCTGGCTCTCTGTACTGCCTCCCATGCTCCCATTGTCTTCGAGAGTTAGCTGCTCCTCCATCGTGATCTCGGTCTCGTCGTCATAATCCCATCTCGAGTAGTCTCGTCGCCCACCCATCATGCCAATCTTCCCCAAGATACTCACCACCAATTACCTGAAATTAGTATTATTCATTAGACAGCGAGTCTCCAAATTAGCCGTACTACTTTAGCAAATAACTAAAACTATATATCTAGGTCCCCTTAAGGTGACAAACACATTTTCCCGACTGAAAGCTTTGTATGACCTACATAATGACTAGATGACTAGAAATCGGAATTGCAATGTTTTCACGATCACCGTGCATGTTAGTAAATTAGCTCATGGCTATTCATTCATTTGTATCTGCGCGAAAGCTTGGACAGGATAATGAAATTGCATATATCAATTTATTAATTCTTACTAAAGTTTGATGTATTAAAATTGGAAACTTTTGTTAAAATTGGTTACACTTGCTAAACTTATGAATTGTAAGCTGCGTGACACTTTTTTTATACCTGGAACTTTCCTGACCTTGCCCAGTCAGCTCGACTGAGGACATGTATCAGTGACAACACTATGGAAAAGTTTGGTGTAGAAAATAGGATGGTGCTCAGACTTTCATTTTATATCGCACTTTGAAGTGAGGGCAAGTTGCGTAGGGATTGATAACTCTGCATATGTACCAAAAGTAAGATTGGACTTCTCAGAAGCAAAATTTCCTTAGGTTGGATTTTTGGTTGGCTACACGCCAGATTAGCTAAACAAAAAGTAGAGATGTGGGGTTTTCGAAAGAGGTAATTCACTCCCACCGTTATCGTCCTTGCAGAGAATGCTTCAATTGCACCATCTTCGAATGGATGGAGAGGAAAGAGTTGAGAAAGTAAAGTTTTCCTGACTTCTTTCACTTTCTCAGAGGAGAAGGAGGATATATGTTCGCATGTATCTGGCGGCGGAGGAGAGTCAATTCCAAGTGTAATGTTTCTGCTCCCAAATACTTGAAGAAAGTGCTTTTGCAGTTTTGGAGACGGCTTTGAGCCGCCTACACAATCTCATGGGGACCATTTATCAAGATCCATAACACATCGAATTTACATTCATCCAAGTTCAGCTCATTTCAATTGAAGTTTTAGCTGACGAGTGCGGGTGAAACCTTTAGAAACACACACGTTTATTTTGATGTAATCGAGCTGGGCGTATGCATTGATCCCTCTGAAACCTCCTGGTCACGGTCTTAAGTATGATTGAAGCTACGTACATATTATGCAAATATCGAATATATTGAATACATGAGCTAATCGTATTGGATTCTGCAATTAAGGGATGTGTATCAATAGGCCGCAATAATCTACGTAAAAATTCAGACGATCTAGTATTTAAATTAATTTGCTCTTTTATGATATTATTTCAGTGAGTCGTTTAACAAGTTGAAACACAAAGCAATCACTAAATAGGACCAAGTCCTATTTTTCTCTTGAGACACTTTGAGAAGTGTATATCCATCACTGGATGGGTTACAAAGACAGGCAGAGAGACTAAAGTAGGCTGGATAACAAATCAAATGGGATATTCAGTGTCAGCGTAATACATATTTGCATAATTTTGTCAAAGCTCCTCACTTTCTCCTCAATTTTCCTTAGTTCCTGTAAGAGTGAAATATTTAACCGTGTTTATCAATCTGTATCCCAATCACTTATCACTCTGTATCCCAATGCTTTCCACATTATGTAAATACACTTTCTTTTCGGTATAGCGAGATAAAAGTAATACATAACAATCATATGTAAAGACATATCTGTATATACGTACTTTGTAAAAATTTACGTGGACTAATTTTGTGCCCTCAATAAAAAAAACACGTAAAGATAATTTTCGTTTCTTATGAAAGACTCGCTGGTTTCATATGATCTCCAAAAACATCTCCAAAGCTGCAAGACCATTGAATTGGAATATCAAGATTATAAAAAAATCATACGCATAAGGTCCAAATAGCAAAATATCCTAAATCGCATGATTATTTTCTGCGATATTCTTGAAAATGTTGACGCATTGAGAGGATTTTGTCTGCTCTGCTGGGAAATAAATACATATCTTTCTTGTAAATGGTTGGAAGCAGTGGAGCTAAGCTAGGACAGGATAGCAACAGAGTGAGGAGTAAACTTTACTGCTTTCCCTCACCGCCTTTCCCGTACATGATTGGGCATCCGAGCTTTGATAATGTGAATCTTTCCAAGTAGTGGAATCCCCTCTCTTTTATTATCCAACACTCCTCTCCCACTCCTTCGTTTTATGATACGTACGTACGTACGTATGATACAGAAAGTTCCTGCAGAAATATTTGGGTACGCAACAAACAAACTTCCCACCCGCCTGGATACAATACCAACGACGACGACCACTTCAGATGATGATGATGATCAGCAACAGTCTTACAAAGAACTTTTAACTACATCAGCAACGTGAGAGATGAAACAGGCCAATTCATTTATTTTTCATTTCCTTTCCTCACGGTCTGCAGCAGTTGGGATGTGGTGCAAATGGGAAAACATGAGACATGTTGTTATTACGGCAAATTAAAGTAGCCAAAATTATCGACTGTGAAGAGAATTTGTGTTATATGCTGTTCAAGTGCTTATTATATTTGTATCCTTTTACATAGCCCAGCTTTCCACGGTTGCACAGGACTCGCGCTTTCTCCAAGGTTTATTTGGGAACGGAGAGCGAGAGAGACTGCACGTTCACTCCAAAGTGCTTTGATTCACCAGGTTATTAAAAATTTAAACGAAATTCAGCTCCAGTTACGACGGTCGCATCTTTACATTTGTTAGAGTTACATAGTTGTACATACGACGATGAGGTGATTTATGCAATCTTGACTGAAAGGAGGACGACGTAATATATAGATAAGTAAAAGCAAAAAGTGAAAACAAAAAAAAATGTTGACTCACCAACTCAACTTTTGTCTCCAACAACTCCTCAACTCCGATGACGACGAACTCAGAAATGACAGCAGAAATAAAGTAAACTAATTTTCTGCGGGGGACGGCGAACAACTATTCTGCCAAAATATGGGAAAAGCGAGTCGTTGAATGAATGGAGTAGATTGGGAAGGAAAAGTTGGCCGTAATTTGAGAAGTTCAATTCAATTAGTGTGGTAGCTCTGTGTTGGAGCAACACTGGGCAAAGTTTTGTGCGTCGTCGTCTCCATTTTAATTTAATCCAGATTGTCGTTCCTAATTTAGAAAGTCAAAACTCAAAGACCGTGTGGTCTTGTAGAATCGAATTTAAATGTTAAATATTTTTTTTATATTGTTTCCTTCTACTTCCGGCCTATAAAACTTCCGGTGCATAAAATATCATTATACTTGATACAGCTCAGAATTTATGCCTCTTTCCTTTGGAATTGTTCAATTTATTTAACTGTTAAGAAGTATTATTTCAAGGATGCACAAGAACTTGGTGGTGAAAGTTGTTGCAATGACACAAATCTCACTCAGAGAATGGGTACAACCAGGACAGGCTTAAATTAGAAAAGTTAATGGTTTTCGCCTGCCACAACTGGTATACAGCACCACTTGAAGTTATTGGTTCTGGCGTGTGCAACTAAAATTCTCTCGATTCATTCAGGGTTTATAACGCCACAAAACGTGGAACTTCTCCTCCAACTGCTGGCCTTTGAACCACACAATTGGATGAAATGAACTAACTTTTCTTATTCCTGTCTCCTCGTTCTTTACACTTTTGGTCGTGGAGGCAGAACATCAGTCAAGACTTGAATTCCGAATAGAGTTCAAAAATTGGTTAAGTCAGTTCACGAGAGAGCTTCTTTTGCCAGCAGACCATGAGGAGACGGAAGCGAGAGACGGAGAGAGCTATGGTCTGCTGGGTGACACAGACGTGCATAGCTCATGACCACTATTCGGCTGGGAAGCAGAGATATACTTATTTCGCGTTGTCGGCTTTTGTGTCATGTTTCCCATGCCAAAGTTCATTTCGCAACAAAAATTGCTGCAATGACTATATTCGTTTGGCACGAACTTTGCTGCTGCTGTTTTCTGCTGGCTCTACGAGGCTATAACCATTTGGGAATGAGCCTTACAAGTGAATAAAATGTGGAATTTCTGCTGTTTCTTATTTCAGACTCTGATCAATTTGACTCGTTTTCTTCTTTGAACTTTCTCCTCGCAACAGAGAATTACTCAGAACAAGGAACGGAGGAGGCGTAGGTTGGTTGGTTGTGTGTAGATGAGATCTATAAAAGTGTGGGTTGAGTTGACACTGATCGGAGCTATTGATATCGAATGGATTGGCTGGGGAGTGCGAGGACGATAGCAATTTCAGGTGGCAACAACGCCTCACAAAAGTCCCAACTCAATTCGGTGTCAAGCGAATATCTAAAACCACACGACCAAGGCCAGGGAGTCGTTGTCTCTCTCTCACTCTTTCTGGTCTGGTCCCCTTGGCTGGGTTTCGTTATCAATGGTGCACTGCTGCACAGTCAGAGCCAACAGTTCGCCCGATGGTCTTCTGCGAGGAGCAGTTGCCAACAAACTGCTCTTTTCGATTCCACTTCTCTCCGTTTTTCTCGCTTTCTCTTACTTTTCGTACCCTCTTTGCTCGCTTCTTTCATCACGGCTTTCTCATCCTTTCCCCAGCCAGACTGCCTGCTCTGCTCACACTGCTCACTCCAACAGCATTCTATTTCCCAGAAGCAGCAGCAGCAGCAGTGGAAAGTGCCGTCCTCGTTTCATGTCGTAGACAGATGGTGATGATCTGCTCCTTGCTTGGCTCTCGCAATGCAGAGGGTGCAAAGTAACTTAGGAGAAAGGTAGGCGAAAAGCAGAAGCTGGTGAATATGAAAACTTGGTCGTATCTGGAAACGCACGACAGCACCACACCACACAAACTGTAGCAAGGTTCGGAGGAAGGAGTCGACCCGGGTAACTTTCCATCATCCACAGCCCCACAGTCGCAGACAGAGTACGTACACTTACATACGCTGTCTTCTTCAACAATAATGCTTTCCAGCTCTCTGTGTGTGTACGAGAAGGCATGAACTACACGTAGAAGCCAAGTCACCATTTCGTTTGAGCGTGCTCTCTCCTCCCATTAAAAAAGAACTCCTTCAATATCCACCATTAATGTTGGCGAGATTCTGAGCAAGGTTCTAACGGAGTCAGTGTAAGGTACGAAATTTGTCCCGGCTTCTTTGGAGCAGCATCAGATCAGCATCGTCGTCGTGTCCTTTGCTGCTCTCTCCTCTTGGACTCCACCGTCGTGCTTTCCTCCTCCAGAGAATTCTTAACTCCCACTGTTTTCCTTTATAAGGATCTTGTTTACTTTACTCTCCTGATATTTGATAACCAACAATGCCCCGGGTCCCAGTTTACCAACGACTATCTGCATACACGGCAGCAGTGACTCGAAAGTAGATAGTGCTGCTTCATGCTCCGAGGGTGACACAGGATCCATGAACAAAGAAACCTGCATTTTCATAAATTATACTTTCTCATTGAGTGCCTCTCATATATTCTTTAAAGTACTGAATAATCAATCTGTAGGTACTAACGTCAAGACTAACGTGATCTTCTGTATATGTACGTATGCAGGCTTCTAGGCGAATAGTTTGTGTTCAAGCTACATAATTAATTGTCTTTATATAACCTTTATATAATTCAACGTCAAATGCACAAACAAGATTTCAATAGATCAAATATTTGTAAGTAGAAACCTGGTGAGTTCTACTTGATTCAATCTCATTTGAATCGTCAAGTTTCAATTTTTTACATCAAAATAGTTGTGAATCTGTCTTAACCTCACTTTGATATTGTTACCCTTTTCTTTTCCTTATACAACAAATATTTTACTTTTGTTTCGATCTCGGAAATGTGTACAAGATTCGAGAAAGAGAGAGTTGTGATGATGTTGAAAGAAAATTTCATACGGCTGTCTCGAAAAGAAAAAGAAAATATCAAGTCTGAATACATGCATATTATACGACGCTATGGAACTTTGAAGTAATAACTTATGCCAAGGCAGAAGGCAGGAGGGTGCACTGGGAATGTTTTTTTTTCATGAAGGAAAAGAAACCAAATAAGGTTCACAGTCAGACCTAGTTGGTTGGTTGAGTAAGGAGACAGAGACTTTGATGTTTGTGGGAATATGCATATTTAACCGACCGACCACGTCCAATTCCCTAAATCCCGTCAGCATTATCTCGCCATCTTTTACTGCTATAAAGTTGCATGGAGTCGGAGAAAGTTTACAGTGCGTAGTCCTCGCCTTTCTCCTTATCTTGTGCTTGGTTGAGCATTAAAGGGCTGGAATGAGTATAAGTGGAACTGTAATAGAAGGAAGGATGATGATGATGACGGTAATGGGGAACTCGATTTGAATTGGCAGAAAGGAAGGAAGCCAAAGGACGAGGAGGCAATGACGCGATCCGCGTTATTTTATTCAACCTCGCATTTAAGGAAAATATTATTTTTTTAGAAGTAGTAATATTTAGTAGAGTAGCCAGACTCGCTCTTTCGCTGATAACTTATTCTTTTCTTCCCGTACGAAAGTTTTATGAAAATCCAAATCTAGTGACATTTATGAAAACTTATGATCCTCTGTATATTTAATTTAAAAAAGAGTCGCCTCGCCTTCTGGAATAAGTTTTCTGTTATGTTCCACAGTGATGAGAGCTTTGGCTGGGTGCCTACTCGGGATTTCGAATCCATCCTCATTTCCGTCCAATTTATTTACTCCGGGATATTTGTCATCATTCAATGCAAATGTCGAGAGGGAAAATGTCGCTTCCGCTACAAACTTATTACCATTTTTCTAGAAATTTGTCCCTCTTACGTTTATACTCAAGCATCTTCGAACTTTGGAAAGGTGGGCTGGGTAAAGAACTGTGGCAAGGAACTGTGTAACCACAGAGAAGAGAGCAGAGCTCGTCGTGCGTGTCTCTCTGCATCAAAACACACGTCGCATCTCAGAAAATTCAAGATGGTCATTTATCATTCCGACGCCCATGTCTTCATATTATTATTAGAAGATCAGAGTGTCATTATGTACTCGAGCGAGTGCTTTCACAAATTTATGTTGTGTTTGAGTAAGGTTTGATAACCACGTATTTATTCGACTTATTTGATTCATCTCTTCCCCGGGCGGGTGTAATTACAAAATCTTAACACATAAATTATTAAAACTAATTATTTAACAAACGAAATTACAAAAATTATTTTTACTGAAATGTTTAAGCAACTAATAAATAATGGAAATGGTTGTAGCACACAAATTTGTCACAAGTAAAATAACCAAAGTGTAAAAAACACAGCACCCATTTAATCACCACTTATTATTGAGACCGAACGGAACGTAGTTTAAAACTTTAAATGATTTCAATGACTTTTCTCTGCAGGTGTTTCCCTGCAAAGTTTTTTTAAAAGTATGTATAGCTTTCGTCTACCACATTAAGTATTCTGTATTTCAGTAGGGTGACGTTGGTCGAACATTAACATGCTTTTTGATGAGTGTGCAACAATAGTGCTAACTAGTTATCTGTATAACATATTATGCACGATTTACTTTATAATCGGGAACAATGCAAGTGTGTCCTTATTTTGTACTGAACTGTGATTGGTGAACTGTGGACTACGTAATGAGATTTATTCCTCCGCCTGAAGGCTTGAAATTTATTTCCTGTTCACCACAGAAGTCTGGAGTTAAGGGGAGACAGTTCAGAACTTTGCACCAGGAACCTGCGAAAAAGATTCGTTAAGCATAATCGCAAATATATGATATAAATATGAGTAAAAACTTGCATATTTCACAGTCGCCAACTCCGAGATAAAAAACTATCAATAGTGTAACGAGGATGGCAAAATATCCAGACAGACATATCACAACTTCTAGCCATTTCCTACAAAGTAGGAGTAAAAACAATTAGAATTACAAGAAATACTTACACATAATAAAAAGGTGATAAAGAGAAAGCACGATTTTTGACATACCTATACGTTGAATACTTTCCAAAAGCGATATACGGCATCAGCGCATGTGAGAGTAAAAATCCAGCCACGAAGCCAGCAGCATGTGCGAAATTATCTACCCACGGTAAAAAACCTACAACAGAATGGATGAGTCAATAATATCTAGTTCATAAATGGGTGCTTAATTATAACTATATCGATAAATCAGGTACTTTTACCTATTATGAAAAGTATGCCAATCACCAGAGACATTTTCCCTAATGCTTGCCAAGGCCTTCTCAACATCCCCCTGTAAAAAAATAATGGCATGATGCATTATTCTTGCTTTAATGAAAGTGACTGACTTCTCACGTCACTGTAGGCCACTTACCACATGTGAAGTAATTCGACAAGAAGGCAGGCTAAAAGAATGCAATTACATGTGTTGTATTATATAATTGTTAAATTATGAGTAAATAAAATAGTTTATTACCTAAAAGACCATATTGGCTACCCCCTGGCCCGACCTGAAACACGATAACGAAAATGAGACATTCGTTCACAAAAAACGTAACATGGTCAATAATCTTTCAATCGAACCTCTGCTCGGTGAGGTTCTAGCAACACGGAAGCGAGATTTCCTGGTAAGGAGTAGAAAATATGCGATTTATTGAAATAATTTACCCTAAATGTCTAGAAATTGGCTGTCGTTAACATACCAGCAATTCCAGCACCCATATAAATGCACATCTGTAAATTAAAAACCATTCACAATAAGCATGTTGCATGTATAAGTATGGATAATGGTACACTATCTGTAAATGGACGACTATTTGAGTTAAATAACTCTAAATTAATAATCCGTACATACAAGCTCATAACCATTGTTTGCTTTTCGTATTATAATAAATCTTTGATGGGCTGAAACGTAAAATTACCCTCGAATTTTCCCAAGTGTAATTAGATAGGTGGAACTACTTACTGTTCTCAAGGGGCCAGCTAGCTTTTCCACATCTCGGAGGATAAACATGTGGAATACTAAGGTTATCATAATATGACCAAGTCCAGCATGTAGAAACAGGGAAGAGATCAATCGATAAAATTGGTCAGGATGATCTGCAAATAACACAATAAAATAAGCACAATCCACTTGTGTTGCACAATGTATTAATGAGTAAAATTACCTTCAGCTAAAAATGGAAACATTCCGCAAACGTCCTGTCAAACCAAGTAAATTAATTAATAAAACCAAAAATAAGAATTTTATAGAGACTGGTGGGTGGCAGTAAATAATTCGTCACTATTTCCACTAAATTTTTAATAACTAACCTGTAAGCAGGAAACTTGAGAGCACAGAGACGCTTCTTCGTGAAAATAGCTAAAAGCGAGAGAATTAGGATAAATTGGTTTAGTTTATGATTGGTTTAAACTTAATTAACATGAAAACATAATCAATACCCGTTCACAAATCGACAATACTCTCGCGTTGTTATTAAACATTTTGCATGAATCCCAATGCAGCAAGGATGTCCAATAACTTCGCAAACCTGGAACAGCAAAACAGAAATATTGATGACTTCATAGGTTAAACTCATTATTTAATTTTAGTTTAATTTTTTTAGTCGAATCGAATTTACCATGTGCTCGGCAGTCTTATCTTTTTGGGCTAACCCAGCAATCCCTCTAGTTTTTCTACAAATTGGCCATTTCGTTATGTCGTCCGGCCACTCGTACGGTGCAATAGAAGCTGGTGCCTCACAGTATCTGAAGAAATAGCATAGTTCATCATCAGTACAGTTATACTGATTATATTAGTAACAATGGATTCCATGAAGGAAATACGTATAACGAAATGGAACAATCTTACTTGGGATCTGCAAAATAGAAAATACGAAAAAAATAATAATTTGTGTCCTGATTTTCAATTGCAATCTTATAGCCCAATTTTAGAATATTTACCTAATCCACAAACGGATCCAGAAATTCGACCACCAGGCCCATCATCTCTTGTCCACTTTTTCCAGGTTGACAGTAAATTCTGCAAAATGCACAACTCAATTACAGCTTGCTCACTAAAGTGGGTGCATTTTATGCTAATAAATATACAACCGAAATGCTAAACACTTATATATTTAAGGAAAGATATAACAATGCTTTTATGTAAGTTCAAACAGAACGAAAGCACAAAAAACTAAAGTAAAAGTACAACTGGAAATATTTGCAAACGATCCACACTCATGAAATGTACAAATACTTACAGAGCTGCTAACTCCCTTGATCTTCACAACAGCATAGAAATAGAAATAGCATAGAAAAGTTAGATCATATTTTATCCTTCGATGATTTACACAGTGGTTAAAGCCATATAAAGAATTATTCTACAATTCATTTAAATGATGATACTTACAGAGCATTCATTTCTTGAAGATTGTACACATCCCGAATTATCTGAGTTACAAATAATTTAGAATTAAGCAAGTATTTATGTAGTACAGATTCCCATTTAAAATCGTAAGCTTTACCATTTCGAATGCAACAAGCAGTTTGCCTTTCGCGATCTCGTGTTTCAACTATCCTGCGATAAATAACGTCATCTCTACGCATACAAGGAGCTGAAAAAGAAAAAGAAACAATAAGAAAACACAGTTAAACATCACATTAACAAACCATCATGCATACCATATTTTGCTCCAAGGTGAATTAAGTCTCCCTGAAAATATGAATTAATGAAATGTTAGGCACGCTTGATGGAAATTAGAGTTCTATAGATTTTATTTCTACAACTTACTGCTGAAGGTCCCACCCAAAAATTTGCTGGTTGTATAACTTCCATTTGCTGTAAACTTAAAGACGTGACTAAAACTAACGAACTTTTACGATGCAGGTCCATGCCGACAGGAGCCAAACCATATAAAATCATGATAACTGTTGGGTCAAAGAAGATGCAATTAGCTATTGTCATGTATTTATCAAGTATTGCAATAATGAAGGTCAAGCTTACCGATTAAAATAACAATTTGCACAATCTGAAAATTGAGATCCAGTTTCAGTAAATATTCACAATAAAACGTATCCAGCACATTCATCTGAACAACAACATGATTATAACTTACCGAGATCCAGTAAGTAAAATATGGGCGGAAGTCCTCGTATTCATCAATTAAACATAGTTTGGAAGGTGAACTAGTGGGTTGTCGGATTCCCTGTCTGAATTGCTGGCGCTCGGAATTCTGAAAAATAGTGATTATTATATTAATGTATCACACAATTTAGATGGTTGACTAAATAAATGTCTTAATCTCTTAACATGGAAGGACATATGGACCATGCAAGTGTGAAATGTCAATTGCATTAACGATATCGATGGGGGATGACAACTTACGTCTAAAACTTTGTTCAAGAGCTGTGCTGGAATTCGGTTTGAATGTTGCATGCCTCCCATTGCAGGATAGCTGCGTGCTATTCTCCAATGAAGACCCCTCCTAGTCCACCAGAAAAATAACATAAAGTTGAATTTATTCAAGTACAGCTAGTTAGCTTGATTTTAAATTGAAATATGCATTTCGTTACGAGATATTAATTACCCAGGGGGCTGGAGGTGATGGGTTGAATTTCTAATGTTTTCTTCGAGGTCGTCAAAAAAGAGTTCTTGCGGGGATATGTTGACACTGGGTGGGAGTTCGGAGAGTGTGTTTGGACTGAAAAACATTAATTTACGTCATAATGGTATAATGATATATTTACTATGCATGATATTGCCTATTCTTTCATGTGACCATACAAATAGATACATTATCATTCATTCAGTGTATGCATATAAAGCTAATGCATATATTTCCTAAACATTCTCCTAAATGTGACTCACATACCTCACAGAGCGACTTCTTGTTCTATCTCGTGACATTTGACTAGCCAGCGGCACTCGTCCCGGCGTCCCGGCGGCAGCACCAGGATTAGTGTCCGAACCTGAATAGTTTGTTAGACAGATTAGTTCAATTCTATTTATAATACGACTAACCAATGTACAAACTGGTCTTACCACATCCTGCTCCTGCAGCCACGCGTTGACCTGTGCGCCCGAATCGGATTGACTGGAAAACAATAAAAACACACAACTGAGTTAACTAGCCTCCGCCATTACCTTTATTACTTTTTATCAGGCTGTACCCAAAATATCCACCGAATTACGTTCCAGTAAATAACAAAAACATGGTCCTTCTTTCTCGTCCTCCTGCTCCTTCCGCCGTTGACCCTCCCCACAGCGCGAGAGTCCAGTGCAGGAATTCGGCCTGCGTCTGGTTGGTCGTGATTGTGTGGATGCATTGGGCCGTGGCCGCCGAGATGTCCCACGGGGGGTAGTTGGTAAGGACTCGGCGGAGGCATGCTGTCCACGTTACGCTCAGAATATCGTCTGGATGCGAAACGTTTCCGTCTCGAAAGCCACTCCTCTTTTAACTCTGTGGTTTCGTCCAACCTTACAATTTGAGAAAAACATTATTTAGATGAATAATTCATTATGATTAAACTTAAAACAATGAATGGAATGAATGCTCTTACCCAAAAAATGTCTTTGTCTCTCCTCGAATGTATTTCCTTAGCGCATTCCATTTGGTTTCTTTCTGATTGTGAAGGTTTCCTGGAACATTGTGGGGTTGTTGGCAGGGTGGTTGATGATTAATTGAATTCATAATGGGATTGTAATGGTGACTTTGGCTGTATGTGGCAGAAAGTGAGCTGCCAGCACCAATATTTTTGCTTGTGCATCCACGACTACTGCTTGGACCGTTGGGACAACTTGGTCCGGATGCTCCGTTATGGAAACTTCGTCTCGGAGAAGAAGGGAGGATATTTCCAGAATTCCTCCTAAGTAATAGGAAATAAGAGTAAAAAATTGCAAATTAATTTAGTGTACAATAATACGCCCAACAAGTTTAGATGATATGAAAACTATTGAAGTACAGTCAGTTGGGAAACGTAAAATATTGAAATTGTACCCTCGCCGCGGGTGTGAAGGAGAAAGAATCTGCAAGGGCCTACCCTTTATTTATGGTACTTTATTAAGGATTCTGATTCGGGTACGGGGCATTATTGTAGATATGATTATGCATTTTTGGGTTTTCAGATTACGATTGAGTCCTCACATGTCAAAAACGACCGATAAAAATAAAATATTTAGTCATGTGCATACCATGGATTATTATTTGAAGCATATTCTGGTCCATGTCGCACAATGCAAGTTGGGAGTAGATCTGGAACTCCGCCGAGGGTTGGCGCAGGAGGTGGAGAGTTCCCAGGGGGGCTCACCGCTCCCACGCTTATCCTCCGACTTTCTGACCCAGAACTGACTAATGACCACTGTTCTGGAAGTTGAGAGCTTTGAACAGCTTTGTCTGACATTTCTACGACGGGTTTGCAAGTATTTTCTAATATCGTTAAAGTTTTAAATTTCGTTTTGTTTGGAGTGATCGATGTCACAGCGAGAGGGTCACTGCTGCTTCCCAATTCGATTGCGGTTTTGACTAGATTTGACGCTACTGTACTTTCATTCTGTTGCTGAGATGCCCGTTGAGCTTGTTGCTGCTGCTGAGATTGTAGGTCTGGGGCAAAGGTCCGATATATGCCGTCCGTCTTCAAATTCTCAGGTCTGCTTTCGTCTATGAAAAATAATAAATTTGTTTTAATCCCAGACTTCTTCTGGCAGCGCACAAAGCAGTTAGAAAAAAGATAAATGGCAAGAATGAGATGCACAATAGAATATACAAAATTAGAACTGGACACTGAACTGATAAGAAATTTGAGAGTCCTTTTCTATCAACGCTTGCTTGCCCTGATAATTCCATGAAGCTGTGCACTTGCAGAACAGAGTTCAACCGAACAACAAGTATTATTAATTAGAGTGATTTTAAACCACCAGATCTCTTAATAAAATATTGCTGAAATTTTTTAATTCGCTCGTTATTAATTTAATACAAGTTGTAAAGTATAAAAATGAGTAAACATACCATTCACAAATGAATTAAACAATGTTATGAGTATGTTTGTTAACCTGAACTTTTGATTTTATACCAGGACTTTTGCCATCATCCGATACTAATCATCTCGCATAATGCACTTTATTCTTACATTCCATATAAAATTAAAGTATTGAGCTTACCTGCAAATTTTATCCTGAAATGCGGCAATCTAAATAATCCCAAATTGCTGCATCATTTGTGACAAGACAATTATAAAATGTGCATATATTTATTGGATGCTTACACAAAACGTGGTTGGGCTCCACCCGAGGATAAAGTCACAGAACTCCCAACCCCAGAGTCAGCCATGACACCCCCATTGTTGCCCCCAGCAGCACTCGTGTTGGATGCCGTGGAAGAGATAGAAGCGCCGCCGCCACCACTTATAACTTGATTTCCACTGTTGTCCAATCGAATCAAAGAAATTGAACGGTCAATAAAGTGGGGGGCATGATGTTGTGGAGAGGAAGATCGCTGTAAGGAAGCCGATGAAGCGTTTGAGCCCAGTTGTAAGGCAGAAGATGAGTAGATTCTGAAATTAATATTTCATAATCAATTATGGGGGTTAACACGGGACACTTATGTTGCAAATAAATGATTAGTTAACTTAAAAACCCAGTTACCGTGGCTCGTCTAATCTTAAGATACTGGAAGTCTGACCGGGGGGAAGTCCTGACATCCCCACTCCACTCAGTACGGGAACCACATTCCCCATTCCACCCACACTCACGCCATAATTTCGTATATTTCCAGACGAGGAGCCGCCTGAAGAGCCAAGTCCACTTGCTCCTCCTCCTCCTCCTCCCGTCGACAAACTGGGATGGTGGTAGCTTTGAGATGGAGGGGCGTCATAGATTTTCGGGTCTTGTTGCTCTGGAGGAAATCCTCGACTGGAGGAATGGCGTGGATGCCTCGTGAGAGTTGATGTGTAGTAAATATCACTTCTGGGGTCAGCATAAGGTGAAGGCTCAGTCGTGCCGTAATAAGACGACGACGTGTAAGGATGATTATTACTCCTTCTGCTGTTGTAACAAGATCTATTAAGCGTGGCGCAAGCAGGAACGTCCCTGAAAACAAGATATATTTACATATTTATATTTCATTCAAGATAACTAATTAATACACAATCAGTGGATTTCCACAGTTTCCTGTCATATTGTTACCTGTACTGCAAAGGTGGGTGTGGAATGGTATTGAAGTGCGAGGGGGACGAGTGGAGAGGAATTGGCGGGGGTGGAGGGTGGTAAAACTGATGGCAACAAGGAGGGGGTTGCGGTTGGTACTCGTTTCCCATGCCACCTCCACCACCACTACTTCGAGACGTTGTCCCATAGCCCGATGAGCTTCGGGAGTAACTCCTGCCTTGTGGAAGGTTGTAAGGCGAAGGGTCACCACCACCCATGTTTGATGAAGGAGAGTTGGAATGGTGACCCCTGCTTGGCGAGTACTCCCTGGTGTAGCGGTATCTGTTTTGACCATTTCCACTGCGACTGGTGTAAAAATTCCCATATTCCTCTTCGTCAGAAGCTTTCATTGTCTCACTAATGTGGTTTTCCTTGGCAAGTACATCTATACAAGTTGTACTCTCATTTTAAAAATGTTTGAAGGAATTGGCAGACTTATTTTTCGAATACGTCATTTCCAAAGAAAATACGTCAGTGCTTTGATTCAGTGACTCCATAATGCAGTGAAATTACTCTATTTTGTCCACTGCAAATTTCCATGCCTAATAATCTACAAGAGTAATGGGCCAGAAGAAGACGTGAGGAGGAAGGTGAGAAGAGGTGTGCAGCATTAATTATACAAAGCTCAGTGGTAGTAGCACATATATGGATCGATATTTCTTGATTTGCATTTATCCGAGCAAGAGTCAAATTCTTGATTGCCACTTTTTAATGCATGGTCATTCGTATTCGTCTACTAAGTCCGTTCTCAAAACCATTTACTTTCCGACCCCGCCGTTTCACTGCTGTACTAACATTTATTGGTTGCTTGTTTGAGTTGTTAGGAATTAAGTGGCGTCACATTATTGCGTGCAATGCAATGATCATCAAAAATTGCACACAATAATAATAAAATCACACACAAATATTTTCGCCAAAGGTTCCACACAATCGCCCACTTTCACTTTTCACATTCTCATTATGACGTAAATGTTTCTATCTTATTTTCACTTGTCCAAAATATGAAAGTTGGGTTTAAATGTGTATTTATTTTATAAAGTTTTTTTTCAAAGTCTTTTTGGATTTTTTAGGGCTGACGGGTGTATGCTGAGGACTATTGGTTTCCTGTGACTCTTCGCTATATTCTACGCTCGGATGGGCTGGAGGTTTGTGTTGGTGGTGCTGACCAACTTTTCACATCAAACTGCAGTGATTGAGGAAGTTGAGTGGAGGATGCAAAATTTTGATAAAATAGGGACAAAGCCAACGTCCCCTGTCACATACACCCTCTGGAGCACCAGTGAAAGGTGTAGCTCAGTATGATTTTTTCAGTTTTCCAGGAATTGAGCACAGTAGAAAATTCTGCACTGGAAAGTGCACGAGCCATATGTAAGAGGGATATAAAGCTGGTAGTTAGCACTAGGGAGAAGAATGTAGGGTAGGGTACTGGCGCTGTGCTAACTCGGAAATGTATGTATTTACATGGTCGTGTCTACAATACTTTCTCGGGTATTAGAGCCACCATCACCCCTTCTCTACCACAGCAGCACATACTCGTTGTTGGAGAGAACTGGTGAGATCTTGGGTTCGTGGGAACGTGGCAAAAAATGTTGTTCACCCCGAATCATGAAGACTTTCTCATTCCCCACCATCACATCGATCCGCCCCGAAGTTTCCGAGCTGCTCCTGCTTTCCCGTCCAACCCGGCCCAGGATGGCAACAAACCCCACACTGCGTCTGTCTGTTTCCGAAATACTGCTCCATTCCAACTGGGAAAGCGTTTAACACTCTGTGTACATGCACATACATACATCCATCCACACACACCATCCGCCACGACTCGTGTTTAGCTCGCCCCTGCATTTCTCGCAAGAAGCATTCATGACACTTTATAATTATAAGGAAAGTTATAAATCTAGGCCGACAACTGTGGTGCACTTTTTCTTCAATGGTATAACTACCGACCCACCAACCAAGGTTGAGTGGCTGCTTTCTTAATTACAGAGTAAAGCACATAATAGCGAATGTTGCAGTAATTATTTTCAGCACTCGTGCAAAGTAAAATGTAGGGAAATATTAAATTCACCTGGATCCGAACAAACACTTGCTATGGATCTTTACTTTCCGGTAATACACACTTGCTAATTGTATAATTTAACTCTATATCTTAATAATTGTGCGAAATTGTTTTTTTAGAATTGAGCAACCATCCATTCATCTACTTCAAGCTATTGTTGACGAAGTATAATCAAAATGATGTTGTATGAACTGTGTATTACGACACGAGGACAACTAATGCACTGCCATTATAAACTGCTTTGTGAAATGTGTTTTTTTAATTTAAGCAATATCTGATGAAATTCATCAACAATAACCGTGTAATTCGTATTGATTCCAGATCGTTAAATGACAATGAACTTATTGGAGGTCCAAAACGGGAGTCACGAGGAACTCATACACCTTTATCGCCTACTACTCGATTCAGTTATTGAAGGCATTTAGACATCGACCTAAATCTACGTTTGAATATTAATTAGAATGCCTTCTTCTCACCACTACCGTTGACGCTCCTTCTCAAGTTAACGGCACCATTGTCATTAGTCGTTCTTCATTCTGCTATAGAAGAGTAAAAGTCCTTTGTTTAGTTGGTGAAAGACCTACTTAAATAGATTTTCTAGTGCCTGATATGAAATGAATGAAAGTATTTCCTAGCAAGAGGAGTCTTCTCGCTTTCTGCATATTGTATGGAATACTTGTGTACTCTGACTGAACTTCCACTTCACATGCCAAAATGACGTTAACACTAAAATTCACTCAAGTCGCCCGACTCCCACGAGTTTCTTTGTCAAATTATGGACTCTCGTGGAAATAAATAACCAGCAGATTCCACATAAATGCACATCATACATACATTTAAATAAGTACAAAGCTTTTGTAGTCTATTTCATTAAATTAATTATATACAGATCTGTATATTTTTTGTGATTTGAATATTTTTTATTGTTGTTTTTGATAATATTTTACAAATTGAATTTTTGAATGTTGCCCTAATCGTTTTATCTCCCTCTAAAAAAAACTATCAATTTTATTAAAAAGAGCGGTGAGTGGAGAATCCTGCCACACGAAAGGAGTCATTTCCTTATGAAATCTAATCTGAAGGGGCCAGAAGGGATTTAAACCAGCTTATCTAATCTAATGAAGGTGCTGCGTGTATGTATTCATTTCATCACGACTCTGTTTTTTACATGTCTACAATTCAATCTATCAGTTTGTTGAAATAATATACAATGTTTCCCTGAGGTGTGGTTTGATGTTTCTTCTTCTTCTTTTGTTCTCCACAAAGAGAAAAGTAAATATAAGTGGGAATGTGGTTGTTAAATGCCGCTGGGAAGCAGCAACATCAGCTCTTTTAAATGATAAATTTACAGGCTGCGAGGACTCGAGACGAAATTCTGCAGACCTTGGTGATGTATACTCAGAGCCACAAGATTGGATTGCATTTCCGTTATTTATGCAATTTCTCTCTCCGCTGACAAAATCTTGACTTTGCTCATGTCTGCCATACATTTGCCCATTGTTGGAGCGAGACTTTCTCCCATTTCCGCTAAAATTTGATATTTCCACTCCACTTTCAACTTGAAGCGAAACAGAGACGGAAGCCAAAACCGACAGCATATACATATGTACATACGATGCTTTAGTGGTGGTGGTGGTCGAGGAATGAGAAGTATGAAAACTGGCCGTCTCAATTCTCCTCGCCTATCGTTTGTCGCTGTCGTTCGTGTCCAAGAGTCCAAGAGAAAGAGAGAAAGTCGTTTCGTTTTGAGAATTGAGATTGCGAATGGTGACACTTTTCTTCTTCTTCTATCACATCACATTCAGCATGAGACATTACTGGAATAAAAGAACTCATTGAATGTGTATGAGGAGCTTAGTCGTGGCAGCCAGCAAACAGTTCAAAATCTGGTAATGCGTTGACTTGGTTTATGTATTGAGTTTTCAACTGAGCCTTGAATGAAAAAAATACATTTCTTAATTCGACTCCAGTCCTCTCTTTCTCACACCCTCTTTTACACTCACTCACTCACTCACTCACTCTCATCTATCTCATCTGTCTCGCATGCACTGATGATGTCGTTCTGTTACAGTTGAAAAGTAATGTCCGTATAAGTGAACTCGCATATACATTTTCAACCATGTCGCTCCGGCAGTTCTTCTACGTAGCTAAATACATATATGAAGTGAGAGGGAGGACAAATACCAATCCGTAGGTTCAAACGCTTTCATATATAGTTTAGCAAGCTTTCTCCAAGCCTTTCTGCTGCATCGAATAAGCCATTGAAACTCGTGTTTAAAACGGCACAATACAATTTCGTTTCTATATTACAACGAAAGTCAAAGAATTGTGTAGCCGCCGTCTCAGTCTTCAACACGCCGGTTTTCTTAATAGAGAGAGAGAGTAAGAGAGAAGCCGTTCAAGATTCGCAGCAAGTTGTAGTGTTCAGCAAGTCACTCAGTCTCAAAGTGTGGAGTAGAGTTGGAGCACTTTAGCCCATGCTCTCATCTTTCTGCAAAACACCTTAATCTTAATTCTCTACCATTCAACTAAGAGATTAGTGCCACTAAAGAAAGAATAGCACCACTCTTCATGGCATTATTCACTCCGAAGAGATTTCATCAGAGAAAGTTCTTTTTATGAACCATACCAGCCCAAGTTTAGAAAAGGGGAATGTGAGACAGTTGAGTGAACATCATAAAACATTCCGAGTAATGGACAATTCAAAGGAGTGGGAACGTAATAGGGGTGTGCTAAGGAGACAAAGAGAAGGATTTCTGGTCGTGATGACGTTTCATTCGTCGGGCAAATGGGGTTTGACCAAGTCGACCCTGCTATTGTGTTCACTTCTCGTCCTTTTGACCGTCTGTCCACAGGGCAGTTTTTGCAAGGGTGGTGGTGGTGCTGGAGGAGGGGTGACCAGCGACGAGAGGGAAGACTCGTCGTCTGCCGGAGTGGGGGATTCTGTGGAGGAAGACACAGAGATGGAAATGTCAGACTATTTGGATGATGAAGTCAGATTCGTCACTGAAGACGACTTGTACGAAGAAGAAAGATCTCATTATTCGGACTTCCATCAGGTTTGATTATAAAAACACACATCAACGTGTTTATATTTCAAGCATTGTTTAACACGATACAAGATGCATCTTGTATTTATATTAATGATGCTTATTATTTGAAGAACGATTACTCGGTCTTACTGATTTGTCAGCGTGCGTTTATTTTTTGTTCACACTTGCCAAAATTTACAGTACTGCGCTGAGAATATACTGCATGAATAACAAACGGACTAAAGAACAAAAAACTTGGCATCAGCAAAGTTAAGGTCTTCAGATTTGCAGCAACTTATTGAAGAGTTTAACGAATCTGGAGAATGCATTTACTTTTATGCAACGCCACACTCTGCACCAGTCAGTACATGGCTTGGATGACGATGCTTAATAAGACGAAAGTTAACAACCAGACAAAATCGAGGACTAGACATATCGAGTTCAGCATGAGGTTAGGTATACACAAAGGAAAGCGCACCAGTTATGTAAGTTCGGGGCAAGTTTCTCAAAACACATTGACAGGAAAATATGTTATCTGTGCATACCTCGTTCGTATACATTACATAACCCGACTTTGTTTTACGCACAAGTGCCTGCATGACAAAATCTCGATAATAACCACTTATTTAGATTATGGTTTTACAGATTGGTTTACAAGGAACCAAGAAAAAATGCATATTTTGTTCGTCTCGTTTGTGGTTTTAACAGAACTTATGCAAATCTGAGACACATTAGCTCCTTTCAAATTCAGATAATTGACTTCAAATTTGATACACAGCTGTAGTATTTCAATTAATAGTACATACTACTTTAAATTAGGAGCCATGTTCGAAGATGAGAAAAATCGGTTCACATATGGTGATTTACACAACTTGGGTGAGATAAGTAGAAAATCGGATTCAAGATTCTATTTATCTGAAATTTTATATGGTCAAGAATGAGTTTTCCTTGTAAAAACGTTAGCAAGGATTCGCCCACAATAATTTTGGAATACAAAAATATCAGTCAAAATTGACTACATAAGAGTTTGGTGCAAAATTATTGATAAATTGTGATTATATCATGGCTCGGGCTGTAATAAGTAGCAGCATAGGTTTTAGTCTTATCTTATCGCTCCTCGTATATGTACTAAACATGTCACTCGAGGTTTTAGTACCTTATCCAACGTGAAACGCTTTGAGTATAGCCATACACATATTGTCTTTTCTAGTAAAAACCATCTCGTGCATCTTCTTAGTTAGTGAATCTTGCGGGGAGTATACATATAATGGAATGAATTCTAATGGCACTGCATAGGCTCACTAATTTCTCTCCCATGTTATGTCTTCAAAAGAGATCTTGTCGTGAGGATGAATTTTGCAAAAGAATTTACATAGTTACAGATTGCAGACAAAGCTGCAGTAATGAACTTTTGGAGTTTTCAAGCATGTCAGATTACTATCGAGGGAAATCAGATCAGATTTTTAGCAATTTAAATTCTAGCTCAATTCACAATCTGGTGAGCTCTTTTAACCTTCTTTGTGTTCCTAAATGTACTATGGGCCGTCCTCTTTTACGTATGTAGTCGACATGCAAAACACGCAACGACAACTTTCATTACAACAATATTATTCCTAGTTGAATGTTAAATTATATGCATGGCATTGAATGCTGACGGACTATGTTATACAAACTCGTTGTGATGAGATAATTTGAGCCTCATCAGTAACAAGCAATAAACCCGAGTCAAGTGCATACCTAAATACGTTCATTGGTTACTCTGCAAATACAATTTATAGTTCAATGAGTAAAAGGGGGATTGGCTGGTTGGTATCAAATATCTGCTAAACTTATATAATATCAACATCTTAACATTAATATTTTTTGCTAGAAAAAAATTTACAAGATAATTTTTGAGCAGTTTTTAATATCTCGTTTCAGTTTCATGCATGCTGCTTACGTTGACAACTTATTCATTTCATTAATGTCCTGGGTAGATTTAGCTGTAAGCGGGAGTGAAACAAGAGTTACGACTTTATTAAAAGAGCTCTCGCTTCTTGTTCATTATGTTAATGCAACGTAAGCACCAGCGTCTCAACCAACCGACCAAACCGAATTTCGAGACGGTGGTGGTGTCTAGAAATGCGAGAAAACGGGATGATGTTGTATAATAATTTGGGTGGAAGGAGCCTGATAGTTGATGGTTATGAGAATTTGTTGGCCTATTGCATTTCATATTTGCCATTTACAGCCTGACATGCATGGCAAGCGACAACATTAAGGAAGTCTACTCACTGAAGCCACCATAATTCGGCTAGACCGAATCGAGTAAAAAATGCGATCTACGTATGTATGCAGTATCTATCAGCAAAATCTCTATAGAAGAGACAATAAAGCACTATATTTATACCTAACACCTAATCATTCCCTTAAAAATTAAGTTATGAAAAAGTGTCCCGTTGCTAAAGTTCTTACCTTATCCTGCTAACACAACGATGAATTACTAATAATTACGATCGATTATCACATGAATCATCCGATCCGAGTTAGACATGGCATCCTGTGATGACAATTATAATGGATTTTTAATTGTACCTGAGGCGAAAGAGTAGATCAGCATGAAAAACCGGATATTATTCTCATAAGAAGAATCGGGAGAGAGAAAGCCATTTGCCATTTTATCAATGAAAGCTCCATAAATTGATGTCTGTTTTCATAATGGGTTTTGGAAATGCGAGAGTATAGAAACTGTGCATGGAAAATGTGTGTATTAAGTGTTGGCATTGTGAGAATTTCATGTTTATTTAGCGTATATGTATGTATGCATGTTACTTTATTAATCCGAGATGATTTTAGAAAGAGTTGGATCAAATTGAATAATGTTCTGCGTTAAGTGATTCTAATGTAACATCACAACAAGAAAGTAAATCTCAAGAAAGCTGTCAGATTTTGCTAATCAATCAGCACATTTTTCTATGCTTTTCCCTGCTACATATTTCTTTATGCGGCGCTCATCATCATACTTTCCGTATGCACTTTCAACCTTTGAACAGAAGACGCCAAGGAAAGCAAATGAGACGGGAGAGTAATAAATCGCCAAGGATTTACGACTAATGACTATGCTCTCATAAATTAATGATGCGAAGATATTCAGTAGTACACTCCTTGTGGGGTTTTAGGTCTTCCTTCATTTTAGTTAGATTAAGACTGCTGCCACCGACTTGACTATTTATTTCGTTTGACATTTCGTTCACTGCAAGTCCATTATTAGCAGGCAGACCGCATTACATAAGCACAAATCCATTCACTGAAAATCCACTAATCAATGCATAATTTGGCTGTTAATATTTGCATGTGTACTAGACAGCACATTGGACTTTACTAATTAATTAAAAACCAGAAAAAATTGCAACTAAATGACAAGACAAGTGTTGCATCTGACTCGAGAACAGAAAATTAGTAGAATAAGATATTTATAAAAGAAAGTCAAACTTTCACGTTTTACTTAAATGCGAATGTGTTGTTTTCTTGGCTTTTATGCTAGCGATATATTTTTCGCTTCGATGTTCCTCCGTGAAACCATTACGCTCTAAACATATTTTATTGCCATCATCAAGTTGAATATATTTCTATCCTCGTGTTAGTTAAAAAATTGAGATTACTGTTCATTTAATTTATTGGTGCAGGGTGCCAAGATGGGAAGTGTGAGTAGATTTCAGTACGAGCGATGTCCACCTCTACCCGACCCTTCATCCGTGGCATCGTCTGCAACATTATGTGCTGCAAAACGCTGTCAACGGGACGACGAGTGCTACAACGGATATATTTGTTGCTATAATGGATGCGTCTACGCCTGCCTTCCCAAGGTTAATCCCCCCGTAGGTAAAGAAACAAATTAAAAAAGGATTTTGAAAACTGAGAGTCAGCTTGCATGCATAATATGTACGTACAGAACGCATATCATATTTCTTAAACATAATGCTCGAACGCCAAAACATTTTACCCTCCTTTTCGTCCTCTCACTCAACCTTATCTCCCGGGAGGAGGAAAAGAATAACACAGCAGTAAAGGCATGGATAGACTAACTGCTGTCATAAGATAGCAGCGGATCTCGAGGAAATATGTATATGCACTCTTGTCAAAATACTGGTGCAAGAAAACCGATTTATTTTGAGATCTGGTACTAACAAAAAAAAACTTCTGATTAACAGAAGTCTTCCTTCAACATGTTTTGGAATTGGAATCAGTGAGAATCTGCGAGCATCACACAAACATGAATTCCACCTGTAAAAACATTTAAACTTCTCCAAAATCAAGTTAGAACTGTTGAGATGCTGATAGTGAGATATGTATCACGATCTGCAGTTGCAAGAGTGCAAGGTTTCTATTCATGCTACATCGTTTTGCAAACTCACTAACTCAGATCAAAGATAGAACCTTCAAATACATTATTTGCAATACATATTATTTCATGACTATCTGACAGCTATAATGTAATTCAGAGTGCATATCTTAATGCTTTCGTAATGATAACGATATTTATTTGATCTTTGAACACTTGCAGCATTCGACTGGGTGGAAGAGACGGATCTTAAATTTGTCTCCCATGATCATGGCCCACCTCTAACTGACCCGACACTTCGCAGAGTCAACCCAAAGACACTCGTCAATGCTGAAATTAGCCCAGAAACGATTTCACTTGCAGGAGGGTGCTTCATCAATACGAAGCAATACGACGATTTGCTAATGTTCAGAAAATTCGATCACGTTAGAGCATGGTATCAAGAGAATAACATTTAAAACATTACAAATTGTATGCATTGTAATAAATACCTCTGAAAATTTTACACTTTTTTCAGTTCCTGCACAAAGGGCGAAGTTTTCTGTGAAATTAATCACCAGCCGATGGATATCAGAGGTTGATTGATCAGGAGTTGTGCAAGACTTGTTACCAGTATTCATTACTACAACAGAAAGACTACAACAATAGTATCGTCGACAATTAAGAAGCACAAAACCAATTATATGCATAGCTTTACCGTCAGGATGGTTTAATGTTATGAATGAAGAAATCAGCATTTATATCTAATGTTAATTAAAAAATATCATTAAGTATTTATGACTATTGTTAATTTTATAATTATGCATTTCCCACTGCCTAATATTTTATTTTACATTTTTAGAAACATTAATACATACTTTGGTTAATTAAATGGTGTGTGCTTCTCATTATGCAATTTAGATTTAAATTCAAGTAATATATACATGTATTTACATATGTGCAGTCTAAGGTCACATTGCATAATGCATATTTAGATGTAAGTGCATATATACATTAGTATATCATTTATATGGATTTTTATGCTCATTATAATTGATTTTTGTATTGCAAATCAATGCCATAATTCTATGATAAAACTTCAGTAGGTTTCATATTTATTATAATTCAACAATTTCACAAACAATTCTCATACAAAATTCACTCAAAATTCAAGTAGATTGAATACAGAAATGTACACCATGCGTCTGATATAAGAAATAATAATTTAGTACAACTTAAAAGTCATCAGAGTATTTTAATAATGAGCATAAGCTCCGCCAACGTAGGCTGGTGCGGCATAACCACGAGCAGCGTAAACTGGAGCTGCAACGGCGACCTTGGCGACAACGGGGGCAACTGGAGCAGTTCGGGAAACCACAGCGTTGAATCCGTTGACTAGAGAAAAAATTATTAGCAATTGTCTTAGAATGTATGCGTATTTAGTTGCATATCAAAAAGTAGCATAATATTAGCTGAAATATTTACTTCCATCAGCGGTGTAGGTGACAGTTCGGACTGCGCCATCAGGTTCGACGAGAGAGTATTGGCCTTGGACGAGGTCACCGTCTCGGCTTTCTTGGGCAGATTTCTGGTCTCCGGTCAAACCATCGGCAACAGAGTATCCTTTGCAAATGAAAAAGAATGATAAGGTCAAGTTAAGGGATTGTTAATTGTTAATTTTTTAAAAGGATTTATCCACATACCGTAGTTGTACTGGGGGTGTGGGTCATAAGGCTCTGGTTGAACGACTATGATTTCATAAATGTTATTGATAAATCAAGACAAGCATTCCAGTGGATATTTTTTACAGATATTTTTGTATACCTGCGCTATATCCGATGGCTCCAGCAGAAACCATACCGCACAGGGCCAAGAAGACGGCGATCTGAAATTAATATTTTGACAAGTTCTCAGAAATGTTATGAATATTCTGGCTGAAATTATTTGGTACCTTGATCATGATGAATGTGGGGGATTTGTAATAGTTTTTGTGAAGCTGAAGCTAGTGGAAGAGTACTGATAACAATTTGAAGAGCATGAGAGCTTTTTATACTTGGACTTTAGTTTTTTTAGACGTGAAATTTAACATCAAGATCAACAAATTCATCCTTTGGATGCATACAGATATGTGCATGCACGAAATGCATGCTGTAATTTAGAAAGGAATTGCGGGCTATGTTAGTTCATGGACTTAATATTGGTCTAATTTCCCATTAATGGAACCAAAACTGTCATAGCCCAACATAAAGCGAATTAAAGTGTGAACGTTTAAAAGGCTCCCACGTCGACATATGTAAACATTATTTGCATTTCAGGTTTCTGTTCGTCGATCCAATCGAAGGGCTTTGTGTTGAGATGGATGGACATTCATTCAATCACTTTTGGCACTCGGTCGGGCTGGCAGCCTGTTTTTTTCCCTACTGAAACAATAAGTCACTGCAGACATATTATCTCATGTTTCATATTCGTCTTATTAAGTATGAATGTCTTTTGTATGACTAGGCGTACTATTTTGGTTGATAATGTCTCTCAAATAGTGATGAAAACGGTTGTATACAATATTTTGACAAGAAAGGTGCTGCCGGTGATTATGATAATACTTGTTTGAGTGCATTTTATTTTATTTTATTTTAAGTACTCACTGTTGCATCATCCTGTGAACTTGCTCTCATTAATTCTTGATAACCTTTCGCTTCAAGAGGCCCTTCGGTTCTTGGTGTGGCTAATCATTTTTTACCATTTATGAATAGAAGGCGTTACTTCTGTTCCCTCCTGATTGATGGGTCAGATAGAAATTTATCGTATTTCTTAATTGCAGTTTTAAAATTCTGGTGCAGGTCGTGCTAAAACACTATATGCACTTATTTAGTTATCTGATTAAATATTTGATTACAACACTGAAAAGGGCTCAATCTGAAGTTTTGTAAATTCCAGATAACTCTTACTCTACAGCGATGCTAAAATAAACTTTGTGCATGATTAATAAATATCTAAATACTTAACAATCGTTATGTTATCCATTTTGTTTATTTATTTGCACACAGAATTACGCATTATGCGTTTGCATATCTATAGATGGACAGGCGGATAGATTTATCATACAGCAGAACTTGGTACAATTAAATATGTGCATATCTATCACATAATTATTGAGGAAAATTGAGTGGAAAAATTGTACGCAATTAGATAAATAGTACATGTCTCAGATACACGAGTAGTTGTTATATGTACGTTTTGAATGGAATAAATTTATTAGCAACAGGAAATGCATGTATTCATTTATATTACAGACAGAATAAAAATCATCTCTGTAGCATGCAGCAAATGCCAAATAGACTGGTTTTACTTTCATTAGGAACTTGCTTTATAATTAACCCACACAGTGTAAATGTTTACTTATCTTGCCATTACAGTTAGACATGTGTACATATGCAGCCGCAATAAAAATTTGGTTGAAAGTATTTTTAAAACTTACACGAAAAGTGAATTATTGAATTGATTGATGACCTGATTCTTATTCACTCCATCCAACATGTCATCTTTATGCGATATGCATCATCAGCAATAGCTTCATGCTAATTCCTCAATTGACTCAAGTATTATTAGATAAGTGTCCCATATACTTCAATTACGTCGCGTGTCAAAAAACACTATCGCGCACTCAATTTCGATCAATTTCAAATATATAATGCAACACAATAATTGGCACAATTGTTGTGCTTCCGGAATCACAGCGTTTGTACTTCTTCTTCATCCAACGATCACTTTGTGGTAAGATACACACCGAGTGACACCCCCAACACGAGACGCACACGTTCTTACTTCTAGTAGAATTTAAAATGTCCAGTTTTTTGGACCCAGGCACTGTTCTGGGGGGCGGAAAATACTTGCTGCAAAGTCCTTTAGGATCTGGATCTCATGGAGATGTTTACTTGGGAAAGGATTTAAATTCGAATAAGGTAAGAAACTCCCAAGCTAAGTAGTAACAGATAATTCTTACACGGGACAAGTGCCATACAGTTTTATAAGACAATTTCCAGGAAGTTGCAATCAAGTTGGAAAGCTGGGACTGTGAAGAAATGTTTCTATGTCATGAATTTCAAGTTTATAAAATATTGGAAGGTGGTCGAGGGTTCCCACAAGCATGGTATAATTTCAATAATTCAAGTCGTTTGAAATTGTATGCATACTACAAGGATTGTAACTTTAGGTGGTTTGATCAAGAAAAACGTCACAATATATTGGCGATGGATCTTCTAGGACCCTCACTAAATACGTTGTTTCAGACGTGTGGAAATAAGTTCAGCGTAAAAACGGTGCTGCTATTGGCTGATCAGCTTCTTGAGCGACTGGAATATCTGCATAGCAAGCGTTTCATTCACCGAAGCATAAAACCTGAAAATTTTGCCATGGGACGTCATGAGTCATCCCTGGTAATTTCAAACAAAGCTTGAAAATATAATTTTGTACAGTACGTATTAAAAGCTTATTATAAATTTGTCTAGGTCTACATGATTGGTCAGTTAAAATTATTCCTACGACACACTAATGAATTTATGTATTTATCATTTTGTGATCATTAACTAAATTTTTAGATTTTGGCAACGCTAAACGATATCTAAATAAATCTGGAGAGCATATTAAGTGCAAGGTTTATAATGAACTCGGATTGGCCAACTGCCACTCTAGGCACCAATCAATTTCCGCACTTAAAAGAATGGAGAGAAGGTAAATTATAATAATACGCAACAATTTAATCACAGTAGACGTTTCATACAATTAGCGTGACAAAATTATGTTTGTGTGGTATTGACAGCCGTCGAGATGATTTGGAATCACTTGGCTACATGCTCATCTATTTCTTGAGAGGAAATCTTCCCTGGGATGATTTCATGGATGATCCTGCAACTCTAAAGCAAGTGAAAATGGGAACGTCCATTAATTCCTTATGCCAGGTATATCTATTTTGTACGTAGAAATATAATGTGTTTTCTGTTTTTTTTTGTTCCTACAATCCCTCTCTTCTAATTTTAAAAGGACTGCCCAGACGAATTTAGCAAATACATGGCTTACGTTCGAAGTTTAAATTTTGAAGAGACACCGGATTACTCGGTTGTTCGTGAAATGTTCAGAGATTTAGCTCGCAATCTGAATATTAAATACGACGGTAAATTCGATTGGATCCCAAAAGAGAAGGAAATTGACAAAACTACATTTGCGGCCAACAGTGGTGCGGATATTAAACTTCAGGAGCGTTAAAAAACAATATATGAATTTACGTACATTTGTTTAAACACTTTTGATATCTTTCTAAATATGTAGGTTTCAGATTTTTGTATTAATCAATACTTCGAACATGATGAGTAGTAATGCTCAGTAAATAATAAGTTTCTAAATCTTTGAATTTAAGTCCACATATTTGCATGCATTCCGACTTCATAAAAAGCACTACAGAATATCCAATGATAGAATTCGGCTAACAAATATGACACAATGCACACAGAGAGCCACAATACATATGCATGTACGTATGTATTTTATGTGCATATGCAAAGAGTGTTCAACGAGATCTTTTACGAACAACTTACTCTTAATTTGCAACAAATCTGGTTCGGATAGGGTCCTAATTTTGTCGTAATATAGCCGTGCATTCCTCAATTAAAACTTTTAGTGCACGGCACGAGGACCAAGAAGAAAGGTTCATTCCGCACTTTGTTCTTCGATATCAAACAGAACCTGCGAATACGCAACTTAACGATTTTCGAAATTAATCTAGTATTAATTCTAAATTCAAATAGTGGTTTTAAATTGTTTGTATAAAGTGTAATAAAATGTTCTCCGACGTGAAATGTTGTACTTTTATACTGTTATTATTGATATCATATTCCTGTGTTGAAGCTAGAATTATATCAAATTCTGAATACGGTGAAAATGTGAATGATGAATCAATAAACTCTGAGATACTTGATAACACAGTTTACGAAAATTGGTATGATTATTATGATGAAGCATTGTTGGAGGAGTACGCGGGGCCAGTGGTTGTGGATCTTGATAAATACATGACTGGGGATGATATTCATAACAATTATGACGATTATTATACAACGGTAATTTTTAGCCATAAATTTATTTCTTCCTTGACAAAAAACCATGCATTAGAATTGACGACTTATTTATATAGATTTGAAGATTTCAAAATGTGTAGGTTTTAACACGTTTAAACAGTTACCTATACATTGCATTTCATAGTAGAACATATTTAGTAAATCGTGTTGAAATAAATGCAAGGTCAAAATGCTCATTTGGAATCTTTAAGTATTTCTTACTCCTCATCCTGCACCGGAATCGTACTATACACACATTTTTGCAGAGATTACATTCATGTCATTCTGTAGCATAGGTCATGCTTAAGCTGTCATCAATAAGATTGGCTGATGACCTGTACCTATTTCTACACTTCAATGCAAAGAAAACTCAAATGGCAATCGTCCCTTTAAAATTTGGCAGCGTAATAGCCGTCAACCGTAGAAGTGATAACAAATAAATTTGGCCGCGTTATTTATCCCGTCGTATTCTAGACATGGTTGGCGTCATCTTAATGTGGGCATTAAAAAAATATGTTGCATTAGACTCTGGTTATACACTCCAGATTCAATCAAGACGTACAAAATATGCGAGTGTTGTTATGTCAAAATATGCTAACCTAATTAATTCGTTAAGTTGTTATCTATTTATTGAACCGATTGCCATACTTTGATTTCCTTCTTAGATATGGCAGGTCACATTACTATTCCAGCTTTAAATGTTTCAATAAATTGCGTTCCGAGAATTTTTTTACTTGTTTTGCAGAATATTGATGAAATGCGTTCTCCTTCTGCAATAAAGTTTGACCTCAGTTGTCCAGATCTACCTTCCTATCCTGCAGAGCACAGACTTAAGCAGTGTCTTGCAAAAACATGCCGATCAAATGCAGATTGTGAGTTGGTCAGCAATTGGTCAACATCATCAATGCAACAAGACAGAGTGTGTTGTTTTAATGGATGTGTATCCACTTGTCTTCCAAAAATGTATCCACCAAAAGGTACGTTTTTCAGTAAAAGTTGTACATACCTTTCTTAATTTGAAATGCCGAAACAATTATTGTCATCATCTTCAAGCTTTTGACTGGGTCGATGAAATTGAGCTACCAATCCAGAAGAGCAATTCAAATGCAGGGAAATTAAAATCTCTCTCAATCCTCTCAGCTTCTGAAGATTACAGTTCGATGGACACAATCGTTCTTCCTGGAGGCTGTGTAATTACTGCGTTTCAACTGCAGGAGCTTCAAATGTTCCGAAAACATGGTCACGTTGATACTTGGTAAGTTTAATTGGTATGCAAGGTATTATATGCACAACTACATTATGTCGATTTTTAATTTTTTTCAGCACCTGTACAGATGCGGAGGTTGTGTGTCAAGTAAAAACATAAACATGACAAACATTAAAATATCTATAACGTACAAAGTAAAATGTATTATCTTATTATGTATGTTTTACAAATGAACAATGATAAAGGATGAGTATTTTCGGCATTCAATGGTTGATTTTCTCCATATTTCTCAACGTAGCAGAACCTGAATGTCATCTACACATTAAGCCACATAAATATGTCGCACCATAGAACGCGACAGCCTGACCAGACGTATGGGAACAGGCGTCTATAATTTAGCACAATTAAAATTCAGACACCTCAAGAATGCCAACCATGTGGTCAAAGTCGTCTTTATTGAGATAGGAGAAGCAAGCGAAGAAGACACTGTCCAGTGTTCACGAATGATTTACGCACAACATTCCGTCAGCATTGATCTTGTCGTCTGACAGTTTTAGTGGTTCATAACGACGTAGATAAATAAAACAGAAAACCACAGACACTCATCATAACGGTCGTAAAACTACCAATAAATAGATACGTATCTACTCGTACGAGAGCTAAGAAACGAAATGAATATGGCCTTGTACACTTCTCCCAATTTCGGATAGACAGAGATGAATGACACATCGATTAATCTGTGCATGTAGCCCTGGTTAATTTCATTTACTATAAAAACTATGAAAAAACTGTCTCGCGGGGTAAAAATATTTTATTAGAATAATTGTACTTTTATAATTGTAGATTATTTTGAAGTAGGTAAATTGGTTTACAAAAATAGCCATTACTTAGCTCCTTTCCCATACAGAGAAATTATTAAATGCTTTACATTATGTAAATTACATATGTACACACATCAAGATTTTCATGTAGCTATTAAGATTTCTCCGTACAAGTGAGTGTTCCTTGATTTCTTTCGTTATAACCTAACAAATTTATACATTTATAGTAACGAGTACAATAATGCATATATGTATCCTTTTTCGGGAGCTTTAAAAAATAGTATGTAACATTCGCTAATCGTACCTAAATATGTACATACATACGTTGAAGACTGAATATTTTATCAAACTGTAAGTTATGAGATATCTTTATCATAAGAGAATGTATTTATTTATTGTGAATCATACATGAGAGACATTACCCAATTTTCAATTTAATTCACATTTTTGTGTTACTTATTAGTTGATCACATATAATAAAAATCACATTTTCGCCAAGTTGAACGTTGCTCAACCAAGAAATGCAATACATCAATGGTGAGTATCTGCTGTCCTCGTAGACAATTGATTGCTGATTGTGTCGACAATGGGCTTCCTCACTCACTTTCTTCCGGCAACAGAGGGCTTTGGAGAATGGCGGAGGCAGCGTCAAGGGCTCTGGTTAGGCTTGCGATTCTTTGTGACGCCACAATATGCCAATCGTGACAGATGGAAGTATCAAGAGCGAAAGTGCCAATTCCGTCAAGATCTCGGGTTCGAAACTTCTTTTCTCTGGAACGAATCCGCCTACTTCTATGCTTGGCAAAAGAATTTATCTTGCTTCCGCTTCTGCTTAAGCTAATGGTCTTTATTTCCTTAATTCCTGGCTCTTGTTCTTCGGCCAACTCATGGACCCTCCTTCCGCACTCGAGTGATTCTCGAAGCTTAGGAAAGAAGTGGTCCAGTGACGTGGACATATTATCGGCAGTCCCATTAATCCTGATCTCATCCATATTAGAAGTGAATCCCAACACTAGGTGCTTATAAACATCCGAACTCCTCGATAAAAATGCCCGGTCAATCTCCATCAGTTTATCGTTGATAATCCTAAAAATTTCAAAAATGATATGGAATGGTTGACCTGATAGTATAAATTAAATTTATCCCTAGGCTGGGGGAAGAGGGTTAAAATCAATCAAAAAACATTACCTATGCAGTAGAGCTTTTCTGGGGACACAAAATTAATTATTAGCATTAAGTGAGACTAGCACAATATATGGAGTCTACATAAATCATAAACCATGAATCTCTCAAACTAGATTCACATGAGACCCTTAATACATACATAAATATAGCAGCTTACTTTGATTTTATGGTCTTTGGAGAGGGCGAGGGCGCTGGTAGCGTGTCATATTCAGGATTTATTACAGTGCGATTATGCATCTCTGTTTGAAAATTGTCTCCTATCACTTCCAGTCTCATAACTGCTGCTTGTAGATACGCTATATACAGTTCAAATAATGGCAACTTATTATAGAAATTGTTTCATTGACAGCAGTTTGATACATTTGCGGGAATCCATGTAGAATAAAATAGCAATAAACAAAATAGTGTGTCATAATAGCAGTCTCAAAATAAGAATCAAATTTCATTTACCAATCGATAAGTTTCCTCGGTGTAATTCTTGCTGGTATTGTTGTATAAAGTTTCCAAATGCTTTCTGAATTTCCATCACATAATCTTCTACGTTGATGGGTAATACGATCGAATCCGCAAGTAGAACAATTGTCTCCAAGATTATTTTCCCTGAATACAGAAGGAAAATCATGATTATTGAGACGGTATAAACATGAGTCGAAAATACGAATTCCCTAAATTTTATGTTTGTGGAATACAATAAGGTTTATTTCAATGTTCGCCATTAAACACACACAAGCGTTGTCGTTGGTATTCATTGAAATTTCATTTTTATGCAAATATGAAGAAACATCCAGATCTCATATAATTCACGCCTCATAAAAATTGAGAGGAGATTGCTATCTTTTGCCATCTGGTTCAGATATAAAAAGAGAGATCTTGAGAATTAAAATTCATAACCAGTACCAGTCGCAGTAGGTGCGCTATGTATTCAGATACTGCTTTCACGCACTTTAAGCGTGATAAATGGCTCGTTCCAGCCATACACTCAACCTGCCACTTAAAATAAGCCTCCTTTAAGTAGAATCTGGACATAAAAATTCGAAAAAAGTTCAACTGTTTACTCGATTGATGCATATTTTCGAGAAACCTTCATGTGGTAAAGTTATTACTCCGTTCACAACTTGTCAGACAACGGCGAGCAAAGACTTTGTCACTAGTCAATCTCGCCGTCGTCGCCTCAAGGAAGGCATCATGATGTCGTTAGCCAGAAGGGGGGAGAATTGCCTGGAGAAACAAACTTTAACGACTTACCCAAAGTTTTAGCTCCTTTCAATTCTGGGTCCACAGAATTAGCAAAGTTTTCAGCGGTGTCAAATGACGTATGGAACAACGGATAATCGTAACCCTTGAGGTAGCAGATTCAAACAGGATATTTGTCAAATATTTTCTCTATTATTACAATTGTTTAAAAGTTGCATCAAATGAACTCGTGCTGGCCTTTGATCATGGTTTTAGTTACATGTGTAACCAAAATCAATTTCAATTAACTATACATGGAATTGGAAACTTGTAAAAAAGAGTCTATAAATCTTTCACTCGACGTCAAAAAATATGCATGTCCCGACCCATAAATACATATTTGTTTGAATAAATATGTTTCAATAATTTTTGGTAAAATCATGTCCCTCGTTTGCATTTATCTTTAAGGTTGCGTTTAAATTAATCCAGATCAGATTCCTTACCTTGGGGCTGTTGGAAACAGAAATTCTAAAGAATGGTATCCCGAGATTCAAAAAGGCGAAAGAAGGCTCATCAGAGGTGACGAGCGAGGAGAAGTAAATTGCAGCACTCCCATTTCTCCATCCCCCCTCGACTTCTTTCTCTTCTTCTGATGGATTAGGTTGGCTCACCGACGACGAGTCAGCGTGTGTGACTACTCGTGCAATTGCTTTACGGGCAACGGAATTTAAAATCGGCGACGAATGTACATGAAGCGTCTCATTGCCACGCAGGACTCGAGATAAGTCAATGTAAGCAATGGTTCTTGACGAAATCTCAAAGTGATGCTCCTGAAAACACGACAAACACAATCAGTGCATGTGCGACGACAATGCTGACATTTAGTATTTGCATTCCATTATTCCAAGTTTTCTCCGCTCACAAGTTTTGCCCATCATACATACGTATTATACACATGTCCGTATGTATATGGGCACTTTCACTCTGTTTCTATATTTACTTCTATGCATATATACATACATACTTCTATGTGCATGCATGCAAATTTTAAGTTTTACGCAGTGCACGATATGTTAAAAAAATCTACGCATAAGCTTGGCATTAAATACAAAGTCCAAAATGATTCTATTTGGCTGAAATCGTCTTTACGTCTTTATATCGTGCGAACAATAACATGTTCTTGTTTCAACACAAAAGCTGATCCCATAAGCCGCTGACTGTTCATGTTTAATTTGTATTCGACTCGCAGCTTACCTGCAACCAATGCGAAACACCTGAAGAGGCAAACAAATTTGCATCAAAGGAAATGAATAAAATAGATCTTCTTGGCTTCCATCCTTTCTGCACTGCATTGGAGAAACTTCTCGCCATCTCGGATATCAGCGCAATACCGATTCCTGGGTCCCCAGCTCCGCTATTCCAAGCGTCATGCGAACAACCGACGACGATGTATCTAATGGAATAGAAACGTTTAGTTATATAAATGTCTCTTGATTGTGACCCCTGAAATATTTCCTCAGCAGTAATTGAATATACAATTCCAGAAGTAGAAATTTTATTTTGTGCGTATGCATGCCATCCGTATAGTTTATTTTGCTCTTCTGATTCACCAATACTTTCAATAAACAATAAATATTTTACAGCCAACCGTGTCTATCCAATCAAAGAAATACATACTTCATAAGACGGTATTCATCAATGTTTGTATTCCTTGGGATTTTGCGAACGTAAACAGCAACTGAACTGAACAGTTCCTCGTCATCCATAATAGTTACTGATGAATATAAATAGCCAAGTGTGATCGATTCTGCTCAACAATAATTGAATTTGGACTTGGACTTCAGTTGTCTCTACACATATACACAGGCATGTATGCGAATATATGTCTTGGTGTGTATAGAAGACAAAATAGCCAAGTTTAAAATTCAAACCGTGTCCACAACAGTACACATAACGCAACATTCATAAAACTAACCCATGACCTTATAATAGATATAAATGCAGGATAAACACATCAGAAAAGTAGGAAATTTCAACGAAAAAGCACTTGTGAATTTAGTTCACGTCCGTACACAAAGATTTTGGTTATTTCCTTCATTGGAGAAAAGCTGCTGCACTGTAAAAGAGCAGATGAGACTACCACTCGTCATGAAGAAGACGGAAATGTGTACCATAAAAGAATGAAGTAAAAGAACTGACTCAATTCAATAAATATTTTTTTTGGCAATCAGGTAGCGATTATTATTGGTTGATAGATACTTGTAATAAATAATGTGTAAACTTTATACAATTCGTAACATGAGATACACCAACAATTCGCCAGAACTTGGGACGACAATTTAAGAGTCAGGACATAATCTGACTCAGATTTCCACAGTGTCTACGTACATATTTACTTATATGGGGTTCTCACACCAACTTAGGATTAGATGTAGGACAGTCCCAAATATTTATTTGTGAGGTGAATATTGAGGAAATGCAGTGTCACATGATAAACCAAAGTCTTCCGCAACGAGCCCCTCTTGGACCAGGTTAGGGCAAAGTAATCATTGCTCGCTGACGCTGATGCCAACAAAATTTCCTGCCGTCAACAAAAAAAGCTGGATCCTTCTTTTAGATAACAATGTTTTTGAATAGTTGTATGGAGTAGAATACTGAGCATATAGATATTTCCCAACAATTCCTTTATTGTTGAGAAAATCCATAATTTTGTCCATGCGTGTAATTTACTTCAATTGTAATAAAGTTGCTCTATTTCCTCCTTTCGCCTTGTTCAGCAAATCCATTATAAACCGGATGCAACCCAACGTATTCAATGTGTTGCCAAACCATAGCCAATTCTTTTGGGATTTATCGTATAGCATAATTCCAAAATAAATGAGTTGAATGTGGAGACTCACGTAGTCTCATAAACTGGCAGATGTTTTGTTTCATTCAGCAAAAATTCATTTTTTGCTCTTGCTTGGTCAAGGGACGGGAAGGATAAATTATATGAATAAAATTTATACTTGTTATTTTGACTTTAAGTCGCCTGACTTTCTCCATATGAGTAGGAGTAGGAGGACGGAGTACAGTCTGGTGCTTTCCCACAATCCTGTGTTGCCAATGTCAAGCTGTCATTTCTCTTCATTCGAATAAATCACATCGGATTTTTTCGTTTCTGGCTGTCCTAAGTTGCTCAAGGGCTACAATGCAGTTCAGCTAACGAAGACAGAGACGAAAAGGACTGAGGAATAAAGTCGTCCGATTGCGTCCGCCGTATGCCTACGTCAACCCCTCTGGTCCCACTATCATTCGTCTCCTGCTTTCCTTCAGCTCAAAAGTCAAGACTGTCACCATTATTATCCAACTTTCTCCCTCGCTGTCCATTATTATGTTGTGCGACTTATGAACAAGGCTTAAATACAAGCACAGGCGGGCTACATAGTACTTTGCGATGTCATACGATTCCTTGGAGGCAAAGAAAAAGAGCTGTAAAGTAATGAAAGTAAATAAATACACGGGAATTCTGAGAAAAGCTTTCACCATTGGAGGAAATAAACACTGTACAGTCGTTCGTCTGTCTGTAATGGCATTACCCATTGTCCTGTCGAGGTCGAGGAAGACGGACCACAAGGCGAGGCGCAGAAGGTGAAATCTCACGACGACAACTGCCATACCACCAAACGATCCAATAATCTCGGGAGCTTACACACGTTTCAGGTGTATATTGAATGTGCTCTTGTTATTCGCTGCTACATAGCTTGCATTGGTAGAGATGAATGTTGATACAGCTTGTGTGCTGACCACGAACGCCAATGGCTTGTCTGTCTCAAGACTCACATCGAACACACACCCTTTGATCCTGATCAAAGAGAAATTAACGAAGAAATTACTGAAATCGCGACAAGTTAAAATACAAAGACCATTGCTTCACCCAGTGTATGTACGTATGTATGTGTAATAAATGTAGCAAACTATGTCACAATCACGATTTATTGATGTGGACATGTAGTGGTCGCAATTTAAAACAAACTCATGAAACTGAATTCATATTATTTACTTGTATGTACGACACGCAGTCGAAATAATCACACCAACCTGCTGGGAAAGTCCAACAATTAGGGACAACCGACTTTTCCCCAAAAATTAAAACGAATATCTTCTACATTTCTAAGCAAATTACTTTCTCCTGTACGTAAATTCATCTACTCATAAGTAAATACTATAAACTTATGTTTCTTGTGTTTCCACAAAGGAAACTTTAGCCTTCCAACTTTTTCTTACTTTTCTTTCATCCTTAATATACTTATCACATATGTAGTGCTCATGTCTGTGGATGATGGGAACAATGCATATGCATGTTGTAATTAACGGAAGGTTTTTGTTTTCTTGGTTGTGGAATTTTAAGGAGCAAAACAATATTTAGGAATGCACTCCCTGCCGTGAAGCTCTTTGCGTCAATATTTGTTTTGGAAAATTTTGGAGTAAATGAGAAAAGTGAAATAAAAAGGGGGAGAAGAGAGACGTAAGCAAACCCAATATGAAATGAAAGAGTAACAAACGGAGACAGAATCTACAGGGTGGCTGATGGAAAGCATTTTTCTCACCTGTCAGACTCCCAGGCGCCGGGTATCGCGGCTACCACGTTATAGATTTCTCGTATTTGAGGCTCGTTGAATATCCGAAGACGAACTTGAACAGCGGACGTTGTTTGACCGAATTTTGACGATGTTTGGACAGTAGTTGTAGGTCCAAGAAAATACGGCGTCTTTAATCCACCTTGCCAGTTCGGTGGAGCTCTTTTCATCCAATTTCCTTGCCTGATGTATCTGAACGTAGCAAAAACAAATGGAATCATTTAACCTCATTTGCTATGGATTGATTTGATTTTATCTGTAATCGATTCTTGAGGAAAATGAGACATTTACTCCTTCAAGACAAGCATTTATTACTCCGACCGAAGCTAACCAGGCATCATTTACATTGATGACATGCTCTTCTAAAATCGCTGGTGGTTAGTTCTACAATTACTTTTTTCTCCGCATCTAAATTCTTATACATCCATAACTCATTAACTTTCATCATCATGTTCAGAGAAATATACGAGTAACTTGCTAAAAACATGCAAAGAAAGCTGCATTTCTAAACCCGCAGTTTCAGCATATTTATCTACAAAAATGCTGAGACCATCATTATTATTTGGAAGAAAATTTTTGAAAGGATTGCATGAGCAAGAAAACAAAAACTTTATTATTTAGATTATTTTAGAAGAATTCTAACGGTAACTCGCGAGACTCTTCATTTAATTAACACCTTGGGCAAAAACGGTCTGAATAGGTAGGCTTGTAAATACTTTCAGTACTATGAGGTCATCATTATCGACCTATGTAGCTCCTGGTGTGCTTAGGGCTGACGACTGGGGCTTTTCTTATCATAATACTAACATCAAACAAAAGTACCTGAGAAGTTCCTGAGCATCACCAGGGCTTATTGTGTGCGCCGGAATGATGAACTTGCTTTTGTGCTTCTAAAAAGGAATAAAGAGAGACATGGCTCATTTAAATTTCTTCTTCGGAAATTCATAAATTAATGTCCGTGGTTAAATTGAGGTTGCCGCACGATAATCATGTAGATCTTTTCTGGAGTGCCTGCATGTTGGTTGTAATTATAAAAGGCCATGGACACACGTACATATACAAGCACTTTGGCAAATATATTGAAAAGCGTAAGTATTTTAAGAACAATATTGGAAGGACGATACAGGCGAAATTAAACCGCAACCATGTGGGTTTTACGTAAATTGTGTGGCCATGTTATTGTTTTTGATGTTCGATGATCTGTGGGGTAGGCACCATCAAACAACACGAAAAATCTGGAAACAAAATTGCGTCTAAACGAAAATAGATGAAGGCGTTACGTACTTGATACTCATGGATTTCTCCAAGCGTTAAGAGGGAAGAGAAACGAACAGAATTTAAAGGAAGTTGTGGTCCATAATCCTGTGGATCTGGGTAGAACAGAATGGCTCCTATTCCGTACATTGCTGCTATCTCGGCCTATGGATAATTTAAATTGAAATTGAAACACGTGATTCTTCTTGTTACACAATTTTTGCTATTAAAAGATAAATAATCACACCGAAACATATTTAACTGTTCCGATGATGAGTAAATCGAAAACTTACAACTTTTGATGGATGGGGCCCACCAAAGCGTATTAGTGCAACGGATCGATCTAGACGGACCCTAGACGCGTTGAGAAAGTCCAGGTCTTGGACTCGGCCATAGTGGGCGTAAATAAGCGTTCCTGTGGAACACATCATACATAAAATTTATCTGATTCTCATCATTTATGTGTCATTCGCGACGATATAAAAGGATGCAATTCATTTCACACCCGTATGATAAGCACGCAACGTGAATTCAGTTTGCACGGGTTGGTTGACCAGAGGAAATCCAAACAAGGACTCCTTCATATTCAACATTCATAAAAAAAGACTCGCTGCCGCAGAAGCACAATAGCTTTCAGCACACAACAACAACAACCCGCAACACTATTGGAATATTTTCTCCATTTGTATGCATGTCGTGCAAAGTTGTGACAACAGCCTTCCGCCTATGAATGAAACCCTCCTGCTTTGACAGTCAAAACACTTTCTACAGTTTGGTCCCAAAGTGGCCTCTGTTGTATGACGGTGCTGAATTTGGGTTACTGGGAACCTAAATTTATGCTGCCCACTCACTGCATTACGCTATCCAAAGAATCTCAATTGTATCAAACGGCTCTAGAAAATAAACTATGCAATTTACCTTAGTTCAAGCAACATTGTGTAAACTTGGCTAAACTACAAAGTAACTGAAGGCAGTATATTATATAGTAGTTTTGGGAAACGTGGGCTTTTCCCTTGAAACCTCACATGTGCTCAAACTTCAAAACTCTCGACACACCTGAGAAGAAAACATGCAGAAAATTGTTTGTCTTTGTCTACATATGTTCAAATTTTGTGATTTACACAATATCAGGTCATCCCTTCTATGTATTTTTCAGTACTGTAAGTAATTTTCTCCTCCGTTTTACTGGTCAAGTATCAATATCTGCTCAATTCAATCGAGTGCTCACAGTAGGAGCAAAGATGAGTAGTCGTGTCACGAATTAAATAATCCTTTCCATTATGGCGTTGTTTGTGTGAGATTTAGCACTTGAGCCTTTAAAATTTCTGTAAACAATTGTACGTGCAATAATAGTGTGATTTTGTCATACCATGAAGATCCGCAGGAGGAGAGAAGGCCATCATTGGACGGGGATTGAGATGGTCGTCAAATTCCGATGTCCTAAAGACCGCTGACCCATTTTTTCCCAGGACTTCCGCGTAACTAAATTCAGTTGCCCTACAAAAACCAAGCGTAAAAGGAAATGGTTTACAAACAGCCTTTTTCTCTGTGTAATACTTGACAGATTCCATTAAATTAGTGCACGAAGTGCTCATATTAGCGAAAGTTGTAACTTTTTTTTAAAAACAAAAGCGTATATTTAGTCCCCGAGGTTAACAGTTAATAACAAGTCAATACCAATAGTTGATACATATGATGAATTTCATATACTTCTTATATATGTATATTCATTCAAATCGTACATTGATAAGAATAAACCAACAAACTATAAGTATTTACGGACCCAGTCAGTATGTAATCAATCAAATAATTAGGTGTTCAATCTGTATATTGGAATATTATTGAATTGATCCTGCAAAAGTTTTAGGGTAATCTCTTAAAAATTTATTCTCCGTCATTCCATCATGAAAGCACACAGAAGTTTTTTTTAGCATTCAGAACTGTATATTCAGACAAGACGTGATTAAAGGTCGGAGAAAGTGGAATAACCATTTTTCGTCGATTGGTGTCTGCCACTAGTGATTTGTTCAAAGCACAATCTCTCAAAGCATAAGGACTTGTTCCCTCAACTCTCACAAAAAGATTGCTTCTTTATTCTCTTGAGATTCATTGATGGGAGTTGCCAGATTCGATACTATTTGATTTTCCAAATCTCAAATTCTAATAAAACCTGACTGACTGATATGCACATTTCGCCTAGAAACCCTCATTTTATATTCCAGACGACTCCAGAGTAGACGTCTGAGTTTTTTCTACATTTGGACACATTGCGAGTATGTGCGGCATTTCGCGAAAAAATGATATTTTTCTGCAATAAAATGCGATTAACTAATGATCTGGTGCGCCGCTCTCAATTTTTTACTTGATTGATTGATTTATTTTCGTCATAAACCCTTTCGGGTATAATTACCGATAGAGTTACAGAATATTTCTGTGTGATTGTGTAATATAACGGGGCTACATTTTACCAATTACTTTCTAAATAATATGTAGAAGTCGAAATATTATAACAGAAATTTAACTTTCATTCCAATCATATAACAAAAAGCATGAGCACAACAAAAATTCTGCGATATTCTGAGTTCCAATGTGACCAAAGTTCTGCGTAACAATGTGACATCTAAACAGTAGTCTACTCAACCTTTTACTTGTGGATGGTTGGAAGAGAAATTGGACTGATATGTTCACATCGGGGAGAAATTAAAGCCAAGCAAGATTTCAATCGTTGGTGACAGTCAGAGAAAGAGCGAGAAAGTAAGGAAAAATTAAACAGTGGGAAAGGAGACGTGACGTGACTTTCTCCATCCACCAGGATTCTAGCCGACTCAGGAGACTTGGAAACAGGTCAGCTTTTTTAAGTTCACTTTCTCCATGTTTCCACTCGTTTTTGTGCTCGTCTGCGGCTCAATTCAAACCTCAGCCGACTCATCTTTCATGCAGATACAATGCGGAATGTGGCATTATTTCTGCTCTCCCTCATCATAAACACCCACTTCACAATAGAAATGGTAATTTTTCTACTGCTAAATCACATTTTACATGCAAAGCCGCCGCAGCGTCATCCCTAGTAATCGGAATCTGTCAACGAGGAAAAATTCCCCCGATTGCAACACAGCAAAAACTCCAACAATCACTTATCAACTCAGTCTTTCTCTATTGTTCTCCGATTTGGGGACTCTCCTTAGAAGAAGACCAGCTTGAGCAACCGCAATGCCAATTTTGGAAGCGTCTCCTGCGCCTACCAAAGTCCACCCCAGGTTATGTTGTCAGATTAGAGACCGGAAGTCAACATACATCCCTCCAAATGGTGAACGCAACTCTGCGCCTTATCTGTAAAATCCTCCAAAAAGACGACAACACTCTTCTCGCACAATGTTTGAAATGGCAGCTGAGATGGGAACCCCGTATCCAATCAACAAAAAGAAGCTGGGCAAAACAATTAAAAAAATGGCTTAATCTTACCCAAGACGGTCACCTTCTATCACAACCCTACGAGCAATTCAAAAAAGTGTTTCCAGAACAGAAACAAATAATAATCGGGAAATTGGCTACATTCCTACTCAACAAAGACACACTTCGAATGACCAACTCGGCCTGGACACCAGACTACTCAAAAATCAAAACCCACGCCTCCACAGAAAAATATTTGCTACAAGATCCTGTCCTTCCAGCGGCCCAAACTTTAGCGCAAACTAGAGTCAATCTTCACCGAATAGTATACAAAGATAAGGTAGCCCCCCTCCAAGATAAGGCGGCTTGTCCCTGGTGCTCTCTCGCAAAATCAAGCCTCAACCACTATCTGTTCGAATGCAACTCACTCATCGACCCCAGAAAAACTCTACAAAGCAACTTGTCCCCAAACTCACACTCCCAAGATTTCACCGACCTGTACAACAACAACAATAATAACCCAAATTTTTGTAACGCAATTTTCGCCTTCTGGTCAACTGCCTTCAGCAAACTCCCAGACCGAAGTCCTCAACTACCATAAAGCATATAAAAATATCGCAAAGTGTAATTATAAATGTATGATCATGCTAACTGACGAGAATATTTCTATTCAGAATAGGTCTCCCAATTCTACCCGTGCCAAATGGTGCCACGCTTCTCGAGGCAGGCCAGGTTTTATCCTACGGGTTTCCCTGCGCCCACGGAGTATTTGCTCTCATTGTGTTTTATTAAACAATATTGTATTGATGAGGGCCCATGGCATGGCCATATCAAATGCTAATAAATTGAATTGAAGTATTGAAGTAAGGAAAAATTAAACAGTGGGAAAGGAGACGTGACGTGACTTTCTCCATCCACCAGGATTCTAGCCGACTCAGGAGACTTGGAAACAGGTCAGCTTTTTTAAGTTCACTTTCTCCATGTTTCCACTCGTTTTTGTGCTCGTCTGCGGCTCAATTCAAACCTCAGCCGACTCATCTTTCATGCAGATACAATGCGGAATGTGGCATTATTTCTGCTCTCCCTCATCATAAACACCCACTTCACAACTGCCGCACAAAGTAATGGTAAAAAATATGTCACTAAAACTCGCTCGAACTTTAGCTTTCTCAAATACGTTACCACACAACCTGACCATCGTAATTATAGTTATTTCAACAATATAGAAAGAAGAATCAGCAATATTTATATTTGAGCATGTGTGTAATTAGCACATTTAATTGAGAAGTAGGAAATATATGCAAAGTTTTTGCGAGTTTTATTACTATCTTTTTACCATATTAAACACTATACACTAATACCAGGCAAAAAATTCAGTGACTGCGACAAAAAATATATAGCAACATAACAGGTCACAAAATCCGTAGGTTTGTTATCATATAGTCGTAGATTGTTATAGCTGTAACATTTTTTACGTAGGAAGTCAACCTGTCAACCAAAGTCAGAGAATAAACGTCAAAAGAATTTATTAAACTTTCTAGTGTCATTTTTTATGCATCTCTCATGGTTTACGAAACAAAATGATATAAATATGCGAGTGAATGTGATTTTTCGTTGTATGCGAATCATGAAGATCTAGACATATGTTGCATATTTCTTAGGTTCAAAAAATGTTTAGTTGTAACGAGTATATACAGCACTGACTGAGTAACCTGTATCATGCAGCTGCCTAGCCTATGAACCTTTTAGCCAAATTCTTACAAAGTCATTTGTCGATCAAGACAATTTGTTAACTCTGTTCACCGCAATAAAACTCTGAGCTTTCAGGTATTTGGAGCAGTAAAGTTGAAGAAAGTAAGTGTGATTATTCACAGAAATTACAAAGCAGGGGAAAGTAAGTAAGTGGCAGTGGTAGTAAATCTTTCCAAAGTAAATAAAAGATTGGGGGACGGCATTGTATGTACATTGCCATACGTACTGTGAAGAATAGTTCACTGCCTCACTTTTCCATGTTGGGGCACTCGAGAGAGCGGTGCAAGTTTGTGTGGGCCAAGAAACCACAGGGCGAGTGAAAGTGCGGGCAGAAGAATAAATTGCGTAGGCAATAAAAAGGAAAGTTGGCTTATGTAGAAGCAAACTCACTTGGTAAGCAGTGTCTTGTGCTGTTCGACTCTGACAGACAAGCCGTAACTTCGCCACAAGTCCCTTATCCCCATAGCCATTGATTTCCCCTCCGATGTTCTCGCACCGTTCACCTTCTGGCTCATTCTCCTACGCAGAAATCAAATAGAAAAGACAAATTATTATTAAATTAAATTACCAACCTCTCCACTTCACCTCTCCCTCCAGGAACTTCCCCATAAACAAGGAACATAGGTAAATAAACTCTTCTCGTCCACTCAAGTCCGTCAGTTGGAACAAGAGTGGGGACACAAAAGTCTCATGGCATACACAAAGCAGACAGACTTGACTTGTGGATCTTAGCTCAGACAGCCCCTAAGAACCAAGTCATCGCCATATGCCGTCATATTCACCATGTGAAGAATAATAGAACGAGGTGAAAGCTCAAGTGATCCACTTGATATGAAATACTACCGCCCTCGATCACTCTTTCATCGTCCAACAAAGTTGTCTTTCCTTTTCGTGAAAAGTATAAACAAAAGCGCACAACAACGTCTTGTTGTTGTTGTGAACAAGCTATATTGAAATGAATGGTGCGTGTCACAAAAAGGTGCGCAACTCTTATGAATCGTGACTAGACGAGCGGATGCGTGTTTTAATAATTGTCTCACAGGAATAAATTTTAGGTTTACTTGAGATAATGTCTTCCTCGAGAAGACATGTACGTAATAATAAGGAATAAAACTTACTTTAAAATGTCACGAATGTTATCCGCATTTATGTCACTTGGTGGAAGGGGAACGATGGAAGAAGGCGTGTCGCTTATTTCTTGGGAAGATGTAGAAAGAAAAACATTCTGCTGAGAACCTGCAGAGCTGTCCGTGATTTCCTCATAAGCGAAATTTTGTGACGGGTAGTTTTTTTCACTTGCGGCGGATGAATTAAAGTTGTCCCGGTTGTTATTAATGTCTCGCACGCCAATGTAAAAACCGGCGATGAATCCAGCAAGCAATATGATCATGGACAAGCAGAAGAGCTGAACCTACAATAAGGAGGAATCAGGGAATTAATCTGTGTCAACTAAGAAAATATTGACTCGAGACAAAGTGAATAATCGACGAAAATGTTGCTAAAATCTTTACTCTAACTTCTTTTTGTACTTTGCTAAATTATTTCGTCAATCCGTTGATCAATCTTGGGAAACATTTACGGACGACTAATGCATACATAGTTGAATGCAGCTGCTTTGTAGTTTCACTTTGGAACGTTTCAGTTCAATGAGCAAGAGAGTCGATTTGCTTGCTTTGATGCAAAATTAAAACCTGACTTGCCCTTTCTGAATTTTCCTTAGATCTAAATTAATAATGTAAGAGAAAAGCGAACTGGATTCCTATTCGAGGAGTGAGAAGAAGAAGAAGCTCGGAAGGAATAACGGTTCATGTTATGCAATCTCCAATTTTCTCCTTCGTGTTCCAGTCAACTCTTTTAGAATTCACTCTAGCTGGCAATCCATTGATGTGGAACTTGTGCGGAATACCTTTTTGGCTACGGATGGTGTCAATCAAGACATTTCAAACTAGAATCTCAACTTGTTTTAGAAACCTGCTCACTGAAATGAAACAAGAAGAAACGACTCCACATGATGGTCTTACTTTCTCTTTGATCCTAACTCTCCGATGTCCCTTTTTCCGCTGAGTATGAGTTCCCATGAGGGTGACATTTGGCTGCGAGAAAGTTGTCGTCGTCGAAGTCGTCGTGGGCGTATCGCTTCCATGGTCATAGTCGAATTGATGATCTTCAAGCGTCAACTGCTCCTCCATGCTCATTTCCGTCTCGTCATTGTAGTCCCAACGACGATACTCTTTTTTCCTCATCTTCTTAGTTGAAGGTCAAGTGGTCGTGAAAGTACTTGACAATCAGGTTATGAGTGCGTGGTTATCTGCAAATGTCAATTATAATATTATATCCGTGAGGAGAGATAAAAGGTTAAATATTGTGTATATACTTGCATTATTCAACTTACTATCACTAAATATACTGATATTGTTAACAGGGAGTGCTAATTGTGCTTACAACTCATGAAACTCTGGTATTATAAAGTTAGACTCCCAACTAGAGGGGCTTAACGTGTCTCAACTTTAAAAGCCCTTTATATTGCACAATCAGCTCGGCTTCCTAAGCGCAATCTATCTCATGTTCTCCTGTTCACCTCTCTGCTTCACACTCGTTTTGTCACTCTTGCTCAATGCTTTCTCCATGTTTGCAAAACCCGAAAAATAGAAAAGTGTATCTAGTAAAATAGGAGGCCTTCTTAGGTCATTGTCATGTTTCATGTATCTCAGCTCGACGAATTGGAAAAAGAAACAGAGAAACATTTCTCCTTTTACAACCGATGCTACTGTTGCTGCTTAGAATTTGAGTATGACTTGTTCTTGTCAAGTTTCCCAGTTTCCCATCACATTCTACATTCGACACCATCATCGTCAGTCCTTCTCTTCACCTTACCGACCACTTGAGCCTCCACGCAGTCCATTCAGATAAACCTGTTCCTCTCTCTCAACGCTGCTTTCCTTTCGCTACTTTCCTTTTCGAGATGATCACACCCGGATTTTGGCGACTGTCCAACCCAAAAATCCAACAGACACATATGAGTTCCACCATCATTGCTTCCCCATGCACTTCACGTTATTTAGAACAACACTTTCACCCTCTCGTCAACCTTATTGCATTGCACACTCACTACATGCGTACATCTACGCTAGGATTATTTGCAGTGGCGAGACTAAAAGTAAAATGTGAGAATTTAAAAAATGTCTCTCCCAGTCATCTGTTATTTCTGAAAAAGAAAAAGCGAGTTTTTATCCTGTCAAACATTGAGGGATTTCACGTCAAGTTCGTAACCTACGTAACTGCGTTAGGTTTGTAAGTTTACACACTCTTGACGTGAATTGACTTTGTAAACATTTTGGTAAAGATTTTTTGGTAAAAAATGTCGTATATAAAACGACATCAAAATGTTGCTAGCCAACTTTACCCTAGCTTACCTGAAATGTAATTTTTGAAATTTTTTGCCTAAAATATTAGTTTTTCAGGAATTACGCAGCCATTTCATATGCCACAAAATTCTATAATATAACAAAATGATCGTTCGGATAGCGACCAATGCATGTTGATGGGATACAAAATTTATAATAGGCAACTAGTTTCTAGGACAATTTCAACCCGAAATGAATATATCAAACTCGAATTATTTGCGAACTTTTGTTTACGAACCAAAAACATGCTTTTGAAGTGCGTAAGATTCGTAAAAGTTCGTAAGTCAATTTTCCTTAGAAATGTGTGTAAAAGTTCGTAAAAGTTTGTAAGCTTACAAACCTTACACAGTTACGAAGGTTACAAACTGTGACGTGAGTTCCCTCATTGTGTACGTGAAGGAACTATATGTCTGCGACTAGATACAGTTGTATACATTGTATGCAGCTTCCGCGTTTATTCATATTGTTTCCTGCTCGTGAGATCAAAGCCGTGCGCATGGGAAATGATTCTGATATGAGGACCAAAAACTACATAAAGTCAATGAATAGCATTTAATTTCACACGCCATCAATTTCATCTTTTCTTCTCAAATCTTATATGGAGCTTCAACTTTGAGTAAATGCGAAGAAACCAGACTCTTTGTGTCTCTCTTGGAGACGGTTTTTGAGCTCTAGAGTTTCTTTTGAATTTCTTCCACCCCACACACCGCTCTCAAGCACAAGATGGTTATGTACGTATGTACATAAGGACAGGCCTAATTCCAAAAGAGAATTATACCAGTTTCGCCACGAGTTTCGCCATTGTGTGAGCGACAATACTATTATCTTGTAGAAATGCAAGACTGAAACGGAAAACTGCCCTGGAGCGCAGAAAGGCATAACAAATGTCGTCGGTAGAATTAGTGCATAGCTATGTACGTACGTACATACATATACTACCGTAATTTTTATTAACGAGAGGTGAAGCAGCACACGTAAGTTCTTATCTAGAAAATATGCATGTACATGTTGTGTAGCAAGCACACGCACTTTATGGGAGTACGTTAATTTCCCTAAACTCATCTTGAGGAGGAGGAGGATGGCAAGGGCAGACAAATTGCTTACACTTTCCGACATTACCTCAGCGGAATACTCTGCCAACCCATTCAATTTCTATTGAGGAGGGCGAGATGGAAGGATTATTATGATGATGAGCTCTTTAAATGGGAGCGAAACCCTTTTGGAGCTCTGATACCTCTCCAGTCTTAACCGACCAGACGACAGCGAATCTTCGTCTCAACTATCCTCCTCCACTCTGTTAGGTAAAGTGCTTCATTCATTTACTCGTGTCGTTAGCAGGCCGCCGAACGTGGAACCCATTGCACTTGCCTCGTTATAAGTGGATATCGAAATTGGCTAAATTTGATCCTCCTTTACAATCCCTGTAGTAGTGCAATCATCATCTCAATTGGGATTTCAGTGGTAACGCTCAGCTATCATTGCTTCATTTCGCCACGCACCATATATAATTGGTCCATAACTATATGTATGTGTGCATATGCAGAAAGTTATGCAGGCTAGTTCGAGTAGAATTATTGTCATTTCATGGAACTGCCACAATTTAGCATTGGCTTATGCGGCCATTCTGATATCTTATTCCGGTCAGCATCATAACTAAGGGCGAGAAACTTTAAGAGACGAGGAAACGGGTCTTTCTCATGTCGGATATCTCCAGGTTTACAACGTACAAATGCTGATGGCTGTCTGGAAAAGAAAGTGTGCGACTTGCAAGCACTTGATAGTGCTGATGGTCATATAGGTGTGCTTACATGAGGATGGAATTGCAGAAAGTTTAACAATAAAGTAGCATGATGACGACTTATATGAGAATTTTTCTTTCTTTCTCAGTGTTCAAATGCCTCGTGTTTTATCTCCATGTTGAAATCAAGTTGTCTCTTTGGAGTAATTAAGACAGCTCACGATACTCACGAACCTCTTGTTTTGATACTTGGTTCTACCTTCTGCATTTGTCATGATTTACTTAAATGACCATGGAGAAAGCGCAAAGAAAATATACCACTTTGCTGGATGCACAACTTTTACTTTAAATTCTGCTGACAAATGCAAACCTTGCGTTAGTGTAAAGTATTTCATTTAAGCAACTATTCAAAGTTCATCGTATGATTATCCGATATTATTAAGCAATGGAGAACTTAGCTTTTACTTCAATCAAACATTTAAAAAAATTCGATAATATGTTTTTCATAACTATTAATAATTAATTGAAAGATGTATCAATAACCAAAAGGCATAAAATGTGAATTAACCATCAAAAACTTTTTCCAGCATCGTAGGCAAATAAATAAATCGTAAAAAACCACCTTGTGATTGTACACAATATATTAACTTATTTACCCACAAATATCCGTTCGTATTTTCATTAAATGACAGTACGTACGTATGTATATTGAAACAATAAAGTATGTTTACAGCTTATGAGGCATTGTTGTGCAAATATCATTCGCTGTAACTCTCAGACTCTGACAGACAGTGGGTACAAAAACTTAATTTTCTACTTTCTTCCATTTCCATGAGAGAATCCAATTATTGATTTCTCTGCCAAGATTAAATTGCCAACATACATTGCATACCTATCCACGAACTGCACTAATAGGCCACCAGAGAACTCTCTCTAATAAAGGAGTAAACCACTTGATCTTACATTCACCATTTCGTGAAGGGCCGACTTATTATTGTGGAGAGGAAGAAAGCCTAGTGTCTGACTGGAGACAATCAATCTGCAATATTATACAACACTTTATGCCTACTTGGCATGGGGTGGGCCTAAGTTCGACCATTATCAACTCCTTGGCAGAAGCAAATTTAATGTTAACAAATAATCCGACCCTTTAACTGGAGGTTGTAAGTGAAACTGTGATTTGTTCTTAAAACCATTAGTTATGCATATGCACTTCACATCATTTGAATAATCATGCTTTTTAAAGAGTTTGGTTCTTCCCATTTTTATTTTGCAATTTTTGTACTTACTAACCTGAAAATACATGGCATGTGGTAATGATCTTGATGCCGTGTCTTAAGTAATACTTCATCTCCACAATGCCAATATGGTGCCAATATGTGAACATACCCAAGTATTTACAATGTAATGTGATTCCATAAGAAGTAGGCTAACCTGTTTTCAAGTCTAATGAAATTGGTGGAAATGAATTAAAGATTATCCGTCGTAATCCTACCTCCATTTTCTAGTGGGTTTGGAGAAAGATTGGATTTAGCAAAAAAACTAAGATCGAGATGAACTTTGAGCGAAATTTTGACCTGACCAAAGAAACGTCCTCAGGAAAATGTTGATTTGCTTGGTTTTCACAAAAAATCACACTGAGGATAACAATCCTAACAATCCGATCCACCAAAATCGCATTGACTTTGGTTTGCACAAGAAAAACTCGAGCTCTTGCATTTTACTCTTTCTCTCAAAAATCTGGGTGTGTTGCCAATCTTTGTTCAACAATAGGCATAAAAAATTGCCTTTTCTTCCAAAATACCCTTCATTTCAAAATCCTGCTGATCCGATTTTCTATTCTTTGGAGTTTTATGACTCACTAAACGAACCAAGTGGGCTTAGCATGGCTGGCACTGTTGGACCTATTTGAAAGTTGTTCTGCCGTTGCCATTGCGGTGAAATCTCGATGATTTTGAGTTTATAGACTCTTTTGTATTTATAACGTTACTTTTGAGGCGTACCATTTTCCATATCTGACCCAACCGAGACGTTTCCCCCCACTTTTTATAAACTCTGTTAACAAAACTTGACTAAGGTCAATTTACTTTTATGCCGGTCCCTGATACCACCACCAACCAGAAAGTACTACTAGCAGCACTTATATGTAGTACACTGTATTTCTAGTACTAGCAGAAGTGGAATGGAAATCACGTCGCTCAAGTGTTGGAGACATTTCCGTCGAAAGCGAGTAATCTGAGTGACCCCACCAGTCACGCTTTCTCCATTGCGGATATGACTTCATTGAGGGTTTTAAAACGTAAACGAATTGCCCAGTAAAACAATAATTCTGCTTCGTGAACAAGTATGCGATTGAGAGTAACGCAGTCTGTAATATATTTTCTCCAGAAAAAAGTAGAGCAACATTCAGTTCAAAAAACAAAGTAAAACAAGGTCGCATACAAAATACTAAGCACAACAACCTTTTTTCTCTGGTTTTCTTGAAATGATTTAGAACTGTTTTTGCCCAGGGCAGCCACCAAGTCTTAATACTTGCAGATATTTCCTTTTCTCTTTGTCTATACAAACTTACATAAATTCTCGTGTATGTAAATTGACTACAAAACAGAACAACAGTTGCAGTTGACGGATATTGTTTATTTTCTTTTAAGAACAGGCAGAGGAAATTCCACTTTTATTTCTCAGTCTCATTCAATACATATAAATAGTAGTGACCTGGGTCAAACAGAAAACATACAATGCATGAAAACACTGACAAAATACTTATACAAGGTCTACGTAATACGTAATACTTATAATTTTACCTGGTACAAATCATGTTGGGTGTAAAAGTCTTGTAAGTACTTATTAGGTTTGAGTAAATAAAGTGACAAATTTATCGGTCATGCAAAACCTCCAATCTTTTGGCTTGATGTTGAATATAGTCCAGTAACTGGACTCCAGTTATGAAAACACTACCCTTTCACTAGCATTGAAATAAACCAGCGGCAACCGCTTAAACTGGTAAACATTGATCCCTTCACGTGTTTAGCTGCTGTTTGTTAATTGTTGTTTATTTGTGAGTAAATTTCATACTTGAACAAATCATTGCTATTATTTATTATGTAGTGCAATATATTTATATACATATTTTTACACAAGTGATCATTGTATTAGGGAGGACAGTATGGCTTACGATAATTACAACAGGGTGGAAAAACTTAACCCACCTCCATTCGTTACCACTCTGGTCACCTCGGCACATACTCGAAGGTAAGGTCACACGTTGGAAAATTTAAGATATGATAAATATATAAAAAATAAGACAAAGGGATTTTCAGATAAATCGTTTTCGGTAGTTTAAATAGTTGATTTAAATTGTTTAGCAATGTAGTTTGTTCGAGTCTTCGTTAATACCTATGACTGAAATACTAATTTTGTTTTGTGATTTCCAGCTTAATTTTCAAGTCATGGTCCTCCCTGCGGAGAAAGTCGAGGGTGGGTGAGCAGAGTAAAATCCTCGAGTCGGAGACAGAGCTTCTTGCTGGGTTCATAGCAAGAAAGGGGACGCAATTAAGGCTGGAGAAAGGTATGAAAAGAAACTATCCTAATTTCTAAGTAGTAGTGGAAGTTCTGAAAGTGTACATTAGGATGTTGTAATTGCTTGACGACGGGAGGACATTAGATCAATTTCTTCTTCTCTTCCTACATAAAAAATGTTTGATTATAGTGGGATACAATTAATATGAAATTTAGATAGTTTTGTTTTACTTGACTAAATTTGTCGAGTATTTCCCTTAGAGCTTGCCTCCCATACTGCTGACTGGCCTCTTTGATCATTTGGACAACATTGTGCGGTGGGTTTTCCTCTGACAAACGTGGTTTTTTCACAGGTAGCAAATTGTCCTCCGAAGTTACGGTAGCAGGAAGCGTTCCTCTTTTAGCGACAACGGCCTGTTGTCCTTTAACTAAAAGAACAGTAAAAACGAATTTATATCCTCGTTTTGAATTGTTCAAAATGTAAAAAAAACTTACCAGACTCCTTCCAATTTTCATAAGTCAATGCTTGCTGTAATTTTTCCGAGTAGTATTGAGCAAAGGAAGACTTTTGTAACGCTTCGCGGACACTTTGCTTCTCATCTTTGGATAAAACGTATTTAGACCCATAATTCTGTAACATTTAAATACATATAAGATGAATAACTCAAACAATAGAAAATAGCACCACATTCTTTACCTAAGATGTGTACTTACTGAATATATACAGTTGTAGAAGTGCTGCCTGGCATACATTTTGTAACCTACACTGACAATATCTGCTTGCTTTCTAAACTCTGCATCAGTTTGACCTTCTCTTCGATTGTACTGTACCGTGAACAGCTTAATTGCACTTGTGTGATCGGCCCGACACAAACCCTCAGATAAAAAATACTTTCTGGAGAAAAAACGTTTAATTATCATTATTGTAATTCTTATATTCTTGAAATTACAGAAATATTTAAATAATTCAAAGTACTCACGAGATTATGCATTCCGATCCTTCCTTGTCTCTGTGACTGGCTGCTTTTGTCGCATAGTAGTACTTTGACTCTCCAACATACACACCAACAAAACTGTTGTCGTGCACAGCTACCACTTTCTCCACCCATATCATTTTTTCTCCATCTGGGAGGGTTGCATTTGCCTCAGGTTGTTTGTGGTCATGTGTTTTATGGTAAGACAATGAGTGTTTATTTTTGAACCGACAATTGCAGTCTTCAATATCACATAACTCCGGATTTGATGGGTCATGGAAGTTACTATAATGTCTTTTGTACTTTTTTTTCTCACACACTGGTGCTTTGCATAATTTGCACATTTTTCTGCTTTCAGAGTAATTCACTTCCATTTCAAATAGATTTTGAAACCGGAACAATTTCAATCGTTGAAGTATGACTAGAATGTAAACACTGTTTACTTTTCTCAGCAGCTTCAGATTGCCCCACTCACTCAACTTAAAATCGTATATTTTAAATATCTGATATAATAATATCTATTCTATAATATCTATTTATTCTGGAGAAAGCTCTCATGTTGTCCAACCGAATTCACAAACTTGGGAAACGCTGGTTGGCAAATAAGTGGTTGCACGAATACACCATATTCGACGACGGGGTGCAACTTTCCCTCACCAAAAAGTCGAGCAAAACCAAGCCTGAGAAGGAGGAAGGAGTTCGACTGCCTAGTCGTCAATGGGCTAATTGGATTACCTATCTCACGCTGAGGGACTGTCTCATCTTGGCCAAGGTATTGTCGGAGAGAAGGAATGAATTTTCTCTTATTCTTCACTCTCATAATAAATTGCACAAAGTTCTTTTCTGTGGTGAACTTTAGTAGAGACGCTCCTTAAATTATTGTTGTTGGAACATAGTGTCACGCGTTTTCAGTCGTTAAACCTTCTCCTAGTCGCCGTTGATCATATGTGGGGAATATGTAGAGATCAATCATGCACAGTACATACTAATATTTATTTAGATTTGATTTGATTGACTAATCAAACAAGTGTTTCATGTTGTGTCCATTCAATTAAGGGGTGTGCTATGAAAGGTGCATATTTATGGGATGATGATGCCTCAATTATCTCAATCCCTAGTTTTGTCAATTAATCCAGATTTCTGTCTATATATTTTAAAACGAGGTAATACTAATGTCGTGGGTGAATGTTTCAGATTAAACACGAATGTGAAAGAACTGTAAAGTACTGGTTAGGACTAATCAGCTCATCGCATCATGCGACAGATTCATTAGTGGCTGTGGGAGTCCTTTCCAGGATGTGGTACGCTAATTTACCAACATTCTCTCTTGAGGTTGACAGGAAAATTGTTTAAATTCTCAGAGTATAGTGTCTCCTCTTTCACTCTCCAGGTATGTGAGCAGCAGTATGGTCGAGAGTCTCATTAACGTAATGTACCCAACGATCTGTAAATTATCCATTCATCTGGAGCCAACTAAAGCAGAAAATTGGTTGATGGATTTGGGAATGCCATCCCCGGAATACCTCAGTTCATCATGGTTGGAAGAAATCCTTGGCTCTCCGTTTATCCCCGCAAGATTGAGGTTCGTCTCCTCACCCTCCAGGGATGTAGTATTACCGTTTGATAGGAAATCCAATAAGAGTATAGCAATGCCAAGAAATACATTGATACATATGTATTTCTTATTACTCCCTCGTTTCAGAAAAGGACTGGACACAATGGGCACTGTGCAGGATCGCACGAGGGAATCCGTTCTTATGTCTGGTTCAAAATCTATTAGTGACAATGAGAAAAGGAAATCAACCGCTGGAAATGTACACGCAGCTCAAAGTCCTTCATCCACATCACCTACAACAGTAACTAGACGTGTGGTTACAAAGTCGGAAAGCAGTAGTGACGAAGATGTAGGAGTTCCCGTGAACCTACCCTCAACTTCACAACAGCTCAGCAAACATCAAAAAAGTAGATCGTCCATTGTACTGGACGAGAGGTGGACTCGCTTCTTTTCTGGTTATAAATCCAAGTTAAAAACGGAGAAGGGAAGAAAACAATTTTGTGTTAGAATTAGAAAGTGGCTTCAAGATGAGACGACTAAAAAAGTGATAGTAAAACTTAAGAGACTACGAAACTGCATAAAATCTGGGAACTACTCAGAAATGATTGTAATGATTAATCAATTCCAAAAGTTTTTATCAACGAGAGAGATTTCATCTTAAGTTTTGCATCATTTGTTAAACTAATGTGTTTTACCATTTGACAACGACTCCGCGTTCTTAAAATGAGATTCCTTCAACGATGAATAAATTACAAGATCTTGGCTATTTCCACCTCACTCTTTTTGATTTTATTCGACCCTCCCGTTCAGAATGCATCAAGCTTTTAAGCATATAATAAAATAGACGATATTGATCACCCTAACTTACGAGCCTTTTCCTCAATAAATCATAATTTTGGATTCTATCCAAACTCCACTTACAAATATTCGCCTGCATACATACGTACGTAGCCATCTTTCTATCCAACACGAATATGATATCAAAGCAAAGGGAGGCAGCACTACTTGCAGTTTGCCACTCGTATATACCTACCACCTTTGTGTGAGTGAGGCTCACACTTTCGCTTTCCATGGTGGGTGTGAACCGAAAGAAAACTTTCTCTTCGTAATCACGCTCAACAAACCCGTTACTTGTAACACACAAGAGTTGTGAGCACTAACTAACACTCGTTTACCCAAACTTCTGGTCGATGTGATGAGTTTGAAATATTGAAACTTTCCTCCTAACCACGCATATTCAGTTTGGTGGTGAAAGTGCTACGCATAGATTCCCCAGGACTTTACATCTTTTAATAAATAATTATTGGTAAAAATATGCACACTCCCCGTTTTCATCACATTTTTATTTATAATCGTGCCTATACGTCATATTTTATGCCTACCCTCATATTTTACGCTACGTACGATTAATGTATGTTGTGCGTAGCTTTATGGATTGGAACTATGTCACGGTAAAATTCTGTCACCAGAATTTCTAAATTGGCAGGAAACTAAATTTAATCATGTCACTGGTGAGGTTAAACAGTTTCGTCTCACCTCTCACTTGCAATTAAATGCAACTTGTCCACCTTTCTTCGCATGCTCTCAACTTTTGGAGTTGAAGCAGGGAAAGTACAGGAAGGAAGGAATGAGGAAAGGTAGGAAGGTAGAAAGTGTCCGATTCTTAAATACGTGAAATACGTGAGCAGTTCAAGCATCCTCACAAACTCTTTGACTTGATCTTCCAACGAGATATGCCAAGAGAGAAGGGAGTAAAGTGTCTTAGTTTGTATCCCCAAGTCAAATCCCATGCTCAAGTGCTGAAGTCACAGCCAAGTATGAAAACTTGGGTAACCCATGGACCCACACTTATGAGAGAGCCTTCTACATAAGAGAGAAAGGATGAGATAAATGTTGGGAAAGTTCGATTTACTTTCATTTTCAGCATTGTTTCAAATGAAAAAACTTCAGTCATCCAATCGACCAAGTAACGACCACTCTCGATATTTTATCTTATCTGCTTTTAACCCTAAACGAATACTTCCCAGAAACATTATAGATTGAACGCGCATCTAATGCAGATTCGTATGTGTGTAGTCTAATATCCGCACTCTAATTTTAATTCGACAACTAAATATGGAAATAGATAGTCAACAGTACCAAACTTACTGACGTTGCAATTAAGAACACTATATTTTCATTGTACATTTGAGTCTTCACAGCTTCATCTTAAACTCAAATAAAACCTTAGTAGTCATTATGTTGACAGTACGATGGGCTATATTTTGTTAATATTGTCTTCTTCCAAATATGTGTGTATGTAGTAGTTTTAGAGTTACTTAACCCTCAATCTTTTAGCTTTAGAGTTCCATCTGTAGAATAGCTCATGACTTGATTTTGTTTTTAACCTAATGGCTTCTAGCATTGAAAGTTTCACTTACAATATGGTACGGACTACATAAAAAACAATGTGCACCAAACCGCATCTGCTCACAGTAATGACAATAAAGAGCAAAGTGTATGAGACCACGGTCATAGTTAAATTTACTACTGCATTGTGGATGAGTCCCCTTTGAGCGTCTCCTCGGCCTAACTGCCTCAATTTTCCTCGATTGTGACGAGGTTGCAAATGCACTTCCACTTTCAGCGTCATCCAATTACGAAGAAAGTGCATCTATTTATCCATTTCTTAGTCTGCGGAACTCTCAAACGGAAGCCGAGGAAAGAATTATAATAAAATTCCGCCTCTATCTTCAACTTCCGCTCTCACTCTTTCTCCTCTACTTTCTCCTCACGTCGCACCGTTGTCTGTTTCTTTCCTCCAAATTGACTCCTTGGGACTGGTTTATAAAGACTCAACCTTTTCATTTATAATAAATGTTTTATTATACGCACTTCCCAACGCACAACGGCTTATCCGTGAGAAATGATAAAGCTTTTATCCTTATGTAACTTACATGCTAAGCCCATTAGATTTTTGTACATATGCCAAGAATTTATTATTCCTACTGAAATAAAATAAGCCAAAGTAAATGTATTACACAATTCTGCATAGCTGATTTTTGAGATATAATAACTTATCACTGCTAAATAGTTGCCTAATTCATAGTACACTATTGAATCTAGTAGAAATTGACGCTCTCATTTAGTACCATACCATGCGGTGTTCAAAGTTTTATGCTTATTTTTTGCATTTTAATTTGAATATTTTCGAGTTGGTGACATTTTTATTCATCACTCAAATGCTTAAGAAAACTGACTCTGCAATAATTCAGTGGTAATGAAAGCAGACTTAATTCAAAATGCTCCATTTAGATATAACGTATATGCATAAAAGAGATCCTGTAAAGAGATACGAATGCGATTAAATTTCTCCAAGGACTCCGGTTTTGTGGCGTAAGGTAGATAAATATTTTCTTACCCATCCACCTGTACTTTCCATCTATTCCCAAGTTTATTTATCGCTCGCACTCGCAATTGTATATGTAGAAGCTGCCTCTCATTGTTGAGGTTGATTCTCGCCATTTTCAATTCGGTGCCGACTTGCCAAGTCAGACTGGATAATAAGATTTTACTATTGACTTTGGTTCACTTGAAGATCTTGAAGATTTTTTCTACTTTCTCTCAGTCTTTGCCTTTCTTCCATCCAGCGTACGTACGTTCGTATGTATAAATATGTGCCATTGCATTTGATGAGGAACCTCTCAAAACTGAAGAGTCTACATTTTTTAGAGGAAATACAGAAAAATAAAACAAATGGATTCTGTTGCGCCCCATTGACGATTGACTTTTTCCGTCGAGATGAAGACATAACTCCTCCTCGAAAGAAACAACTTGGTTGATGGGGTGCATGACGGTGCGGCGTTTTGGCGATAAAATAAATAAAGCAAAATGGATGTGGGGAAGGCCATCAAGAAAAGCCGCAAATCAACCTAAACCAAAGTCAATAGAAATATTTCACACCGTAGCGTGCATACACATGCCGACGAGCCATCAGAATCCATAGACATACAACGAAACCACCCACCCACAAATGTGGCGCCTTCTTCTTCTTAGAAAGTGCGAGAAAGCATGAAGGATATCATATGCTGCTCCTTATTGCAATTCCGCCCAAACATATTAAACTATCTTTGAAAAAAAGTGAAACGAATCAGCGCAACACCTTTTGTTTCTCGTCGTCTTCTTGGTGCAATGATGCATAGCCTTTGGGTTTTATTCCCAGTTGACTGCTGCATCTTGAGTCGACTGGTATGCAGCTTATTTTCCAGAGTAAACGATTCCATTTATGCGCATCCTTCAATCTGTTTGCTCTGTACACTCTTCAGACACCTATACATCACCGCGAATACATTTTCATCTTCACACTTTCCCCACTTTCCCAGTCCTCTCAATTCCCGTTCGCCTGTTTCGCCGCTCCCCAGACATCAACGCCACCATCGAAACCTAAGCTTCTACATGTACAACACTACGGAATTATTCCTATGCATTATCATGTTTGCCATCAACCAGCTCGCCTTACTTTATCCGAAATTGATAGCTTTATTTTCATCCAACGTTAGAAAATCAAAACAGAAGTAGTGGTTGTGAAAGCACGCGAAGGTCCTCACGTCTGCGGTGGATGATAATGGTGACTTGGGAAGAGAAAATAATTTCCCATTGAAACTGACGATGTAATGCACAAAAAAGGTTTCGTAAGAGTGGGAATGGATTTACTGCCGCTGTTGAGTTGGCTGTACATACATATACTCGTAGATATGTGCATAACTATGTATGTATGTACATACGTAGGCATGTGCCAAATAATATAAGTAAGTTGTTGCCCATATATCTCGAGTGATACAATGCTGACTACTATTTCTACAAGTGGGAACGGAATTTGTCAGGATATGATAAGAAATTCCCGAGAGTTTGTCCTTGATCAAATGAAACTTTTTTAAAAATCTTGGTAGTGGTACATCTTAGAAAAAGTCACGAGTTTTTCTACTGACGACGATCCAATCGAGCTACTTCATCTAAATGAGAGGGATGTTTTTGACAACTTTTTTTTTTATAAAAGTTGGAGATTACTTGGAATTTCTACAAGTGCAAGGTCTAATAAAGTGGGGTTTATGTAGTAGGTACCAAGTACGTGAAGGTAATAGCTACAAAAATGAGAGTAAGAGAGTGTTTGTGCTGAAATGTTTCTTACCCTTGAGCTACTCCTTCCTGCTACTTGCCAGGTTTCTTCTGATTTCCGAGTTTCCTTAGTCAAGTCTTGCTCAGAATAGGACAGCAACGCAATAATTCTTGGACGATTGAGGTTGGGACCAGGCAGGTAGAGTGTAGGAGAAAAGTTGTTAAAACCAGAAGACTATTCGCTTGCTTTGGTTTGCACAGGACGCACGAACACCTTGCGTTGGCTTAATCAAAACTTTTTGGAAATAACAGTCTGTGGACACCGTTAGTCGAGTGGAAACTTGCGAATTTTCTTTTTAGCCAAACTCAGCAATAAATAATAAATTAAGGTCGAAATTATGGTTTGGATTATATACTTTGTTGCTTTGAGGGCAGATCAGACTCGAAAGATTAAACGTTGGGTGAGGTCTATTGTTTATTGGAAAAAAAGAATCACTGAATATGAGCTAAAATTGTCAATAGATAGATTAAAAACGACAAATCTCATCAGAAAATTTCTTCCGTCTAATAAAACATCCTCCCTTTGTTCTCCTGTTTCGTACTTGTGTCCCTGCTTATTATTACATAAGATAACCCAAATTATTAGATGTTTTTGGCTGCTAGCATGACACAGCTTCTTTTCTGAAGGTGCACAATAAAGAGACACTAATCTTTGTGGGAAACTAATGCATTGAAAAAGATGGGATGAAACTCTTTTTCCATGGAATGAAATAGTAATATTCACAACTATGTACGACCTCGCATACGTACTTTTGTAATGGCTTTGTTGTTGTATGGTTGGGTAAACGTACGACTTTAGAAATGACTGGAAACTTTTGCATTTACTTATTGCAAGAACGACCTCCTCCGAATGTTGGGTCCACGAAACGGGCCTCGAACTGTTGATAAGAGAGAAAAGTCATAAGTGAAAGTAAAGCCAAAAGTGGAGCTGTAGAGATAAAATAGCAGCGTCGAAAACTGATGGCAATGTGGATCGCGTATGTTTTGGTGTTCCACATCAGCCCCCGTGTACATATGTACGCTGTTGAAATACGCTCACGCCAAAGTTGCCAAGAGAAAGCAATCGCATCAAAAATACTGCATCTCAGTTCAGCAGCAATGAAGGGTTTAATCGAAAAGTTGGTCGGAGGTGAAAGTAAAGTTGGCTGCTGCTGCTTCTGAGGAGATGTACAATAGATAGAGACAGAAATTGCCAAGAAATTGCTGCAGCAGGCTGTGTGGGGAAAGCAAGGTGAGCGCGCGGATGGTGTTTGGGGATGAGAAGCAGGAAATAAGGTCCATGTGAGGCAATGCCAGAAATACAAGAAAGACAGCGGAGGAAGGGGAAGGAAGCCAGTGAGTCGTGTGAAGAGAAAAGAGTTCGGCCAGGAAGAAAGAAACGAAGAAATAACTATAATAATAATAATAGCAGTTGCAATACTACTGATGTTCCGGCGGAGGACGAGGTGGGAGTCATGCTCGTTTTTATTTGCACAATTTTTCTCCAAAGTATCAACTTTAGATTTACTCCGTGAAGAAATATGAGGCTCGATTAGATTTTCTACCTCATCTATTTCTATTTTCACTTCAAAATCTTACCCCTTTATTGGTGCGTGGAGGAAGGTATGTAACTTACGTATTGTGTTTGTTATGGTTGTAATGTGTATTTATACTTTTTGTCTGTGCCTGATTGGGTTTCCATTTCCATTTCGGATGTTATTTATGGGGAAAGTGAGGACGATTAGTGTGTTATGGAATGTTGTGTTTATGACTTGCGTGAAGCAATTAATGCCCCCATCGCACACACATGACTCATAAACAAGCAGTTTAATGCACTTTTGAGTTTGCCTTTCCGCACCATCACATGTTAGCACGAGTGGTAAACAGAGTTAATTACAGTATGTGCTCAATTATGCGGGGTGAGTGAAAGGTGATAATAAAATTTTAGCCCTTAATGCGAAGTGCTACCAAAAACAAGATGATAGGTTAAATAATTACCTTTTCGAACTGATGACGCACTGAACAGCTGTGTTACAATGAGTCCTAAATGTATTTATTGCACTTTGCAGCAGCTATTAATTCATAATGAGATAGAAATAGAATCGACCTTTGGCTTGGCGGAGTGAAATGAGACGAGAATATGTGCATGAAGAGAAAGGACGAGTGTGGGTAGAACGTAGCTCAAGTTGGTTTGATGGCTGTGTGGCTTTCCCTGCGACGCAAAGAACACTGAGCTACGAGTTGGAAAAACGAGACGTTTTCCTCGAATAACGCTTTCTCTCGCCTGTCCGCATTTCCAAAATGTTCTGCTGCTGCTTATGTGCTTTTACTTGTTTTTACTAGTCACACATGTAGGTTGCTTGGTTGGTTTGTGAATTTCTAGGGTTGGAATAATGCTTCATGTTACAGCATTTCATCGTTATCTTGATTTTAGAATAAAACTAAAGTAAAATGCGAAAGAATGCAAAGAAAGAAATTATTTCGGCTGGCCTCGATGATGCAAGTAACGCATTGTGTTACAATAATGCTTACTTTTAGTCGTATATAACATTACACTTGGGAATTTCCATTTACATAAGTTACGAGTAATACTTATTTCAACACTTTAGTTGGGCTGAAACCTGAAAATACCTAGGTACATACATACGCCTATCGTAACGATTATGTAACTCTTCTACTATAACTATTCCAATTATCTTCAATTGTTTATATCTCTATCAATTACGAATCCTTTTTTCCTTAATACACTCTTAGCAACTTTTTATTTCATGTGCAGCTAGCTTACAATTATTCTTTCTGTCTTGGCCCGTAGTGTACATGTGTAAATTATGGACAACTGATGGACAAGCGACAAAATCTGACCGTTTAATTGATTATCAAAAGGACACAATGTTTTAAGGCTCTTGGAATTTCCAATGATCTTCCAATTCGATGATTTCCAATTGGGTACCATCGATTTCAACTTGAACAAAAAAAATAGTTAAGAAAGATTGCATGTTTCAAGTATTATTGAGCGCAAAATATTTTTATTTTCACTCAACTGAGAAAATTGTTAAAAATTCAATTTAAGATGAAGAGAATTCCCATCCTCAAATCTTTTGTGACATTTTAGATGGAATTTTATTATGGACGAGTCGGTTTTGTGGAATGAAGTGTCATTTTTGTTTGAAGTTCAATTTGTCGAAAATGTTTCCAGAAATAAGAAATGGCCGGTGGCAACTTTGATGATTAGAAAAATATGATCTAGCACCACAAGTTCCGGAGATACAAAAAACGTGTGAAATTTCCATTTCCCTTTGAAATACGTAAACGACTTGAGGTGAAAACTGGAAAACCTAATTCAAACCAAGTACTTCAATTACGGCACCGACGTAGGTGAGGGAGGGCTGAGTTTTTTGAACTTTTGGATGGTTTTGTGGATGGAGCTTGCTTGAGTCGTGTCAGTCATGTTTTGTTTCGGGGCTTCCTATGGTTCACTTTAAATTTAAAAGAACGATTTATCTTCGTATGTCTGACACGGTTGATGCCCAATTTTCCATTCCATTGTTGCAGATTACACTTTTGAGCATACATACATTATTCACGGAAAACCTTGCCCTATTTGAAACTGCTTGGTGGATGGGTGGGTGGGGTGGCGAGTGGTTTATATCATTATTATTATGATTATGAGTACTACACACAGTTCAAATGTGCGAGATTGGATCTTTACTCATGAATGACTGAAGAAATCCCTTTTAGGGTGAAATTGGATGGTTTTGGTAAAAAAAACGAGAATCCCATCAAGGATGTTGTGTGCCTGTTCCTGAGATTGCTGTACTAGTCATTTGTATCTTTCATCTCTAATCTCAACCTTCTTCCCAAACATCCTTTCCCAATATCCCAGCTAGTGGTTGGTGTGCCTCGTGTAGTACAAATAAGCAAGGGCATAATATTATACTTTTCTTTCTCAGTTCATGAAATTTGATGAGTATATAGTTATTTTGTAAACGAGGCTATTTATTAAATGTCAACATTTTTAGCAAGCTCAAACTGTTCCCACTTTCACATGGAACATAATGTGAATCTTTTGTTGTGCCACGTGTAGTACCAAAATTGTGTAGAATTACTAGTATTGTATTTAAATAGGATTTTTTATCAAAACAATCTTTTGCATAAGGAAAAGATTGTTGATTGCATAACAATATGCTTTTATTGTTACATACATATTGCAAAATATCATTACGTAGTTTGAGGGGACGTAGATCATTACGATAATAATCGCTCATTTAAAGGGTAGTATTTATCCCATTATATGGATAAATTTATAACATACTTTTTATTTGACCAAGTATCGAGCGACTCTCCTCTGCAGAAAGCATTTGTATCATTTAAAATAATGTCAAAAGCAACAATTGAGAAAAGGTATTGGAATTTATTGGATACGACGAATGTACATAAATAACGTAATTTACGCTGGTTCTAAAGTACTTCAAAGCTTCGGTAGTACCAGAATTTACACATTTAAGTATTTACATATCATAAAACAAATTAATAGAACAATATCCCTCTTAATAAATACTTTAGGGGAACTTATGTGTGTATGAACACTGTGAACTAATGGTCAGTGTTTTCAACTAAAAAATGTTGATAACAGTTGATTCCAAACCTCTGACCCTTTAATTTCCTCGAGTCGTCGAGAGTGAGGGACTTTCTCTTAATGTCCACTTTCACCTTATTATTGCTTCAGGGTTGGGTCGAGTTCATTAAACCAAGAAATTAAGAACCAGCCTCGTGCTTTGTCCTACATACATTCACAACCTCCGTCCAGCCAGAAAAAGGTTTAGCCATTTTCCAACCGCTGGGTTATAATTATATGTATAGCTCAAATATTGTTTGGATTCGTTTTCTGGTTTCACGCACTGTAGCATTTATGCCACAATGCACAGTCTAAAAGGTAAGCTGGGATTCCTTGTTTGACTTCCTGTGACCCTATCCAACTTTCCCTCGTTTAGGCAATTTAGTGGAATTTTGAACAACTTGGTAACAGTAGCCGGAACTGGAATAGTGGTTCCATGTATTTAAGTAAGGGAGTCTCTTAGTGAGACGAATGACCCCAATTTTAGCTCTTACTATAGTATAAGTAAACCCAAAATTAGTGACAAAATAAAGAGACTTATGCCACCCTCCACGCCAAACCAATCAAGTTAGTTAAGTATATGTATGTAGTAGAGAACTTTTCGAAGGAGCAAAGAGCCAGAGTCATCATAAATATTGCCGAGCTTGTTATGTGGTCAAATAAATTCTCAAGAAATTCTTCAGTGCAATTCGAGTAGCATGCCCTATTTTACGTGCCCTTTATTGTGTAAATAGATAGATAGATGCTACCACACAATAATGTAACCAACCACTCCTCGTTTTTGCTCGCCCACTGAGTATTTGGGAATTTCAATTTCAACTGTTCTAGCCAAACTTTTTATAAACCTCTCCCTTGGCATTTTTGGTGCCCTGTCCTCGTGTTGACAATCTTGATGAAGATGGATAATATGGCAACTCTCCTATTTATTTTTACTGCTGCTATGAAATAAAGAGGAACTCATTAGCAGTGTTTGTGGAATTGTACCATACATTCGTGGGCGATGAATGCTCAGCAGTGTAAATAGTTGACCCAGTATTGTGACGGCTGTAAATGATCCGTTCATGTATCATAATTTCACTTATTAGTTGTGAAGGCACGTGTGGGTGCATTCCCAGCGGCATCTTCTCATACTTTAGTTGGTGGACAATTTAGGCATACAATTTGTGTCTCTCTTTGTGAATGTGTTGATGATTGAAACAGAGAGAGAAAGATAAAGCGTGACCAAATAATGACATATCACAATAATGCAATGGGAAAGGAAAATTGAGACTGAACTGCTCACCCTATGCCACCAAAAACCAAAAACAATGGAGGAATGATGGACAAATTTGGAAACTTTATGCAAATGATGAAATATTCACGAGATATAAATTATTCACTTGGGGTAACCCATTACAAAGGATCTCGTTTGATGAGATCGGCAAAGATACTGCTCCTTTGACGGTTGGTTGGTAAATAGAAAGTGCAGATGCTTTAGAGCATTGGATATTAAATATGAATTTCGCCCATTTCGTTATCCTCCTGCTTTGAAGGATTATCGTGGATCCCTCAGCGTAAGCGTATAGTTTAGCAAGTAGAACCAGGCTTACTGCTGGTTGATGCCCATGACTTGTCCGATTTTGTTAAAAATTCAGTTAAAAATGTATGAATGAATGCACAAATGTACTCTACATACGTATGCATGCAGATTCAGTCGTGCATGTCGTTTCAGCAGATGAAATTCAAGCGACTTCAAAGTAAAACTTTCAATTCTTGGCGCCTCCGACACTTTCACTTATACCTCGGCACTTGCAACATGCAGGTAAGGAAGTCAGGTTAAAGTGCCGAGCTGATTCAGTCAAAAATGACTCTTCTTATTGAAGTCCTACTGGTCATTGAATGCATTTGAAAATGTGTGTAAAGTAAATCTAGGTGTTCTTTTACCAAATTTGCAATTTTATTTGTGGCAGGATGAAAAACTGCTGGTAGTAAAACTCTACACTTGTGGATAATTCCGATTTTATGGCATTTCACTGACGTTTTTCTGTTCATGCTACGATATATTTTACTACGAAAATGATGAAATTATACCCATGCGGTGATCAAAAAGACCAAAGCTGTCTTTTTTACCACCCTTAAACGTTGAAATGACGCAATTCAGACAAGTTATCATTATAGTATAGTAGACATATAATACAAATATATAGTTGCAGCTATCTTATAATAATAGTTATTATTAGATACTCTCATCCTCAGAATTGTAGACTGACATGTTTGCTGCTGCACAACAGCATTTACAACTTTACATTTCTTGGCCTTACACAGTTGGATAAATAGTTACGGCGGAAATGCTCTTAACTCTTGGCTCGTGACAGTTTCACTAATTTTCTATTTTATTCAGAACACTGATGTGGTGGTGGAAGGCTGGAAAGTTCTGACTGATGTAATGAATCACTCTACTAAACCATCATCTCATCTGTCATCAGTCAATGCAAATGTGTCGTGCCTGTAAAATGTTACATTTGGAATTTCAACAGACCTGCCAAACTTCTTTGGTTTCATTGCGGTGGGTGTGGCAAGCTCATCCTTGGTTGGTTTGATAATTAAATGTCCAACAAACAGTATCGCTACTATTTCAGTGTGATACTATTTTAGTGCAACTGTACAGAAGAGACCGAGTTGCAGACAGTAGATTTATACCTTTTAGACCGGAATCGGCTCATCATTCCCACTCGACTGAAACTGTTGTATTCCATTGAGTTGAAAAGATAGATGACTTGTAGTTGGTTGTTGGTATAATTTGCTTGAATTCCTACTCTCTGGAATAAATTAACTATCAAAACAGAATCCACCTTGTCGGTGTGACTTTATCCTCGCGTCCTCATCTACTTTCATGAGAACAACCAACTAAACCATCAGTTTATAAATGGGTCTATTGATCGCATCTAAAGTAATTAGTTTCATGTCCCGGTATGGCGTGGTCGCTAACACAAAACGACAGACTTTTGGTGAATTGAAAATGATAGAAATGCCACAAGAGAACTGTTACAGAAATTATTGTGATTGAATTCCACGGGTCTTGATACTCTTTGCAATTATTGAATATGTAAATATTTTGTATCAAGTTGACTGTTACGAAATTCATTTTACTATTTACTTTACTACAGTCATCATAATATAATTCAATACTACAATAGTTTAACTTGAAGCATTGTGGAGTGGAACGACCATTGTGCTATACTCGTACCAAGCTATACACTAGAGAAGTATGTACATACATACATAAGGCTCAATCTTTTACTGCTGCTTTGCCCAATTTTCCAACCAACTCTGGAGATAAATAGCGGTTAGAAAGGTCAATTCAATCCTCGTCGGGTTCGTACTCTTCGGAGGGGGAAGAGAAGATAAATGGACATTGGACATTGCTTGTTTTCTGGAATTCCAATGGGCAGAGTTTGGTTGCCATGAATGTGTGTGCTGCTTTCTCCTTCCCCAGTTGCATTGGCTATTCATTAAATCCACCACGGGTCGTCGTACCTCTCCACCATCACCTTGGACTGATTTAATTGATGATTCCGTAATTTTTTCTACTCTGCAAATGGATTTCAGACCCTCGTTCTTATTCCGTCTGATCGCGAACGTAATTTCAAAGTGCATGCCACATGCTTAAGTTTAATTTTTAACTGATGGCACTTTAGTGAATTTATGGTGTCCCTTGGACCTCGTAGAAAATTAAAGTGTTATGTTTGTTTTGAGACCACCTCTTACGTACATGCATAAATAAGTATATCCACACTGTATATACATAGTCTCAAGTTAACGGGTAGAATTTTTGTGACTACAACGAGCTGTTTACTTAAATGTCCGATATAAATTGATTTAGACGACGCCAACGCTTCGAGCTCAGCAAATCATGTTTCACATCGTTCCAACTTCCGTTTGCCCTCTTACTCTTACTTCTTCTTGCCGGCGTGAGAGAAGAGGGTGCACTTTCTCTGATGGAGCTAGACGAAGTTTCAAGAGACGTAAGAAGGAGTTGCAAAGTTGACTTTCACTTGAAAAATCACATCACACTGAGCCAAGTCGACTACGCGGCGACGACGACGACGAGTAGAGTGTCAATTTTTGAAGGGTTTCGAATACAGGCGAATTTCAGATTCTCTTAACACATATCCGACCCTACCACGCTCTCATAACTCGTCTGGTTATGGTGATGGATATCCTATCTCGACGGAGCAGGGAGTGAGTGAGTCGTGTCAATTGTATTTTCTTGTAATCTTGCTCTGTTGGCTTTCTACTCGGTGTTCTTACCTTGTCACACTCCCGCACTCACTACTGCTTTCTCCTGCAATATTATGAAATGAACACAAATAAAACCCATGTGCTCAATTACTGCGAAGGAAAACTTGAAGGTTTCAACGCCCTACATTTTTATAATTATAATGAAGGCAAAAACTTACTTGGATATGACGAGAAAAATCTAGCAAAGTTTTCTCAAACACTAGCGTTTGTGATGCAATATCTCAAAATTAAGTCTGTACGTATCATCGTTGAAGCTTCCAAAAGAGTCTAATCCAATGTTGTAGGAATAGGAGATGGCCCATATGGAAGCTTCAACAACGATATGGGCATATGCAATATAAATGGTGATATTTTGTCAGTCATTCTCGAGTTAGAAAGAATTGGTAAGAAGGGAAAATTTTCTATACAAGAACGAAGTGGAAAGTTTGGTCCCGTGCAAATTTCTCATCCCTTTGAATTTGATGAGATTTTATAAGTTGATTTTTCTCTGCTCCAGTGCCTTGGCCCTGAATACATTCAATTTTCGTATGCACAGCAAAAAATCTCATCCTACTTAATCACGAGGAAATTAATAACGTAAACTTATTCTATCAGCTACCCATGCAGCAGCGAGTAATACGGGCCACTGAATTTTTAGGAGTGGGATTGGAAGTGATAACTGAAGCGAAAGTAAAGGAATTTTCAAAAGTGAAATCAGTTCAGCCACTCAGCTCATCATCGTCGTTATGTTCACCGGTGAAGTCTAGGGATTATATAAGTGACTATATTTATTAATGGGGATAGGAACAGAAGAATGCGTAGTACGGAAGGTTGAAGAAAGTGACGCTATTCATTCTCGTTTAACGACTTTTATCGTGATTTTGTAAAGTCTCTTTTGTCCATACTACTTAATATACATACATCCTACATACATATTTTTAGATCAAGCCAGGCGTATGTAAATGTCATGTTACCCGATAGTCTAGTTAAACTTGTCCTAGAAGGGACGCAAAAAGTGGGATTTAAAAAATGATCATATTTGCGACCAAGGTATATCAGATTCACCAAAAATCAAGCAAATTTAAAGTCACGGGACCAAATAGATAGGGTTTTCCGCACTTGTTTTCGAAATTACGAAGAAATCAAATGAGTGGCTTAGGCAAACAATAATGTGGGTTCGTAATATGACTTTTATTAACAAACGTTTTTGCATTTGGGGGTTGCATGGGGGTTTAATTTGGTATTACCAAAAGTTGTGTCAGTATAATCTAATACAAAGGTGAAGAAATCAAAAGAGGGCAAGAAAAATTGTCAAATTTGTAATTGTAAACTTTGTCAAATTGAAAATATGTTGTTTGGTAAATACTTGGTTGGATTCATAAAGATCAACACGTTTTGCTCCACAACTCGAAATCTGACAGTGATTTCAGACCTAATATAATCTAATATGTATGTATATATCAAATACACACGATCTATATTTCAGACTTAACTTCTATGCATATGCTTATCATAATAATGCTTATCATAATCCACTTTACATTCAATTGATATTACGGACAATGTTATTCAGATCTTTATTTTTGGAACATTAATATTCTTGTATTTAGTCGGAAGCTCATTTAAGATTGTTTTAAGTTTGTCGGAAGTATTTCTAGTGCGGTTGCTTTTACCAGCATTAAATCCTCGCCCTGAAGGTTGGTTATTTGGTAGCTCAGTGTTACTATCATTGACTTGGTCTGAAGTTGCATCTGTGACCGGAAGCACCGTCACATTGGAGTCATTTTCTTTTAAACCCAAAGTTGTTTCAGTCTGCTTGTTCGTTGTGATGGGACTTTTGTCATCAGTTTGACCAGTTATTGGTTGGATTACTTCTTTGACATTATTATTCATGGAATTTCCCGAATTGGGGCAAGAGTTTGGACAATAATTACCAGTTGAATAATTGGCTGCTAATTCTTGAAGCCACGGGGTTTCATATTTGTTTCCACCACCTTTCTGTTTTAAATTTGCGGTAGCCGTTTTATATAATTGCATAAATTTATTATACACGGGGCTATCTTCACATCCATGCGATTTAATAAATTCTTTAAATCGTTTTTCATACTCTGATTGTCGTACAGTAGAAGTGACAGATTCTTGTTCTACTGAAGAGGAGCTTGATTCTGAACTCCTTCGAGATTTCCTACCATGCTTCCAACCTCGATTTCTGTGATGAGAATTAATTTGATGCTTCATAAATTCCTGACCTTGCCGAAATTGTTCATCAAAATCTAACAAAGAATCGGATTTACGGTTGCGGTGTCGGCGCTTTGATTCGACCTAGGATATGATTATTGAAAATATATATGGACAAAAAATGAGCACGGGAATAAATTTGTGTTTCTTACAGAAAGACAGGAAAGCATCAATAATAGTCCAGCAACAAGGATAAAACTTTGGAACCACATGATAAATTGTCAGATATATTTTGGTTATCAGAGTAAAACTGGTAATATGGGTAAGAACTTTCATTTAGGAGATGCTGAATCTTTGCATGACCTTTAAATAAATTTTACAACGTGATTCGCTTAGGAAATTGTTTATTGTTCTCAAATTCTTGAATAGAACATAAAATACTAAAACGATGTCATTACAATACTTGATGTTAAAACATTTTACTTGACATTGGCAGGATGCTAATTAAAATCTGGTTTATTCTGACGAATAATACTTTTTTTAATACGACAATTTATAATCAAATTTCCCTTTGCATCTTGCGATGTCCGGTAATAATAGTAAAACTGTTTCAAAGGCTTAGCGTGATATTTGCACGATGCTTACGATACGTATTTGAGGAACAATAAATATGAACTAGGTATATATACTATTGTTACATAAATGTAGGCTCGCAACGGACCTCTATATAAGCTATTAAAGGCTGTAGATCACCATCAGCGGCCAACTTCGTCGAGGTGATGATGGTCTTCTTTCTTTGGTATTGTTAAAAACTACGATGAATAGTATAGCATAATAATTCCAACTATGGCTAACCCAAGGAGCATTTTGTAGATTGGTACAAAACTGATCCGGCCATTGGAAGACAGAAATCTGGTCGGAACCTTGCTTCCTTTACTAAATTCCACTACTTTGTCCACTACCTCGTAAAAATCGGTCACCACGGTGTCGAACATGTCAAAAGGGAACGGAACTCCCAATGTTCGTCCTTGCTCGGTTTCGTAAAATTTTATATACCTTGTATCACAGCCCTTCAAAAATGCAAATTAATAATTAATACGTAATTAATTAATTGAAATAAATCTGAATTACATGACAAAATGGCCTAAATGTGAAGGCATTGGAAGAACAGTGAATCAGATATGTCTGAAAACAACAGAATAGTAATATTTCTGTAATGTCAGTATATAAATACCAGTTGATAATGGTATTAATAGGGTAAGTAACCTTTCTTATTTTATTAAAACAGTAGTCGCACATAAGATTCGATTCTATATTTTTAAGGCGTTGGAGTAAAACGAAGTTCATGCTCTTTATCCTCTTGACTGATTCGTCAGGCTTTGAAGCATCTAGAGCAGTTGGAGTTTGAAAATATTTGGCTTCTTTGATAAAGGAGTTCATATCGCTAACAATAGCGTCCATAGCGTAAAAAGGCATAGCTGTCATCTCATGCGACACTTTACAGTTTGGACAAGTTGATTGCTTCCCTTTATTCCAGCTTTTCGTAGCACACTTTGCACAGAAAACATGGCCGCATGGAAGAATGTAACTCTAAATTAGTAGAATGGATATTAGCCAAAATATGATCTGAGAATATAAATATCATTTTGTTTTACTAAAGGAAATACCTTCTTTGGAAACTGATTGCATAATTGACAAACATAGTTGGTTTTAACTCGTCCAATAACATCTTTAAGCTCATCATAAAACTGATTCAGCTCTTCCTTGGTGTATTCATATTTTGCAATTTCGTATGTACATGTCTGAAGCCATTTACTGCGATCGTAGGCCATTCTTCGCATATTTTCCAATGCTGTTGGATCGAGGTCATGAGTTTCCGACATCCTGAAATTACTGAAGATTGTTGCTTGTAGACAATAAACCTGCAATTATTACCATTCATTTATTCCTTCGTTCAAATGCACACTTATAAAATATGATACTTACCAGCTCCTAAAAGATAGATTGCACCAGCTTGTTTTCTATTTTGAAGTACAATATCAGGTCATTCGTCCGGATTGGCAACAAGGAAAACTTTGTGGGTTTAGCTGGATCCGTCATCCGTGTTGTTGGTCAGCGTTATCGAGCATCGATGCCAGGTCATCCACCCACATTAGGACGACGATAAAACGACGAGAGGCTGAGACAGACAGGGCAAGTTGTTAACCATAACAATACTTGGAAAAGTTGTTTTTAATTAAACTCTTCAACAAAATTAAGCTTCCTCGTGTCACACACAACATTCATCTTCTAACTATGAGATATAGAATATAAATTGCATTGTAGGTCAATCAATGCACATTTTAATAGGACCATCAAGGTAAATTTGGGATAGTATGATAAACGTAAACAAAAACAAAGTATAGAAAGAAAGATGCACTTACGCCGCAGACGAAGTAGGACGAGAGCTCCGAACACCCAGAAATCGGTTGAATTGGATATATTCGTCCTGTCTTCCTGTTCCAATTGTTGCCCTGCCTGGTTTAATCAAGTTGATTTTAGTTTAGCAGGATGGAAGAATTAGGAAGAGATTCTCAGGCCATTGACTGTTTCGCAGTTCAGTCGATCTTTTTTGGCAACAGGTTTTTGGGTAACCTGCAACACTGCCCGTTTTCACAAGTAGCAATGGTACCACTAAATAGCTGTGAACATGATTTAATCAAGCGTAAGCAGATTTGCTGAATAATTCTGATTATTATTCATGTGAGGAATGCGAATTGAATACAAATGATAATAATGAATTATTGTATCAATATCATTAATTTAAATGATTAGACGAGAAAAAACATAAGTGATTTGCAAAGAATAATAAATAAAACTATCGCATTTTAAGACCCTAAACTCATTCCGTGCACCGTGTATTGTAGGTTTTTTCAGAAAAATAGAGAATTAAAGAAGGTACTGTTTCCTAACACCTAAATTGACTAGCCTGCATTTAGAAACAATCTTAGATCAATACATGTACGCATTTCATCCAGTACTATGTAAATACATGACACGTCCAGAACTATCGTTACATGAAATACAGCATAATATAGCATTCATCCATGCTTTCGATACTAATCTCTCGATAATTACCATATCATGAACCTGTCGACTTAAACAGATAACTGCATGCATACGCAAGGATAAACTATTTGTTTTGGTGTTGATGACAGGAATAGAATAATAAATAATAACATTCAGTCATCTCAACTTTTCGTCATAAACCTATTTTCTCAACTTTCTCTCTTTAAATCCAGCATAATTGGATTTTGTGAAAATCCCTTCTAAAAAGAATGTGACATAGAATTCAAGATCATATGTTAACCAAATTTACCAATGACTTTATTATTATTGTCCAACTGACCGCGTAGTTTTAGACTATTTCTGGCAGAAAATGAGAAAAATGAGAAAATGGCAGAAAATATCTTAATTAATGCAGAAATCTCATTTGCGAGTCGCAAATTGGGACTAAAAACCCAAAGGAAAATTCGTCTGCTAGTGAGTTAGAGGCTGTTGCCAAGCCAAGCGCTCTCTTTCGCCAACTCCCACCGACTGGGAGCAAAACAAGTCGAGTGTGCTGCTCATTTTCGATCACCAGTCATCATCATCAAACAAATCCTTTCGCACCTCCATAAAAATAATCTGTGTTGTAAATAAATTACTTCAAACAAATAATTAGGACAAATCTTGGTCAGTGAACCAGTGAGTAAATCCGTTGATTGTTCGTTCCAACTGGAGAGTCTTGATTTCAATCTTTCTTGGTGGTTATAATAATTAAAAAAACAAGTCTTTTGCACAAACTTTTTAACAGTCTTAAGTTAAGACTCTTAACTTAAGTAAGTAAAAAAAACGTAACAATTCTTGTTGATCATGGTTGTACAAGGGTTTGCTGTTCCTACAGATTATTGGAATTTCATCAAATACCTTTATCGAAACATGATTCCCATGTAGACCATTTTGAAATAGTAATCAGAAAGATTTGTAATAAATTGTGATTCTGGTTTATCCATTTAAATTTAAGATAATATATTCATTTGTAGATTGGAATGTGAGCAACAATGTTGGAAGTAGGCGTAAGAGTTGTTCGAGGTCCTCACTGGAAATGGGGAAATCAAGGTAATATCAAAATAGAAATAAATAAACAATACAATACAATTCAATAAATAAAATCAATTAATTTTGAAATACAAATAAATGATACATTTAATATATATAATGTATATATCTTAAGATGGCGGAGAAGGTCATGTGGGGACCGTAGTCGAAGTAGGACGCCCTTCTTCGTCTTCGTCGCCCGACAAAACGGTCGTGGTGCAGTGGGATATGGGTAATTTATTATATATATTTATTATATAAATATGTCAAATTATATATTATATAATTTTTTCCAGGTTCCAGAACAAATTATAGGACAGGATACCAAGACGCGTATGATCTTAGACTCTTCGACAATGCCCCTGCTGGGGTTGCTGGTAAGAGTTGTTCGAACTGTATCAACTTTGATCTACAAATGGTCCTCATAATCAAGTAATTGGATGTCTTAATGGATGCTAGGTGTTCGACATCCCAACGTAATTTGTGATGGGTGTAAGGAACATGGGATTAGTGGAATGTTGTGGAAGTGTACTATATGCTTTGACTTTGATCTTTGTACAATGTGTAAGTATTAAGTTCGTTACACATTCGATGAATGCAGGTTTATAAAGATAGTATTGTGCATTAAAGGTTACATGAACGATACTCACGACCTAACACATATTTTCCGACGTTACGATTCAGCCTCTTCCGCAGGGTATATGTCCTAGCCTAACCAATAATTACTTATACTGGCAGCCCCCTTGATAACTTGATTTGATTTCATGCAGAGTTGAAGTACCACCACGGCACGAGAGTCCAAAGGTTACCTCGAAGGGTATATTTCCAGCTTCAAAAGTTCAACGTGGCCCAGGTGCGTCACCCTGATGCGATTTGGTTTTGAGTTATACATAATGATTACAACTAAATGTTGCCTAATTTGTAGATTGGGACTGGGGGAACCAAGATGGGGGAGAAGGTATTTTCGTTATAGCTTCCTCTTGTTTTGTATTATCATCTAACTAATTTAATATTAATTTTAGGTAAAGTTGGAAGGGTCGTTGATATTCGAGGCTGGGATTCGGAAAGTGGGCGCTCTGTAGCAAATGTGGTAAGAAATTAAATGATGAGAAATAACTAAATAAGAAAATAGCAGCCAACTGTTATTTAAACTTTGCGTTTTTCAAAACTTTAAAATAGATTTGGAGTTCTGGGAGCACTAATGTGTACAGATTGGGTCATAAAGTTAGTGAAATAGTTCAATGTAACATAATAACAGTCTGTTAGTAATTCAAGATAATTTACTACTTTGGTGTCAATTGTGATTTAGGGAAAAGTAGATTTGAAAGCTATCCAAGCCTCGTCTGCTGGATCGTACTATGTAAATCATCTTCCGATTTTAGGTGATCTTTGTTTGGAACTATTATTTTTAAATGTGTGAATATTTGACGATCTTGCATTTTGGTAAAATTTTAGGAATGCCATCTTCGACAATAAATAGAAATAGTTCGTCTGGATCTTCTAATAAACCAATGTCTAGTAAAAATTCATTGAATTTCAACGTTGGAGATAAAGTTCAGGTTGTCCAAGACATTCAAACATTAAAAGACCTTCAGGAAAATCACGGAGGGTATAATCCACGGATGGCAGAGGTGAATATTTTTGACACAATTTATTGAATTGTATATGCATATGTAATGAAGTAACTCTGTGTATGATTCCAGTTTATTGGGAAGGTAGGATCTGTTCATAGGGTGACCGACAAAAACGACATCAGAGTACAATATGAATCTGGAATAAGGTGGACATTTAATCCAGTCGTTGTAACTAAAATCACAATTTACTCGGTCGGCGATCTTGTTCAAGTTATTCCAGATGTTAACAAGTTAAAAGAATTGCAAAAAGGTCATGGCGAGTGGGTGGATGTCATGAAAGAGATATTGGGGAAAACGGGGACTGTCGTCAAAGTTTACACTGATAATGACTTGCGTATTAATTTTACTTCTTCTGTGTGGACTATGAACCCCCTTACTGTGAAGTTGGTTAGATCTAAAGTACCCGAAACAAACAATTCAATGTATGCCAATGCACATCAACGTGAGGAAAATTACGGTCAAGATCCTATGTCATCGATGCTACCTCTTTTGGACGAGCTATGTGCAGAACCATCGTCTGTTAGTATAGAGCGTCTCATACGTGACGCAGCGCAGGGTCGAGTGGATGCAGTCAAAAGAATGATTCCAAAAATAAAGGATGGAGTAAGTTTACTCAATTATAATCAAAAATTCTTGACGATTCTTACCAATGATTATAAAAAATATACTGCGTTATCATCCTGAAAATTAAATGATGATGCATTGGTTAAATGAGATTTATGTTACAATATTTTACTGTTTTACCTGAAAATTAATTTCGTTTTTCAAATATTTTACCAACTCATTAAATATATTTCAGATAAATAACAAAAGCGGAGGTAAAACAGCGCTCCAAGTTGCATCCCACCAGGGTCACCAGGAAATTGTGATCATTTTAATAGCAGCGGGTGCCAATCTTGAAATTACAGATGAAGATGGTGACACAGCTCTCCATTACTCCTCATTCGGGTATTAAGAAATGTATTTTAATATTAAGATACGATCTTTAAATAAATATTTGTGATGGTAAAAATCTTGTTGCAGAAACCAACCGATCGTAATGGATACACTGTTGAAAGCTGGAGCGTTAGTAAATTCGGTCAATAAAGGCCAGTGCACAGCATTACACGTGGCAGTGAACAAGCAATTTTTGGATTGGTAAGTAATGTTAAACAAATATAGAAAGACGAACCAAACGTTAGGTTCAATTTATAATCCAATGATCTTTTAACTTGATTACAGTGTGAAGACTTTGCTCAAGTATAAATGTAACGTAAATATTCAGGTAAATTATTATTATTGGACATATTCGGGTTACAAGTGCGGCTGAAGTTTCACTATTACATCTATTATTCATCTAAACAATTATGTAGGACAACTACGGTGACTGTCCACTGCACGATGCAATCGGGAAGGATAATCGAGACATTATTAACTGCTTCATGAATACTCCTGGAACAGATTTTACCCTGAAAAATAGTCGAGGATTCAATGGTGAGTAAAAGTGAAAAATAATAGAATGTATAAATGCAGTAATAGAAAAGAACACTACGCAAACAGAGATAAAGAAAAGAAGCTGCTCCTTATCTCGTTTATTACTACATGCTGTTTATGATCATATATTCCTTCATTATCTGTGTAGGGCTACATTTTGCAGCACTCAAAGGCAATCATTAGTAAGTATATCAACTTGTTCGTTTTTATGTGCTATTAATACTTTTCATGGTTTCAATAATTATTTATTTTATAATCGTAGTGCGGTGGGTAAATTGGTGAGCAGAGCGCGACAATTAGTGGATGTGAAAAAAGATGACGGGTTCTGCGCGTTGCATCTGGCGGCGCTCAATGGGCATTTTTTGGTTGTTGAAGCTCTTATACAGGAAGGACAAGCTGAAATTGACATACGGAACAATCGAAAACAAACAGCTTTAACACTTGCCGCTGCTCAAGGGCATTGTGGACTTGTAGAATTATTGGTTTCAAAAGGTTGTTCTGTATCTCCTGAAGACGAAGATGCAGCTACTCCGTTGCACGCTGTCTTGACCAAACATTTTGACACGCAACAAGGACACAATAGTGGACACCACCCACAACCTATTATTGGCAGTGAACTAAGGAAACACGATAATGCTCCCATCATAGCAGAGGTAATAATCTTTTCCTATAAAGTTATCCTGTCATTCAAATATAGCAGAAGTAAAAGCATAATATTCAAATACTAACTTTTATTACTTCATTCTAGATTTTTGCCAAATTAGTATCTTGTGGCTGGTCATCTACGGAAGACGAAACAGGGGCGGCGGCACTTAGTTGTTTCCTCGTTAATGCGGGGGCAGATATCTATAAGAAAAACAGACGTGGAGTTGCGCCGTATGATCTCATTCGTTCTGACAAACTCAAGGAAATGGTTGTATATTATTCTACCAAATCAAGGTACGTTTTTACTACTCCATTTTTGTGTGTATCTAGTACTTGAGTGAGATTGCTTGATTATATATTGATAATATTATGTCTTATTAGGTTGGTCAATCTACAATTAAACGATGGTGTGGAAAGAGTGGAACCCTCTTCAAGCGCCACCGGCAGTGTAGTCGGACCAAGTTATGGAGCCTGTGCTATGCCGACAACTTCAGGACTTCCGAACCCCTCTGCTAGTGTTATCGATTCAGAGTGTCGACTTTGTTCTGAAGTAACATCTCTCGTCTTATTCGAGCCATGCGGACATCGGATTGTGTGTGAAGAATGTTGTGTTCGAATGAAGAAATGTGTTAGTTGCCAACTTCCAATTCATCGCAAAATGAATCTACATGGACCTATAAGTGCTAGTAGTTCTAGAAATAGTCTAAACACAAGTGCAGAAAGATTGAAATATTTGGAGAACAAATTTGCGGAAATAGAGGATAAATTTTGTTGTCCAATTTGTATGGAGCGACAACGCAACGTGGCATTTTTGTGCGGCCATGGGAGTTGCTCCAACTGCGCTGACGTATTGACTAATTGTCACATGTGTCGAACTCCTATCAAGCAAAAAATTAATTTATATTAATACTCGAGAATTTACTAATTTAAGAACCGTAAATCAAACCATTACTTACTCTTATAGTTATTTGTGCAATATCCAGCTTTCCATTTGCCGTTTGTTCATGAATCGAGTCAATCAAGATGTACGATTATTATTATCAGCAACTCATCCTAGTTTTTTTCAATATCTGAATTTTTAAACCATAAAACACACAACACAACGTAACGTATCTATACAACTTTTTTTTGGTATTATGCCAAGAATGGAGTAGTGTTTCGTATATTTTATACATTAACTACTAATTTAGTATTAATAATCCGCATTACTCTGACGAATAAATATAGACGATCATTATTTTAATTTCCACCGTCAAGATACAGTCACTAATTTATAAAACATTGCAAGTACAACACAACCCACAACTTGGAGATTTTGTCCCTTTAATCATTCTGTGACTCCGTATTTACTATACCTCGAGTATTAATTTATTAATAAAGTCGACATCGTAAAAATTATTTCAACAAAACGTCACAAATATCTATTATAGTTCACATCAATGCATCAATAAAAATAATTCATTTCCACTACCGCAAAGTGTTGTCAATCTTTCCTTAAAGCAGGGAATTTTTCTACTAAAATGTTCAATACATTCTTTATTATAATTTCGATTTCTGGATCAGCATCAATTTCCATAAAGTTTACTCCTTCAACTTTTCTGTAGCTGTTTAGTAAACTGAAAAAAAATATCGGACACAAATGACCATGTTTAAGTAACTTTCAATATGCAGTTTTTTATGCAAGTGAACACATTGGCTGAGAATGGGTTAAAATTCTGCATGTATTTACCTTTCTCTGAACTTGTTGTTTGTTGCCAGAGCCTGCTCCTCCTTTAGAAGTTAAGTTACTTGTTAAAATTGCCTTACTGCTAATGTTGGTCAAGCTATAAATTAACGAATTACCTTAGTGTTGGTCGTATTTCGAAATCTGTGTCTGTATTGACGGACTTTTTCACTGACAACTAAGAAGAAAACGAGTTCGGGTTTCAATAAATCGTTTGGCCAGTGATACCAATCCTGAGGTAATTCCGCATAGCTATCACTTTCTGGCATCGTTTCTTTCTGAGCAACCGCATAGCAAGCTGTGCTATGCCAATACCTGTCCATCATGATTCCGTTGACACCCTTTGAATTTGCAACGTCTTTTGCAGCCAGGTAATTTCCAGTAGAGTAATATGCTCTTCGTATAGACTAATAATACAAATTTATAGCGTATTTTGTTACTGCCAGAAAAAAATGTGATCTGTTACCTCTCTTTGTTCATCAAAAAACTCTTTGAGGAATTTAATGCTTGCTGGAGGTGTTTGAATTCTATCCAGTTTTAGCTTTTCTGATAGTGCAGTCGAGACTTTAGTTTTTCCTGAATAAAATAATTTCTAGTGACACATTTTGAAACTTTAGTGCTTAGAATAGCGTAAATTGTTTACCTACCAGAACCATCAAGCCCTTCGATCACTATGAAAGGAAGTTTCGGTTTGATGACAGACATTGGTTTCACTTTGGGGTCATATGTCTGAGAGTCCAGTATTGCGTTGCTGGACTCTGCAGAGCATATTTTAAGAAGCTGATGTACTTCTAATGTCTTAGACACCTACACGTACATAATATGCAGACTAAAGGATTTTAATAACCTACTTGATTTAAATGATTTAAAAAGAAATGATTATACGACCTCGGATGTTTTCAATGTGTTGATAGCTTGCTCCAGACTTTTATACACTACAGGAAACTTTTGAAACGCTGTCATGATTAAAGCTTGAATTCAAATTGAACAGTTAAATGAAATAATTGTGTATCATTTCTTGCGTTCAGAATACATCATCGGGCACATGTAAGTATGTCTACTAGCTATGGAACAACAATAATGGAATACATATGAACTTGCAGATGTAAAGAGCAATGATTGAACAGACTGGTATTAAAACTGAAACTGGTGAAGTTGCTGTTGAATAACTAGATAAAACATCCATCCATTATTCCAGTATTATTATATGGCTGGTTGGTCCAAGGCTGTATCACCGTGAATGCTCTTCATGTTAACGCACTGTATAATGTAATAGGAATGAAGTATGTAGAATGAACTGAATGAAGCATGTATAAGAGATGAGACGAGTTATTAAATAAAATGCTGCCAGCGAAAGGGTTAAAAGTTGGCCTTGGTATAACACACACCATGTAATTATATATCTTATGTGCCTTGTGCATAATAAAATAAGTCACGCACATTGAGAATTGAGAAACGTATCATCCAGAATATCCAAAAAATAAGACCAGTGATTTTCTAATGCAAAATGAGTATGAATCGCAATAAAAGCATACGCTTTATTTATTTATAATTGTATGTAAATGCAGAAAATGTTTATTTATTTCATTTTGGAAGCATCAAGAATGTACGTGCATATAACATCAGAACGAAATACATACATGACTAGGATCGAACATAAGACAGAGTAAATTGTCTCATATTTTACTATGCTAGACTGTTTGCACAAATATAGGAGAATGACAGATGCAAACAATGTATGGCGTAAATTTGACTAGGTTTTCAATTGCTGAGTTAGAATAAAATTGTTTTACTGAAGAAAAATCAACCGTTAATTAATGTCCATTAGGGAGAAAGATATAGAATCAAAAGACTAGAAGCGTTATTGTTGTTGTTAGTCATCAGAACCTGAGGAGGATGAAATGTTCCAATCCACGGCGTCTTTCCGATTATATTTTACAGGCCGCTTTCGAGCGCTGTAAATTTAATATCAAACAGGGCACGCACGTTACGGTTAATGATCCACACATTATTCTTGATAAAAGTAGTTAGCAATCAAAATATTTCTGACGTACAAAGCTCAATTAAGGGCGGATTGTGCACTTGGAGGAGAATTTGGACGTCGCTATAAATATAAAACTGTTTCTGCTCGACCCTCGAGTTCTTAAATTTTTTAGTCTAGCAAAGTGAAAGTTAGGGCTAACCCAATCAACTTTTCCTCTCTGTTAAAAAAATAAGAGTAAGATGAAAAGATTCAGAAAAAATCGGCATTTAAAAGTTATGTTTGACCCAGTTTTCGCCCTCTGCCCCTTGCAGGGTCGAAAGAAAGTTTAGAAATACGCGAAAGCAATGTTATACTTACGACGGTGAGCAGGAAAATATTTCAACTTCTCCTCCACGTGTTCAATCATATCCACTCAACAATACAATAATAAGCACATAATTCTCGTTAGCTCAAGAATATTCATATCATTGCTAATTCATTCATGCACAAAACTTACATGCCAAAGTATAAAAAAAAACAATTAACTTATTTATTTTACCAATGTTGAACTTTATGAAAATAATTGTTCCCGTCTATAAATAATACAAAAGCTTAAATTATAATAACAATATTGCTACAAGAAGTACTACATTAAACGACAACTTAAAATAGGAATAGAAAGTATAACACTTTTAAATAATAATAAAACAGAAAATATAAGGACATATAATAATCAGGGATAGCAGCAACAAAAGTCTGGAATACAGCATGACTCAATCACTATCACTGGATCTGAAACGCAAAAATAAAATAAAACTATTAGCATCAAATGAAGAGCAACAGTTTTCACCTAGTAATACGTCGTCTTTCCATAAAAGAAGGAGAACCCCTTCGTCTTGGAATTGACGGAGATCGAGATTTTCGAGATCGGTCATCTGATTTTGGAGATTGAGGCGTTGTTGATCGAATGGAACTATTGCGAGAACGAGACCTTGATGACGACTGTTTTGATGAATGACTTGAAGCAGAATGACTTCTAGAAGATATGCTTCGATTTCTTGAGACGGATCTCGATCGGGAATGAGAACTGACACTACGACTTTGAGATTTTGATTTTTTGTCACGTGACTTGGATCTAGATTTTCTGCTTGGAACGGATCTGTGAGATGACGCGACAGAATGGGAACATGATTTTTCACGTGACCCAGATCGAGATTTTGAATGTCGGGTAGTAAGCCTTCTGGAATGAGATCTTGATGAGTAATTTGAGTCTGAACTACTTGATCTGGATCGGTCGGAATGATGATGATTTCCGTGGTTGAGTACACTGGTATTGTTTCCATTGACTGGAACATGAAAAGTGGGACTACTTTGGTCAATTACGCTTGCGAGTAGTGGGATGCATGCTCTTTGGAATGCTTCAACAGGAGACAGTTGTTTTCCGTTGGTTTTCAAAGTTTTAGATAGTGAGGGGTAATATTTATGATGTCCAGAAAAGTCCACAACTGATAACGAGTATTTTGAATTTACATCTTCCTCCGACTCTGAATAATGCTTAGCTTGAGAATGATTAGAATCACTTGAGCTTTCACTGCTAGCTATCGATATACAACAAGTTGACGAAGGAGCAGATATTACAGGGGTCGACTTTCTGGTGACATTTCTGTTTCCATCAATTTCTTCTGACTCTGCTTCACTACATGGCCATTTACGTACATTTAAGTACATGATTATTTCAATGTACTTATTTTTACATATGAGATATTAATCTAACTAATTAACTCACAATCGGAGAGCAACCATGTAACACCAACACCCAGATATTTTTGTGAGCCACGCAGCATTTGGTACAGCATTTGCGCAGATGAATATAATTCAGCGACTTGTGGGCGCTAGAAGTTCGCCGAAATGATTTTTAAACAGAAATTGCGTCAATACCTCTCACTTCCGAGGAAGTGAGAATAATAACACAGTTTCTGACTTTTTCGCGTTTTCGCCAAGCATTTTCGCAAACTTGCAGTGCTCACATGTCGCTGAATTTTTGCCGCATTGTCCCACCAAATGTTGTTCATAAGGACCTGGTCTATCGAAATGTGTGGATCACAAAAAGCTGAGTCGAACATGGTTTGCGTTCCCATTGGGAGTATAATGGCGTGCAGGCTAATTTATTAGCATTGAAATGTAAAAAAAATGAAGATCAATTTCTCACCTATTTTTGCGACTTCTTTTGGAAGACAAATCTGTCCTGTTAAAACAGATGAAACATTAATAAAAAACTAGTTGATAAAATAGCCAAAGAATGATTGACTTATAGTGATTTACAGATTGCCAATAAAGTTATTTAATAGCTACATCGTAATCATAATGATTTTCTTTATTAACGTGTTGTAGCTACGATGCTCCGCATTGTTTTTATATACTGGTTGCAAGGGCATTTATAATATAACACCACTTGCTTTCTTTAGTATACAAAACTAGTGGAATTGGTAAAAGGAAAGTATGACACAATGCGGAGCTATGAGCCAATCACATCAGTACAAATCCCTGAAGTTTCAAAATAATTATTAAAAGAGACCATTGATACAGGAAACAACATTAAAGAGAGAATGTGTGAGTGACGAGACATTCACTGTTATTTTACCTTCCATCAATCCCAAGATGACTTCTCCAGAGGTAAAAATAATGAGAAAAAATATATATTTCCCTCGTTATTTCGTTAAACGTAAGTGCGTCAATAGTACAACAGTATAATAGTAAAATGGGAAAAGTTACTTACAGAAAATACCTTATGAATAACTTGTCATTTGGCGATGAAAATTTCAATGTCTATGTGTTTACGGAGGGTTGCAACAATAAAAAAGCACCACTCAACATATATATCAGATTAAATGATCAATTTCATAATGTTCATCAAACAACTCTTGAATATCATATCTTTTACTACACGATAATTATAATTCAATATGCATGAATAATAATTAATGAATAAATGGAGTACACATCGGGATACTATTAGAAAGTTTAAAGAATTGTACTAATCAATTCATTATTAATTATCCAGAGATAGAAACAACTACACGAGAAGAAAAAACGGACATGGGACATTTATAATATATTGGCTCAAGGCCTAATTAATATAATAATAATAAACTTGGTAAATAAACTTGTAAAGACAGTATACACGTTGGCTATAACCTGATACGCTTGCTAAATTCGATAATTTTACAATAAATTCAGCACGAAGCTGGTATCATGAGAGAATTGGCTGACAAACAGAATTACCTATTGTGGCGATGGGACTTTTTGGATTTTTTCTTCTTTTCCTTCTTTCTCTTCTTAGGGCGAGATTCTTCATCCGATGAGGACGATCCACTGGAACTCGATCGCTTACTCCGTTTGTGTGACTTTTTCCTTTTCTTTGCCTTTTCCCTCTCTGGTGACTTTTCTTTTGATACTGAGGGAACAGGGATAGCAGTGGACACGGTGTCGGGAATATCCTATTAAATTAATACACCATTAATGCATAAGGATGCTACGTAGAAAATATTACACACATACATAAAAGATTAAGCAGACAATATTTAAAGTAAGTACTTGTAATATTACGTGTAATATTCAAAAATATCATACCTGCAATTCTTTGGGCATGTTGTTCCTTCCCTCCAATGACTGTCCTGGAATAAAGTCTTTCCTAATCCCAAACGCGTCCTTGGCCCTTGTGTTCTTCTGCTCTTGTGCCAAGGAAAACTCGTGACTATCTTTTGCTCTGCATATTACACATAAAGTACGATTAACATTATAAACCAAACAAGCATTTACGACGCGCAGAAAGTACAAGAAATTAATTTATTGTGACACGAATACAAATATGTATTATATATAACCTTCTCTTTCGTCGGTGACAGCAGCAGTAACAAGTTACCGGTGGCGCAGCAATTAATATGAATCTACACTCTTCTTGGAGATGATTAGACTGTGTATTATGCCGACGACCTCTTTCGTGTTTCCTGTCATGAATTTTTGTAGACCTGCTTTTCGATCGACTATTATGTCTCCTTCTAGATGGTTTGATTATCTCTTTCACAATATTCTCGTCAATTTCAATACTGCTCTTTATAACCTTCTCTAAAACAAGTTGAGAGTTATACTCATCTCTAGGTTGGCAAATGCTCAGGGATGATTGTGAAGGAGAAAGCTCTTCGGCTTTTGTGCGGATATCTATACCTTTCTTTAAATCTATTTCTTCGTCTGCCATATCGCTACCACCTAATCTATCGCCGTTTACTTTGTCGTTGCTGGAAGACATTTTTCACTTACTTATTTGGTATAATTATTGTCGTTATCTTAATATTTGTTTCTTATTGGAAGACTTGGTTGCATTTATATTATACTAATAAATATATTACATTGATACAAAATGGAAGACTTGTATACCCCGACTTTATTGTCTGCTAATCTCACATAATTCCTACCTAATTTATTCGTGTACTAATTGATGACTACATTGCTTAATTTTTTATAGTGAATGAATGCACGATACATGTCGAAAGGACGAGGATCTAAATGTACAATTCGTGCTCGCCACACGAAGCTATCCTATGTAAAAATTCAACCCATGATGACCAATTAATCCTGCCAACTTCTTTTAAAACTGAAAGACGCTTATATTACGAGGAGATAAAGGAATTACGAAAATTGTAAGTCACCAAAAGCAGAGAGATCAAGAAAGCCTTCCTTTCCCTAAGTGCACCGTGATCAATAATGCAAGACTCGGAGTGGAGACGGGATTTTGCACCGAAAAAGAGAAGCGATTGGCTACAGACAGAAGGAGATTCTCTACGCACCAGAAAGAAGAAGAAGAGTCGGAGGGATTTGAGGCTGCTTTTCCCCCACCAACAAACGGGACTCGGAATATTATTACGCCTCTACTTTCCCCACTTTCCTTGCTCAACAACACTGCATTTCTCCACTCCATCTGCTCAAGCTCAGCGGATTTCAATACGGAAATAAGACACACTAACTCTTACATACATATATAAAAGTGTATCATGTGCAGAGAGGAAAGTTCTCTATCAATATCATATTATGCGTGTAATTAATGACATTACCGGATTTAAATTTAAACGCCTTGCAACCAATTTTGATCGAGTTTGTACGATGCTAATATTTAAAGACAAGGATTAAAGGATTGCTAATTAATTTGCTTTTAGTTCATACAAGTGCTGCATTATTTTGTAAATCTGCTCTGCGGATATAAGTTAGTACCAGCAACGGTCAGTTACCATTTCAGACCAATGAAAACTAGCAAAATCCCAGCTATACATACAATATTGCTTAGTACCTTGATATTTGCGATGAACAGCATAATGTCACGACAGGGTTAAATATGTGCACTGCAGACTTTTAAATAAATTATGCCACTAAACACATGGGTCACAATTTAAAATAGAGAATGAAAACTTTCTTCTAGAAATTTACACTTTCACCTGTGTTATTTTATCGCATAATATTTGAATCGAACTACGGTTTTTTCGTGCATGGAACTCACAAAAAAAAGTTTCCTAGCCTCGCCTCAACCAAGCAGTGTCCAACTAACTTTCGACATCAGAACACGACTACTACACACCGAGAACACGGGGCAGCAGGAGAAAGTTGTGAAGAAATCGATCGATATAGTTTGCAAGTTCTGACACAACCCTCACCTCCAACTCCTGCAGTGTCGGAAATGAGCTTCCCCCAAATATGAATGCATTAAAAAATCATTAGAAAATAATCGGATATAAGGGATGCATGCAAACATAACGTAGGTTAACATACTCGAAAAAGACTTGTATTAAAGTCGAATGTAGCCCGAGCCGTGCACTTTCTCCGTTGCTTAAGCCCTTAAATATCATCGTTGTAGATGCAAACAGGCACAAAATTGATTAGTATCAAAAGCGTCTGGTTGCAAAATGACACTGGTAAAACTGAAATTAGTCTGAGTAAGCTTGTTACTACAATTACTAATTATTAACGTGGTCTAAAAATCAATATATGTATATGGCTGAAATTTAAGAATCTTGAAGTATTTTTAAAAAAATATAGAATACAGAATTTTTTTAAAAAGAAACTCAATTATCCTTTGACCTATGATCGGATCTAATATCTACATGACACTATGACACATGTCCCAAAATGTAATAAGACCTCCTATTAACCACCGCTTCACAACTTTGTATGTAATGAATACAAAGTCCGTCTGCATCTAAATACTGCGATGATGGTATCATTATCAATTATCACAGATATTCATCATCTCAAATTTTATGATTTTTCTAAAAAAAACAGGCTGGTTTGGCAAAACATTTCAGTATTAGATCTGATATCACACCCTGCACTAGGCAAGAAGCTAACCGATCAATCGGCTAAATTTTCATCATAGAAAAATATAACGGTTCCAGTGGCATCGCTCGGGCAGTTAGTTACAGTAGTCTGACAGAAAGGTGAAAGTAAATGTGAAGATGAATGCTAAAACATTCACATCTACATGTAGATGTTGTCTTGAGAAAAGATACAGTTTTGATATATGATTGGTTTAAACTTACACGGGTCGTCCGGAAGAATCTCGTTGGTACGTTAACTTCTTTTCAGCCAGTAGTTTACTTCTAAAATCGTTGATTTTCTTGTCAATCTCAGAGTCAGGTAGGCCTTGCTCCTCCAAGAGGTCTCTCAACTCCATGCAACGAACCTACAAGAAGCCAGATGAATTACATTTTTAGACAAGACCTTGAGAAACCTAGACAAAGTTCAGGACTACCTCCGCTTGACGACGCCTTTCATGTTCAACAAGTTCTGGGTCAAACGGACGAACTGCAGTGTCCTCCTTTTCATGATAATCTGGAACTTTCTCCTTCGTCTTTCTAATTGCGGAAATGTTCCTCTGAACGTATCCATTAGTCCCCGAGCCTCTCGCGGTGGTTAGTCCAATCCCGTTGTACATTTAGCGAATTTGTCTACAACCTTTCTCAATTAAATCTTCAAACCTGAAAATTAGAAGATGAAAATCAATTGTTTTATATTTCGTAAATTCTGTAGTTATCAATATCATTTAACTTACGACTAAATATCATTTGTACTTAAACACGTTCTAAATAATACTTTTGCACGGGATGGGTTAATTAATTAGTTTCAAGTTTGAAATTGCACTGAAATTGCAATACGTTTATTTACTGCGATGAATCCAAACAAGTGCGGAGGTTGAATTGTGGCGCGGATGCTTTGCTCAATAACTCGTCTCACGATGTCACTCGTCTCCTTCAAACGGAACAAAACTTATTGTGCGAGTTATGAGTGCGCTTTTAGTACCAAAATCACGTCATCATTGACAAAACAAATTATGAAATCACCGAAAAAGGATGTAGGATCCCATATTCTCTGGATGGGGCTATTCCCTTGGATGAAAGTGTGCTTTTTAGTTAGTTTGCTTTCGTTAGTAATTGCCTAGTTATTTCGTGGGGTATTGTGAGATGGATAAGGTAATCTCTTTTTGATAAATAAATATCCCCACAACAGGTTATATCTACTCTGACAGACGAGGCCAGATGGAGAGATATTATGGAGAGACCGAACATAGTAGTCTAACTAATAATCTCAAGAATGTAAGTTTATGCGGAGAAGCCGAACGTGACGCCATGCAATTAAAAACGTCTCGTCATTCTCGTTCAAGCAATAACGTGAAATTATTACCTTTTGCATAAAATTGAAATGAAGTGTTCTTTCTGAATAATGTAAAGTGGACATGAATTTGCAACTTGCGTGGGTTGTGGGTTGGTAAAGGATGATGGCGTAGATAGGACCCCAGTCCAAGTCATGGAATGATGGAGAGCTTTCTCTCTCTCTCTCCAGTAAAATGACCAGAGGAAGCAGATCTTAGAACCGATATCGCTGATAGATGTTGCATGCTTGCTGCTCAAAACTCCAACATACGTGGCATAACAAGAAGCAGAGCAGGTTCTCAAGTTGTGAATTCTTAACGTTTCCTCTTTCCAATCCTTCCGTTTCGCAATAAAAGGGTAGCTTGCATACATATGAGGAATTCCATGGGTCATATGTGTGATGTGGTATTCCGATCCGCGCACTTAGCTCGTATATTTGTCGTGGGTGGGGTTATTCTATAGGTTGCTCTATACGAAGAAGAAGAAGGGGGAGGAGGGAAGCAGGGTGAAAGTGGAACAGGTCAACTGTTATTCAGTTCTCAAATAAAAAGGCATTAAAGAGCGGATGGAATGGATTGGATGGAATGGAATACCCGAAATCATTTTCCCTGCTGCCCAGCTCAGCACAACAAGCCAGTTAATAAAGGCTTTCTCTGATTATATTACCCGAGTGGGTAACGGTCTCGATGAGTCCGGAAGCCATGGACGTTGATAAGAAGCGATGGGCATTTGTCATAATCGTCATGGGCAAATGGGTTTGTTGCATGAGTGAAAGTCATCCAGACGGAGAAGCTTCGCATTCTCAACCGCACTATACACATTATTACTCTGATTTGATACCAAGTCATAAACACACCACACCCAGGCGAGAGAAAGCCTGCCTGACTAGCGCTTTCAGAATTATTGTTGTTCTCTCTCTGTGCTCCCAAGCTTTATGAACTCCCTTCTGAAATTTCGCGTGTCCTTTTCTTATCCTGAAGATAAATCTGCCTACCGGACCAACGCTCATTCGGGGTCGGAGCGGGTATTCTGTCCACGCTTCCTACAAGTCCTCTTTACCGTTCCTTGCCCTATTATTACTCACCGTCGCATCATGCAGGTCAGGCGGAGGGTTGCGTTGATGGGATTATTATGCATGCTGGTGGGGATTGCTGGATATAAAGCTCTTGTGAACTACATACATATTTACACATACATATGTACGTCCTGGTACATGGCCTGGCTTTTTCTTCCTAGTAGTCACCCGCTTGCTTACCTCATTCTGAATTATTATATGAGAGAGAGAGAGATACGACGGGAACAAAAAGGGTAGTCGGGTTGATGAAGTATAGGTAGAGACCTTTGAAAGCATATTAGTATTCAGTTGCGGGCTGCGTGACCGAATTTTTATCGCTTAGCCTCGCAGTAGTGGTGCCTTTATTGTACACACAATCACGACATCTTCTCATCAATCTATATATTAATTTATCTCTCATTCCTCCTTGTTGGGCCGGACAACTTGTCCTCGTTGCCCTCAATAAATCCCCAAACACTTTGTGGACGTGTGTGTGGTGTTGTGTGTGTATGTATATGGCGACTCTCTCTCTTTCTGGACAATTAATTTTTATCCGCAATCTACGAAATGTCTACGAAATTACTTGTCCGTAGGGGTGCTGCAGCTTTCCTTATTAAATGCTTTGACTTTACTTCACATGCTCCAAGTTACTTTCCTGTTGTGTACATTTAAATTAATGAATTCAAATTATGAGTGCATGAGCACCATAAAATCCAAAGAGATTGAGTGAGTCAAACCTTGTTCTGAAATTATTGAGTAATCTTCTCATTGATCTCTTGACAACTACCGTGTCGTAATACGTTGGATTCATCTGTTTGCCTCTATTGTCATATTTGAAGTGATGTGGCTTTGCGTGAAACCTGTCACATTTCCATGTTTGGACTTTTCCTAGATATTCACTTTCTTGGACAGAAAGTGAATATTTATATACTTTCTGTAGCTTTGTTAGTTTAGTAATCAAGTTTCAGGTGACAGACATGGAAATGTCAGTCTGAAATGGGAGATAGAGAAAGTTTGGAAAACCAAGTACTGGAATACGAGCAACACAAGACTTGGGGAGAATGTTTGGTTTTTGTGGAATTACATGAAACGTTATATTATATACGTACATATATACTAACGAAATGAAAGCCAATACTGCATTACAGTCCACCATGCTACCGATCTCCGCATGTATGCATTGTCCCAGGCTGAAAATAGTAGGAAATATACAAGGTGCCTAATGGAAGATAATTGACAACAGGATAGTTAATTTACTCTGATGAATTATTTCCTCATCAAATGAAGTACTCGAAGTGGTGGGTGTGTAGCTTCTGTTGTGACATGATGATGATGGTGTTGGCTCCGTTGAGGTTTCTTCGCCGAGGGTGAGGACTGAGTTTGGATAGTTGGATCGCGTCATTTCCCTTTGTCTGAAATTGATCCGTTCGGAAGTTGAGAGAATGGGTTTGCAACCGACCATAATACACAGCTCTTTGATGAGAGAGAGAGAAGCCACGTAACGTAATTACAAGGCAGAGGGAGACAAATCCTCACATAACTTTTGGGAACTCGTA